GATGTCAATCTCGAAAAGCACCAGTGCAGTAGCGATCGCTCGAACGAATGGTCAATGGCGTCGAGCTCTCGAGTAGCACAAACGGATGTTGCCACCGACTTGATTGGGTGACTGCGGACATTCTCGGAATCACGAGACATTTCAGCTTTCAATTGGTCGTCACATGCAAGCGGCTTCCAACGTTTCATCACTCTGACGTTCACAAATGGACTATTCCTGATTACATGATCATTAATTCCATTCATGATTATCTTGGCTATCCATTTAGTGTAAACTTGAGTAATGCGAGTTTCCCTACCGGCACACTCTGCATGGTCATGACGGCGATCACATCTTCTATGAAGCTTCGGAAAAGACACCCCCCATGTAACAATCTTCCAGGGTTTCTTGATTGGTTTGGGAGTCTCTTGGAACTGTGATTTCAAGCCATACATGCATCCATCAAATTTGTGTTCATGAGATACGGTTCCTTCCACAAGTTCAGTCATCCTATGGTCCTTCCAGTAGTCACAACCTCTAGGCAACTCAAGCAAGGCTGGTGATCCCATGTTGATAAGTTCACTTAGCACTGATGCAAACACTTCCCACATCGCCCAGAAGATCTGCTTCTTTGCTTCGATGAGTTGTGTTGTTGCTTCGCTCACCCATCGGTTGATTCGGTTCCATGGTGAACCTCCTGTACATGGACCTGCAAAGAACATTGAATCAAGTTTGGTCCGGAGGCATCGCCTTGCTTTACTGATTCCGTACGGAGAGAGCATGTCGTCATCTTCGGTGATTGGTACGACATGAAACTTCATTTCGTCCTTCATTTTGTTCTGCAAGAACGTAAACCAGTTTCTCTCTTCCGAACATAACAAGACGAAGCATGGGACTGCTTGAGGAACTTCGATCAAATTGATTGCAAGGGAAAACTTCGCATACTTTGATGTCATCAAGTCGCATGGTGATTTGGAAAATTGAAATTCCAAAGTTCTGTTTTTCTTTTCTCCAAAGGATTACCGACACTTTGGGATGGTCAACCTCATGTCTGCCTACTTCAATGTGATATTGGTAGGGGACAAAAACATCAGTGATGGGAATAGTTTTCACGTCATTACAATTGGTGCATAGCGTGATTACTCCCTGACTCACTTTACAGTTCTTACCTCCATCGATCACTTCAGCATTGGCGAGCACCTTGAATGTCGATTTTCCAGTCCAAAATTCATTCAACTTGTTTGTTGATTCATGATTGTCGCCCTTGAATCTCCATATGTCTTTGATCACTCGAGTATTAGTTTTGAACTTTTGTTCAGTTTCCCTCTCATCACATATGATCCTAGGGTCACAAGGACAGTCTTCGCAATCCTGTGGTACAAAGTTTTGCCTTCTTGGCGTTTTGTGAATTCGGATCAATGTCTCTTTCCCATCTCACTGCCAATGGTCTTCATTTTTTTCTTACCTAACACTTGGGATTTTCGGGTGGATTTTACAAACGGAATGTTATCATTAATGTCCAATTTCGGCTGCGTATGACATAGGCCAGGTGTTGAAGTGGACTGTGGGTGCCCCTTTTCACTGTGCGAATGCCATCCTTCACCCTCACTCCCCCCATGAACAAGGCGCATAAGCGTATTGATCACACGTGTGGCTGGCTGAAGGCACTGGTGAATGGATTTCGGGTGTTGAGACGGTGATGTCTGTGCATCTAAAAACAAGGCATCAACCGAGAACATCAGCATTGGTGAATCGGTCAGATGCTGTACACGGTCATGTTGTGTTGACGCACACGAGTCACGTAGTGAGCTCGAGTGGGCAGGCGGGGCATGCACGTGCTTTGACGACATCACCCGGTGGGTTGAGGTCGTTGAAACGGATTGTGAAACAGTGTCCGGGATCAACGGCTGCTTGTTAGGCGAATGGTACTGAAAACACGCTCGTTCAACCCACTTATCAAATCTGATAGCCTGCTCTGGTGGAGATGCACGGTGTTCGACCTTTGTCCAGGTACCATTGAGAAGAACCCATGTGGATCTCAATACATCTGGCGGCACAATCAGGCCGGGTGGCCTAGGACGATAAAACACCGGTTGCTTGACGACAAAAATGGGATCCATACCTGGCAAGTATTGTAGCTTCTCTTTACTAGTCAAACCCTTCCTATACACTTCTTTTGGCAAAATAGGGGTTTCCGTGTATGGGAAGTTTGGGATGTCCTCAGTTTTGGATTGGAAAACTTGGCGAGTAGTCATATCGACATCGGTGCTTGGCTGCAACATGTCTAATACTTCTTTGCTCTGCAAGTCCTGAGGTTCCAACAAGTTGATTAGCATACAAGCTTTCTTCCATGCCATGGGATTCTTGAATCCTTTAGTATGGATATCGGCTGCCATTTTGGCTGTAATTTCATAGATCAATACAAAATGATCCTTTTGGAAATGTTCATGCATGGAGGCAATGGAAATACCATGTGTGCGCTCCAAATGACGCATGGTTGGATTCCGTCCTGATCTGACAACACCAATCATACCTTGATTATCGTCATGAAACAGGAGTTGAGGAAAAACTTTGGCTAAGACTTTCCACAGACTTAATGCGGGGATTCCTAGAGTCCTAAGTGCAGTATCTGCAGCCACAATTTCAGCTTCGGGGGTAGAATGACTAACACACCCTTGTCGCTTACTTCCACCAGCAAGTGGGAATCTTGTGAACTTACCTTGGACTTGTAAGTGCGATCCTGAAGTTGATCTCAAGGATTGGGCACATCCAGCGAAATCCGCATCTGCAAACAGTCCTAATGATAAATCTTCAATTTTGTCTCCGACCCATCCTATCATTTTGAGGGACAATGTGGAATTAACATAACACATTAGGTGATGAAGACGGGCGTCATCATCCTTTGTCCATTTAGTCACATTACGTGCTAATGCATTGATGGATCTCAACAGGTCAAACCGCGCAATGCGGGCTGCATACAGCAGCTTCATAAGCACACTAGCTGCATGCGGAGCTAGATTCCCACGGCTCAGCGTCTCACTGTCTTGCGCAGGACGTGAGTTGCCAGTCTCGGAGAGAGCAGGCATATCTGGATCGAAGGAATGTGCACACCAAGGACACTCAACTTTGCGTTTTCCATCGGAAGGAGCTCGATACGGGCTGCTTTTCGTTTCCTCTGGAAGGCTTGGAGTTGATACCTTTTTCAATTTTGTGTCCTTACCAATGATGTCAAGATACTTTTCCACCGATAACTTTAACAATCCTTCCATGTTATAAGTTATGGTCTTGACTTTCTTACCATTATGCAATTGGGTCTCACCTTGGGATAAAACACATCCTAAGTAAAGTCCCAAATCGGTTTCGGGTTCAATGCGCAAAACAGTGCGCAGCATTTCCCAACCTTTGGCCAGATTTTCGGAGGGCCCAGCAAGCTTAAGATCATCCACATAGATTACCAACAGCAATTTGAGCTCATCATGAAAATACATAGAAGGCCATTCCTCTCCAATGGGTTTAAAACCAATTTCTTGAACTTTCTTGTCACAATGTTGTTCCCACATCGTGCCTGAATCGGGATGTCCATACAGGGCTTTGTCGAGTCTTACGACAGGGCGACGGAACTTCCAATACTGTATCTCCGGAGGCCATGCATCAGTGGGTAATTCCACCCAACACAAAGGTCCCTTCAACTTAGCCTGGATGTAGGCCTGAATCGCATCTGCCAACTTGACGGAGTGCCCAGGAAGACATCCGTAAAAATCTGCCCATCGTGAGGCTTCGAAGGAAGCAGGGGAATTTCCCAAGTCTTGGAAGAATGCTGCCTCCCAATGCTGATTCTTCACCTGATTTCCTAGCAGAACGCCTCTTCCCTTGAATTTTCGTCCAGGATTGTCTTCTGACAGCTGGTAATTCTTTTCCACGCATATGCCATGGACCCTGGCCATATGTACTTCCTTTTTGTTCTTCTTGGCCTCTGCAACAACGTCGTCATATTCACGAACCATTGTAAAGTCGAATACCTCTTGGTCACGAAGGCCTTTCCACTCCTTGAGCATTGCCTCTTTGGCCTTTGGGTTAGACTCAATCTCAGCTCTGCCCACAGGTCGTGAAACCATTGCGTTGAAAAGTTTGCTTCCAAGACCTCCTGATGGTATCTTGGTTCGGTGACTTTGATTTGATGCAGAAGTACACGGCATAGTTGGGAAAGGGATGTATTCATCATCATCAGTGGCTATGTTCTTCACGTTCTTGACGTTAACACATTTGCCATTTTTGATCATTGTCGACTCTCCTGGCGTAGCCATGGAAAACCTCGAAATCTCACCTGACAATGTGCTCCAAACTTCACCACTCCACGATGCTTTTGGGCCACGTCCTTTCTCGACCTCCGACCATTCATCCCATTCAGTGAGATATTCCTCGTCGTCCGGGACGTCGGTAGAAGCATCGGAACATGGACTAGCATCAGCATTCCTCTTCACTTTTCGACAATCAATGTATCGTCTTCCATGTACATCGTCATCATCGACTATGTCGTACAGATCAAGATACGTACTTGTACATGTGATAGGTAAGGTAACTTTGTTCTTCACAACTTCACCAACACCTGCGTCGGATTTCTTTGACTTTGAATGAGAGTCATCCTTCTTACTTTCATCACCACCTTCATCGTCCTTGGACTTTGGCTCGTCCTTGTCTTTCTTTGAATCTTTCTTCTCCTTCTTCGTTGCTTTCTTCTTCTTTTCCTCGACCAATCTTTTGGCTTTGTCATCGGCCTCTTTCTTCTCCAACTTCTTCTTCTCGGCTTTGAGGATGGTATTCCGGTCAGATTGAGAGAGTTTGCGCCATTCTTCAGGAGAATAGGTTCCTTTGGGACGCAATGACGTTCTGAACATTCGTCTACCGTCATCTCCAATCTTGTATGGGTAACCCTTGACGTTCAACTTGACTTTCTCACCATCGTCATTGAGGTATACCTTCCCATCTCCAGCTTTACCCTTCTTCCAATGGTCTGGTTGGGCGTCGATCAATTCCTGGAGGGTCATCTCTTCTGGATCTTTGTCTTTGTCGAAGATATCCTCGGAGTCATCAAGAGGCTTCTTTGAAACTTTTCCACCACTTGGTCCAGGTCCACCGTCGTCTCCGTCATCAAGCTCATCATCATCTCCATCTTGGTCATGTTCTTCGTCATCTCCATGAGGCATTTTGGAGGGGTCGCCATCGAGGATTTCTCTTTCTTTCATTCCCTCCAATGTGGTGTTCACCCTCTCATATTCTTGCTTGCATGGAAATGTCAATGGAGTGACCATCTCGACCTTTTCAGTCAAATGAGGTTTGAGAAGACGGTGTTCAGGTTTGCTAGCATCGTCACCAAGATTCTGATGTACGAATTCACTCAGAGGCCATACTTTGTATTGTCTTGACCAATGCATCCCTGGACCAATGTGATACCCTGCAAACACTCCTGGAATAGAATCAGGCCCAAACTTGTGAAGTTGTCCTGCTTCTCTGGTCTTCGGAGGCTTGTAGTTCACACGAGCACCATAGGGAATGAGTTTGCCAGCAAATTCAGATCCATGGAGTTTGCACCAAGCGCTCAATTCATCATCGTTGGGTTCTACATTGAGTAGATGACATACACAAAGGATTGCTGTTCTCCAGAAACAAGGTGGTAATCCAGCTTCCAAAAGACATGTAGAAGTAGCTGTGAGAATAAATTGGTTCGTCCTTTCGGCAATTGAGTTGGTTTGAGGTCTTCCAGGCAACGAATGATCAATTGGTATCTTCATCTCATTCATAGCTTCAATGAACTGAGGAGCATGATCAGAGTAGGCCTGTCTGACCTTCTTGGCACCGATGAACTGTTTCACTGCTCTAACTACGTCATCTTTGGTCATTCGATCAGATGGATAAGCACCAATGATTCCTGTATAACAGTCTCTGACAACCAACACTTCCTTCTCGAGGACCAACACGTCGTCATGGACTTTGGATGTATCCACCGCATCAAAGGTAATGAGGTCGCCAAACTTCTTGAGTTCCCTCTTGTATGCACCACGACGAGTCTTGAAATGCTTCATCTTTGCTCGAATGCATGAGTCGCAATATGGATTCTTGTATCTGTGGGTCAACTTGTGATTCAGGCTATTAGCTTCTCTCTTGAGTGTTCCTCTCTTGGCTACCCTGGATTCACCTTCGACAACATCGATCTCGATGTCATCTTCATCACCTTCAGCGGCATCTTCAGGAGCACCATGACCGTCATCTTCAAGGTCAGTCTCGTCCCCAGGAGGATCGCCTAGCGGGGTTCCTGGTTCGTACTCGCCGCCCTCAGGTGGTTCCTCTTCTTCTTCTCCAGGAGTTGCCGAATGTTTCTGCCGGTTCATCGCTCTTCTTTTCTTCTTCACCTTGAGCTTCTTGACGTATCGGGAACAGTTGTGGTCCTCAGTCGATGTCTCAAGACCACTTTCTCCATCGAGATGTACTCTTCGTGAGGGTTGACCAACATCATCAATGTCGTTGAAGTCGTTGAATCCGACTTGAGAATGTGTCAGTAGGTCATGGATCTTTGATGCATGATGACATTCATGAGGAGTGCATTCGTATGTTCCAAGATCAACGTAGGGGATGTTGTCATGGATTGTCAAATCGATGCGTTCTCCATTCTTCGTAATCATGAAAGGCATTTGACCAGATGGCCATACAAAGGAGTATCCTTCTTCCATGCATCGTTTCCCAAGAGACATCACGGACGGAGTGTCGTCCAGTACATAGGCATGAGAGGTCACATCAAAGGTTCCCAGGTCAATCTCTGCTTCCGTCTGAGTAGCAGTTGAACCGTTGGCTGTGTGGAACATGATAGGATCACAGGTTCGTTGCTTCAAGTTCATCCTCTCGGCTTTCCTTGCAGAAATCAGATCGTGTCCGCTGCCAGAATCCAGGATGAATCTACGATCTTTGGCTTGCACTGGTAGTGAAATGCACATTATGTTCTTGGACTTCATGAGGGAGTTTCCAACTTCGTGTTCAACAAGCTCTTCAATAAAAGTCAAGTCATCACGATCATTGTCCAGCTTGATCAACATGTCGAACTTGGGGCCAATAATGATTCTAACTTCATCAACAAAACGATGGAGTCCACATCTGTCCATGATGATAGCTTTGGCCCGTGCTCGGACTGAACCGAGGGTGTTGTCGGACTTGGACTGATCGTCGGTCAAATCATCGACTTTCCAGAAGACATATTGCTTGTTGGGGTCACGATACATACGTTTGGGTAGTCCCTCCTGGTAGTCCTCAATGGCAATCTCGTGCACTTCAGGTTCCAGATCAAATGAGATCCTGCGATCATCAGAAGACTTCTTTGCGCTGGCTATCCTCGGTGAGGTATAATCCATAGAATCTTCATTGTCGCTATCAAAGAAGGAATCAATGGTAATGGGAGTTGCTTTCTTCTTTGATGTCTTCTTGCTGGTTCTCTCTGAGGATGCTGAAGGCGATTGATCTGCATGTAGGAATTTACATTTGCTTCCGAACGTGCAGGTACCCTTTTGCCAATTCCAACATACCTTCTTTTTGGGTCCAGCTGAAGATGAACTTCCTCTACCTTTCCCTCTTGATGAATCTCGACTTCCGCTTCTGCCTTTCTTGCCTTTCATCTTGGCATCATAGACCTTCTGAGAATGACTGTAAAGACATTTGTCACCTTTGTTGCATCCTCCCTTATTGAAGAAGTAGTTGCAGAAAATCTTCTTCTTGTCAACGGGTGAAGATGATCTTCCCTTCCCACCTTTGCCTTTCTTGTTGTTCTTGTCGGCATGGGATTTCGGAGAAGGTGTAGGAAGTACTGATGCAGCTTCACTCTTCGCTTTCGCCTTAGGGCGTTTGGGAGGATCACCTGTAGACGATGCAGCTGCTTCATTCTCCTTCTTGGTCTTGACGGGAGCGGCAGGCTTGTCTGCATCTTCTAAGGCAGGCGTCGTCTTGTTAGAGGACAATGACAGTTTCACTGCACGTTCTCTATCCTTCAACAGTCGTTCTTGCTTCCCTCGTGCTATGTATCCCTTGATCATACCAGTTAGGTAACTATAGGTCTTCTCATGATGCCCTTCATCAAAGGTTTTGTATCGGTTGATATCGAAGGCCATAAGCTTTGAATGTTCAATCTTCCGGAACAATGTGTCGCGCAGGGAATTGTTGGAAGGCAGATCATCATGTTTCATATTGTATACGATGTCAAGCCACTTGTTGTAGAAGGCCTCAAGTTGGTCATCTCCATAGTAGTTGAACATATACAAATGATGGGCATTGTAGAGAACTTCAGTGTGGTCAGGTGACTTGAAGCTACTCAATATCATTGCAAATAGTTCTCGTCCCTTGATGAAGTCCCCACTTCTCCCATACAATTGGTTCTTCATGGACATGTCATACTTCACTTGCATGGACTTGTCCCCAGCATTGTCAATGACTTTCCTCAAGGCATTGGAGAGCTTGGCATCAATGGATTGGAATCTCACATCGGGTGCTTTGGCCAGAGCCTCCAAGTCAGGTTGATCTGCGAGACACGGAGCTAGCCACGCTTTCCAATCTTCATAGTTTCGATCTCCACTTGCAACGCAAACTTCATGAACGACACTTCCCTTCCAGGATAAAAGTTCAGTGGTCTTAGGCCAGGGTTGGAGACTGATCTTTTCGGCTTCTCTTAGAGATACGGATGACTTGGATCTATCCCTTTCAAGGTTCTCCAACTCCTTGACATTGGTGTTGTACTCGTTCCTGAGCTTTTCGAAGGCTTCAGCTTCTGCTCGGTATTCCTGCTCTTCATCATTGGCACGATCTTCAGCTTGAGAGAAATTGTTCTTGTAGTAATCTTTCCGATCTTCCATCTTCTTCAACTCATCTTGAAGATTTCGAACTTCATTGTTCCTCTCTTGCTTCATCTCGTCCAACTCTGCTTTCAGTTTGGCACACTTCTCTTCACATTCATTCCGAGGCATAGCATTACTGGGGTACCCATGTAATGTAGTCGGTCTATTCTTTGATGAAGAAGAATGAGCTTGGTTTTCCAATTTCAGGGCAGCAATGGTACTCGACATCTCTTCTACCTCAGCGTAACGCTCATTGGCCAATTGATGCATCTCGGTCAGATGGCTTTCGGGAATAGAGTAGTCAGTCGCACCTTTGATCACGAGTCTTCTGTCGTTCAACATCTTGATGGACTTACCTGCATCCCTGTGAGCACGCTCTAGAGAGTCCTTTTGGGCTTCAAGTTCAGTATGAAGGCGAGCAATAGCTGTGTCCCTGTCATTGAGTTCATTGTGCAAACTGTCGAACAAGTTACTCGTCACATTCGGATTGTTGCTCATGTGATCGATCTTGTTCAGAGCATCTTGATATTTCTTACCAGTTTCATCAAAGTTTCGCTGGAAGACTTTGAGCAGGTCCTCAGTGTCAATGAGTTCAGATCTGTTCTGCAAGTACAACTTGTCAATTTCAGCCTTGGATTCCTTCAAGCTGTCACGCTCACGCACGGCTTGCATGTACATCTCGTATAGAGGTCCTCCATGCGGTGATCTGCTTGGTGAAGATCTTCTGGCTTGTTGACAGGAAAGTTCATGATACTGATTCTTCGATTCAGTCAGTTGCTGTTGCATTCGATCTAAAAGACTTTGTTTCATGTGTAATTCAGAACGTAGTCCCATTATCCTCATGTCCCGCATGCCGCCTGATTCAGCTAGAGATTCTTCAGAAACCCTGTTCTCAGAAATCGCTAGTCGAGATTGTAAGTTCTCATTGTGGATCACCTGCAATCGAAGTTGCGATTCTTCCAAAGCTAAGTGATGTTCACATTCTGCATAACGATCATGTTCAGATCTTATGTTACTACGGAACTCCTTCATGATCTCGTCCCTCTTCATGTCAGCAGCATCGAGCTCAGTTTCCAGTCGTCTAACGTTCATGGCCATGGTGTGCTTCATTGTCTGGTTTTGATTGGCAACCTCGAGCATCTCGATCTGTAAAGCACATGTTTGGTCATTAGCGTAGCCGACCGCCAGAGCTTCTTGCTTTGCATTCATCTCTGCGTTCTCTAATTCCAGTCTGAGTTGATTGATGTGAGCATTCGCGTCAGTTCCCACATGCACCATAATTGCGTTTGCTTGTCCCATTTGTTCATCGAATTCCGAACGTAGTCGTGAATATTTGAATTCCAAATGAGATGCAGCTTCATTCGACATAGTCTGATCCCTTTCCAACTCTTCGATCCTGTAGGTCGCACCTTCATCTTCTTGTTGTGCAGCCTGTAACTCGAAGTTCAGCATCTGGAGTTGTTCGGTCATCGACATCATCTCTTGATGAGTGGTGCTTTCCAGGAAATTAAATTGTTGATAGGCATATGCAGTCGTCTCGCTCAATCTTGCCTGAAGTACGGATTCTTCTTCAGTGGCCTTTTCCAGTGATGTCTTGTATTCAGCTAATTCACTCTGATAGGCAGTGAAGATGTCGCTACCACTTGATGGGGCGTTCACTTGTTGATAAGATCCTGTCCCTGATGGAGTAGCGTCCTGAATCGGTGAAGGCGGATTCGACGACGTAGTCTTCGCCTTGGTCCTTGGAGTCATCGGAGGCGACAATTGTCGTGCAGATGATCTTCTCTTTCCAGGTGTGCTGTCCCTATCTTCAATTGCTTGCATTGTCGAAATTTGTCTCCCTCTAGGAGCAACCAGAGGTCGCCTGGGTTGGCTCGTTCTCAGTTCTGAGGCATCGCTTCCACCAGTGTCGATACTCTGCGAAGAATTTGACTGCGTGCCGGCAGCTGGTGCAACGGCATGTCCAGAGAAAGAAAATGCATTATCGCTGCTATCCTGTTCAGTCATCTGTAAGGCCCGCGGCTACCCGCTCGTAGGCTCCGTAGGAGTCCTACGGCTGATAACCTGCGAATCGGGGATTGCCTGTCCGATTATGTCCTGGTAGTTAGTGTTGAAGTAATTGTTCCAATGATGACGTTACACGGGCATCAGCTTCCGCATTGCTGTTCTTTACTCCAGTGCTGCAGTGGGTCTTGAGCCAAAGAGGCCAGTTTGAAGTGCCCCTTTGGTACTGGATCCTAGAGTGTCGAATTATGTGATAATATACAAGGGTCCGTAGCCTACACTCTATTCGCAGTTTGGTTGTTTTTGGCCCCTGTTTTGGGAGCTGTTTGGACATAATTCGGGGGATCGATCCCTGCATGTTCAGCCAAAGCCAAGGAGTTTTTTGGCCCAACACTGGGTAGAAAAAAAGGCCAAAGAATAAACAAAATCAATTCCAATCCCAACAAAAACGTTGGTAAATGACTCAAAATTCCATCTAAACTTCCTCTTTCCTTAGGGAGGTCCCTTAGAATTGGCAGATCAAACATGTCAATGTCAAGGTCGCCCCTGGTTCCTATCCAGCTTGGCAGACGCCACCAGCAACGCCTTGATACTCGAGGCCCACACGTCGCTGAGCCGAGCCTCTGACCTTTCCGCCCAGTCGCTGAGGTACTCGCGCACCAGCGCTGCGGCGCCAGCTGCCAGGCCGCAACTCTGAGAGGTGCCACTCCTGGGGAGGTAGACACTGGAAAAAAAACTTTTGACTGGAAAAAAAAAGTTCACCCCTACTCTCCACACTGGAAAAAAACTTAAGACACTGGAAAAAAGAAACTTAAGAATCTGTACTTTGAACCTTTTTGCAGCTGAAATCTGAAATCTCTTATTTGTACAATATGTGCAGGGTTTGGGCACTTAAACATGCAATTTGCAATATTTAAAGCGTTTTGGCCTTGAATCTTTGAATTGTAATTATTTGCAGCTGAAATCTCTTATTTGTACAATATTGGCCGGGCTTTGGAACTTAATTATGCAATTTGCGTGGTATTCAAAGCGTTTTGGCCTTGAATCCCTTGTTTGCACCGTGCTCGCAGCATCTTGGAGCCAGCATCTGTACTACGCAGGGGATCATCTGCAGCATTTCGTGCGATTTGCAACATATTGTCTAGAGTTAGTTTTTGGATCTATTTCAGGTTGGTTAGGGTGTATTTGGATGTATTTGGTGATTATTTCTGGTTGATTTTAGGTTTTCTGTACGGTTAGCTTGGGCGTGTGCTTTTTAAGTTGTTTTACGGTTTAGATTTGGTTGCTTTAGTTTGGGATTATCTAAGATTTATATAATTTGGGTTTATTTATGTTTTTTGGATGTTTTTTTGTGTTTATGTTTGTGTTATATAGTGCCGAATTGTGGTTGGTTTGGTGCTTGTTTGATTGTGTTTAAGGTGTATTTAGTTTCGGTTCAGGTTTTTAGGTGTCATTTTAGGGCTTAGTTGGAGTTGTTTGGATGTTTTTTTGGTGCTTCGTTCAGTCCGTTTTAGGGACTATGTAGGACGGTTGGCTTAGTTTTTATTGAGGGTTGGTTTGTGGCCTGCTCAAGGTTGCTTTCGGGCTTATATAGGCGGGTTAGTTCCAGAGATCAAAGGATGAGAAGGGCAAAGGACCAGGATGAGGAGGGTAGGGGACCAGGGGGACCAGAGCACCCAAGGACCAAGGGACCAGGGGACCAAGGGACCGGGGGACCAAGGTCCTGGGGTGCCTCTGAGATCGGTCGGAAGATATCATGGAGATTAAGGATTAAGGGGGCAGATATAATTCACCAACTATATTCAATTTGATCAAGAAAGGTCCGGGTAGAGTATAACATCATGATTGGTTTGGGGAGGGTGTTATCATATATTATATCGGTGGGGAAACGACCCATCATCAAGCTACCCAGCCCAGGTCTACCCAGAAATGGCAAGCTACGGCTAGAAAATGTCTTTTTAGTTGGACCTCTCCACCATTTAGTCAAAAGATCAGATTTCGATGGATTTGCTTAGTAACTTAACGTTTCACCGATTTTTTGCTCAGCTTGTGCAGTTCATCACCAATCTGCTACCTCATCATCAGGGTTGTAACATGTTGTAACTAGCTATTCTGGATTATTCTGCTATACATTAGTGCGAACCTCCAAGTTACTTAGCCCCTTCCAGCTTTCATACATTTTCCCACTTGTTCCCAGCTTCATCTGCTGAAAGCCACACTCCAAGCCCACTTTGACAGAGCTGATGCCGTCCCCTGGTAGCAGCAGCTCGGGCTTCATCCGCTGCAGCCCTCCGAAACGGCTGTAGGGCGCCCTCGCCTGGGGGACCACCGAAGCGCTCAGCACGGGAAAGGTCAGCCGCGCGTCTGGGGAGATCAACCTGCTGCCATCATTGGAGGAGACCATCATCACTGGAAGGATTAAGCCATACTGCTGGATCTCAGTGTGGTCGCCTGGGGCTTTTGTTGAAAGATGGATCCCGGAGCACTGAAAGGTTGAACGCCTTGACCTGTTCAAAAATTAGTTTTAGTTTGGAAAATGATGTTCCAAGAGCAGATTGCAGTCTTGGACTTGGATGACGTTCTAAGTTCTAACCATGAAATACCATGAATTATTTTCGGCATCGAGTTGTACTGTGGGCAATCGTTCTGCGCACAAACGCCTGTCATCACCACCATGCTCTGCCCTGCCCCATTCACCACGATGACGCCCACCGCACCAGCATCGGAGCAATGCTTCGCTTTCAGCAGGAAACTGCAAGAGCCCCGGTGCACCAGACACACATGACCTGGGTTTGGCGCCAAAATGAAATATAGTGAGATATCGTGCTTTAATCGACTCACAACTTTGGCATAACTTTGGTTATTATTCATTCCTATTGGGTTAATCCCTTCTCCCTCAAAAAAAAAACACACGCACACACAGTTTGCCACAGACACCTCTGGGAAATGCACTGAGTGCAGTGCAGGCCTCCGCAGGCGATGCTTCCGTCACTGGTGCATCCACAGCCTGCTGCAGACGTGCTGGATCATAGGCACACTCCGGACACGCAGCGCGAAAGGTGAGACAGTCATCCACCACTGCTTCGCACAAGGCCAGGGTCTGTGCACTGGGTTTGGTGGCGCCAAACAAGGCCGGTAGGGCCTCCAGCTCAGTGGCGCAGCTGCTGCGTGCATCACCTACACAATTGCCAAGGCCTAACAGCAGGGCACTGTGAACGAAGGAGGGTTGCTCCTGATACAAGCGGGGCGCGTTGTAGGAGGCCCCCACACACAGGGCATTCTTCGCAGTGCACGGCGACTCCGCCCTCTTGTCAGTTGCTTGCGCCCGGACATTGCCGGAAGGGAAGACCGGCAGAAACGTGGGGTGATTCCAGACATAGCTGTCCTTGGGGTTCACGTACCAACACGGTCGGGGTCAGGTCAGGTTTTCCCATTTTTCTCTCTGTAACTATCCAGGGGAGAATGCGCTCAAAAAGTGTTAAGCCCATTCCGAAGAAAAAACTTGCCACAAACACAAAGCAAATGGGAAGAATCCACTCTGTTCTCCAAAGGCAAGTTGTTTTCATAGCTCCATGGAGAGCAAACAATGTTGGCCTCAGAATTCCTGAAGAAATCAAAGTAATAGGTGTCGATGGATGACTCCGGAACCTGCGAGAGCTGTAAGATACTGCCGCAACTTTCCCTGCATGTGCCGTACTCCTTTAGAACTAAGCCTTAAGCCGGAATCCTTTAAAAAATATTTTGGAAATGAATTTCTGGCTTACACTGACAAGCTGACAATTCCATGCTAGCTTCCTGAAGTTGATTTTTGCCATCACATTTTGGGGCTCCATACCGCCAGTCCTGTGACCAGAGTTACCCCTGGGGTGTTAGATCCTAAATGATAAGATATCAAAAGATCAAATAATCCATGCCCTTCAACACTTGAAGTTTCACCTTGCCAACTTCTCACCGAGGTTGCCGCACCGCACCTTGTACACTCCCGGCTCGCTTGCCCTTTCCACATCAACCACCACCAGGCGCGCAGCAGGGGCCATCCCCAGGTTCTCCGGCTCATTTAAGGCTTGGGCCTCTGATGACAGCCTTGGTGCTGGGAGCTCAGCGGCTCGGCGTACCAAACATATCCCAACAGGTTGGAGGTTGGAAGGTGGAACCCCACATATGCACCAACATCATCCAAAACCTGGGGAATCGCAACATGTTGCAAGCTACAAATCATCATATATCATCATTGCTTTATAATCTGGCCCTTGCCTCACCAGCCCCACCAAGTGACAATTGGCCAACCATGGCGCCTGCAATGTGTGTCCCATGGCCCAGTTTGCTGTCTTGATTGTCCCCACCTGCCGAGAAGTACCCCGCAATCTTCCGGTGGCTGGCGCTTCTTCGGCCATAGGGCACCACTGAAGTAGCATCTTGAAAGGCACAAGTTGAGGCATCCACCCCGGTATCTCCCAGTCCCAGCACTTGGCCTGAACCCAGCAATCCGGCTCGGTGCAAGGCAGGGCTCTGAGTGGCTTCCTGCCAGTTGCCATCATCGTGGCCTAAAACCAACTGAGAGGCAAACTCCATGTTCATATCTGCCACTTTCGTAACAGCGCTGCTTGGCAGCAAACAGGACCAGCTCCATACTAAAAAAAAGACTTCGCCACCGCGCATTTGGCCCGGGCCAAATTTGTTAGGCGCTTGACCGCTGCGAACTTGGTCAATGTCGGCCTTTGGCCGGTTTAGACCTCACAACGGCCGTGGCCAAATAGCATCCCGATTGGGAAGTGCCAAAGGTACAGCACTGGTCCTCAAAAATTGGAGATTGCCCTGATTTGAGCCACGGTGATGGCGGCACCTTTGGCTGTTTGTCAAGAAAGCTTTTCCACTAAAGCCAGTCATCAAGAAAAGCTCAAAATGGGCCAGCAAGCACATTATCCAAAACAGGCACCAAAAAGTTAAGTAGGATAAAATAACATCTGGACATCAACCAGAATCAGCTCCAAACTCCTCAAAACTGCTCAGGTTTTGCAGGGTAGGCATTTCGAGAATCATCCCAAGCATATGTGATTATAAAAGTCGGCGTTCAATCCAATTATCGAAAACATTCGAAAACAACTCATGGATCGGTAGCTATACTCCTCTAAATCCAAAGAGGCTTCCATATTAAATGGATTTTACCAAGCAAAATCATTGACGGATTTCTTGCAAATGTTCCCTACTGGCCATCTTTTTTTGATCCCCCAGAACCTCAATGGGCCATGGCTTCCGCTGAGTGCGTCCACCGAGAGTTTACATCCCAAGGCATCGCCCAAGGAATGGGCAGGGTCCGTAGAGATGATTAACACCTGACTTTGGACCAGGATCCCAATTTGGTCAGGGAATGATTTGCCAATTTTTTGAAGTTATATACCAGTTATACCACTTATACCATGTTATACCGTATATAAACCTATCATAAAACATACTAAACATAAGAATAGGATAAAGTTAAAGTAACCCATGACCAGGGGACCATCATTGAAGGGTTTTCCTACACTTTCCCGCGATTTTGGGGCGCCTGAACTTCGAAAACATTCAGCAGGTCTGTTTCAGACCCAAAGTCAACACAGTTTGGTGAGTGGCTGATGGTCGATTCCTCGCAGATTCACAGCTACTAAAACATTCCCTCCGGTAATTTGTTACATAGCTATTGAAAATGACCATTTATAGTGGATTTTCCCATTAAACATGGTGATTTTCCATATAGTTATGTTAGTTTACCAGAGGGTACTAAAACTGTGGATGTCAACATTTAATAACTTCGCAAGTTTCAGCGCATGACAAGGGTTGACTGGCCAATCCCAAGCCTGAACAGAGTGCCATGTTATTTTGCAACATGACCTTCGAAAATCCCGCCCACAAAAAATGTAATTGATAGATCATATTCATCCAGAAACATGGTGTTTGATGATCGGAGGCTTCTTCCCAACTATGATAAATCTGGATAAACTCTAATTCGATTTATCACCAGCAGCTTCAGGTTCGGCTATTTTGCGATAGCTACCCCAATTTTGAGGCCATTGAAATATATCTGTTTTACATATAACTGTTCCAGTGACGCGATAGTGACTCCCGACCTTTTGTCCTTCCATGGCTGTCTTTACAGCCATGGCCGAACTCATGGATGTCCTCAGCTCATGGGGATTCGGCCTGGTGAAATCTCCGTGGTAGCCATTCCGAACATTGAAAGGTCAGATTATTCTACTTCAACGCTGGCTTGAATGTCTATGAATACCAACATATACCAAGTATTTATGCCTAATCTTGGATGGATCCTCTGCACAATTCTTATTCTTAGCCGGGTATTGATTTTTTTTCTATTGCTTACTAACTTATATGCCGCATACATACTGTATAAACTCCTTCACACTACCCTCACCTGTCGGTTTCCACTGTATTGACAAATATTGCTCACAAAGTCTCTGATACTCATGCACCTGTAGATTAAGATAGCGGGCATACCAATTTTTGCAACGATAGAGAGAGAGAGAGATGAACTTCCAAGAAATAAGAAACAACACCCAGCCAGAATTTCAGATCTTGAGGAAAATGCCGTCCGAAGCTTTCAAAGCCACGGCGTCTGGGGCCCCCTGACTTCCCCACGCCGCCCTTGCCTCCGAAGAGGGTGACTTGCGTGCTGGGCAGCGCGCCATCGCCGAAGGCGAGCGAGGCCTTGGAATCCACGACTCGGTGCATCCCAATTACTTGATATCACTTGTATATATAATATATATATATATATTTATTATTTATTTATATATATATATATATTTATATATTTATATATATAATATACTTGTATAGTAAATGGATAATAGATGTTAATGACAAAAAATAACTTTATAGATTTTATAGTTCCTTTCCGAATTGCTGAACGAAGGTCTTGTTCGGATCAGTCTCTCAGGTGCCCTTTACAATTCCAAGTGACAGTCTGGTTGAACTACATCCTTACACATCAAAACCAAAGGCTGTACAAAAGTCGTCACTGCCTCTGCAATGGCAGCGTTCATTTTCTCCGGATAGATTTTAGTAATTGCCATGGTACATGGTATAACCCTCTTTGTGGGTTATAATCCAAGTAACTAGGTCTTGCTGATAAATGGAATGATCTTCGGGTGATTTCTGTTAAGGATTAACATGTCCCATTCAATGGCACCCATACAATACTGGTTGGTGGTTTTAACCATCTTGAAAAATATTAATCAATGGGAAGGATTATCGCATATATTATGGAAAATAAAAAAATGTTTGAAACCACCAACAAGAATAAATAGAGATCCAATATCAAACATAATATAAACCCGGTTTATGTTGCTGTTGAGTCTTGGGGGGATTACATAGCCATATGATTGTAAATCATGGTTGATGTCATGTGGCTGGGATTCTTATGGATTCTTTACGGTGGGAGGTGTGGCCCCTTGGCGCCAAGAGACTAAGTAGCCCAAAGCAGGTGGACCTACCAGGTTTTCCGGTCGATCACCAACCTGGCACCAGTGGCTTCATCAATGGATTCGTTTCCTGGGGAAATCCATGGTAAAATCCATGGTTTCCGGCCAATTCTTCATATTTTTCCCTACCAATCCATTGAATCATGGCCCAGTTGTGGCCCACTTGTCATGAAAAATCGCTTAGCAAGTCAGGGCCAATCCTCCCAGCCGCCTCGTACAGAGGCAACTTCCGCGCTTCACAGGTGGTGCGCAACTCTTTCAGAATCTGACGAGCGATGGCAGCATCTTGCTTCCACAATCTTCCACATGTGTCACATAATCCCAGTAAGGTATCCTGATTCACCAGACTTCTGGTCTGGTGGCGAATAGTGTGGCGCCAATCCAAAAGGGCCATTTCGAGGGAAAAATAAGTGCAAATGTTGAGGCCAAATGGCAATGAAACGTGGCGATAGAAATTTTACCATTTTTTTAGTTTCGTGTATGAATGATTTGCCCATAACAAAAATTGAGGTTACCATCCAACATAAGAGTTCCATTAAACAAAAAAATTACAGTCTCAGTAAATGTGCCTTCGGAAGAACAAATTGAGTATAGTTTCCCCATTCAAAAATAGCGACTTCCCATGAAAAAATGATGGTTTCCCATTACAAAAAGAAGGAAATCCCTGTGAAAAGAGGTGTCGAAATTCTCACTTTCAGCCATGTCATGCCCGTTCCGCGCGTTCCGCGGCCCCGGCCCTGCACTGCAGCCCGCGGCCTTGCCCTGCGACTCCACGCGTGCTTGCCAATAGGCTTCGCCGCTGGCCTCTTGGATGATCTGATTCACCACTAGCCTCGTCGATGGGGAAATCTACAGGAAACTGGCTGGTCTTTAGACATTTATTGGGATTGTTTATCACCCATAATGGGAATGACTCAGGATCTATTGGGAATTTGAACGGAGAATATGCAACTCGCTATTTTAGCAGCGGTGTTCTTGAGCCAAAGGTTGGCGTAGCAACTAGTGAGAACCCTATATCCCGTCACCCCTCCTGTACAGAGGCTGGGATTTTCCTAAGCTGATGTACACTCATTCCAAAGCCTTTGCAGCTTCGGCTCTACCATGAGAGTACTCGAACCCCATGCTTTGCATGTGTCTTTCCATCTCATTCGCAGGTAAACCTTTGGTGCACAAATCAGCTACGTTCTGCTTTGTCGGGATCTTCACCAGTTCGAATTCATGTAGTGCAAGCTTTTCTTGCACCCACAGAAAGCGAGTTTGAACATGCCGTGAGCGGCCTAAGCCCTGACGGTTACATGTTCCCAGCGCAGCGGATGAATCTGTGTGCACTTTAAGTTTTGGTTGTAGGCCCCATCCTCGCAAGATCTCCTGTAGCGACATTCCGATGGAAACTCCTCGAACGATCGAGTAGTATTCCGCTTCACCGGAACTCAAGCTGATCGTGCTCTGAAGAGTGCTCGAGGCCTTCACCGTGTGGCGGCCAAAGGTTGCCACAAGTCCACTTGTTGAGCGCCTTGTAAGAAGACACCCAGCGAAGTCGGAGTCCACGTACATGTGGATCGTGTCAGCAAACTTCTGGCGACCAAACTTCAAAAGTACACGTGGTTTCCCTTTCAGAAATCTCACCAAGCGTTTCAGATCCTGAAAGTCAGATTCTTTGGGCTCATGCATTCTTCTTGATAGGCATTTCACTGCCTCCGCGATGTCAGGTCTGTCCTGTGCCACATACGACGCTCTCATCACCAGAGACCGGAAGAAACTTACACGGTCCGGTGTGATGGTCGGGGTGGTCAACTTCAAGTTGGCCTCCGTGGCTGACATTTTCTCAGATGGTGTCTTGACTGGCTTACAGTTTTCCATTTCTAGATCTCGTACCATCTGGTCAACGTGGCGGGGATCCGCCTCATAGGATACAGAGCCTTCCTGCTCGTTGTAGGTCACGATTCGATTGAGCACTGCGAACTGCTGATGCCGTTCTCCAGGACCGATCGATCCATCGACCCGCAGATCATATTTGGACCTCAAGGTGTCCTCAAGGTATTTCTGTCCAGCATCATCAGCAAGCACCACGAAGTCATCTCCGTGTACAAGAACTCGAATACCACCGTAACCTTCATGGTAAAAGCAGGATGGCCAAGCTTGATTCTTGGCAAAACCAGCTCGGATGAGAAGTTCTGTATATGATCTTTGCCAGATCGCTGATGCATCGCGTGTTCCATACATGCTCTTAACGAGCTTGCCACAAAACCCTTCTTGTCGATCTCCTTCAGGTAACTGCACGAAGATATCACGCTCTGCCTCTCCATAGAAGTGAGCGCGTGATATGTCAAGAAGACGAACTTTCAGTGCATTGCCAGACTTGGATCGTCTCAAAGTCACCATAAGCGATAGAAGCAATTTCAGCGATTCCAAAGGCGGCATCGAACTGAAGGACGCATAGTCCGGAATGAAGTCAGCATTGCTGGCCCGTTTGATCTCTCTACAGACCAGACGTGACCTGTAGTTGGGGTGTGTTGCATCCCCTTTGTTTCTGTCAATCCATTTCATGGTGATGACCGGTTTTCCAGACTGTTGGGCTTCTGTGAGTGGAACTTTGATATAGATACCCTGTTTGTGTACCCATGCTAGTTCTTCTTGTCGAGCAGCTCTGACCTTGTCAACATCCAAGACAGCACCGGAGTGTGCGTCAAGCACTGGCTCCACGATGGTGTCATCGCTGTCGGGCAGCTGCTTCCAAAACTCCTCCTCTTCATTGATCACAGGTCCAGCATCGGGTACTGGGCCATGTGAAAGTGAGTGTAGTTCTCCATCACATTCCAGTTGGCGCCTAATGGCCTTGAGAATTGCGTGGACAAGCTTTGGTGGGTATTTCTGGGCAGCTCGGGCTCGTCCATCAACAAGATGTACATGGCGGTGCCAAACTTTGCCTTCTTTGTTTGAACAGCACCCTTGTAGGGTCTGTGCCAGGATTGGAGAGTTCGTGAGCCAGGTAGTTTCTTTCTTCACTGACCCTTCACCTTGGCCATCGGCGGCCTTCATTCCCCAACGGCACATTGGTCCAGTGACCTCATACACCCGTTCATCTGCCCTCAGTCTCTTCACAGCTCTCTCTTCCCACGAAGCGGCCCCTTTAGGGTGCTCATGGTAGAAGTACCTTCCAGCATTCATTTGATGCTCATACGCTGAAACTGCCGTGCGCAGATGTTTGCGACCATCTTTTAGTCTCTGCGCTCGAACTTCAGGTGAAACATTGCCCTTCGCATCCACAATGTTTTGCAGCTTCGAGAATGGCCCACAGGGAGGTGAGCCGCCGAGGAACTCTGGTTTCTCATAGTCAAGCAGTTGAAACAGATCACGAATGTGTTCATCTTTACTCAAGTCCCAGTGAGTTCCATCACCACGCTTTGTCTCCAAGTCAATCGAGAAGCCAGGTGCTAGCCCGACCACTTGGGCTTGTGCAGCCACACGCGGTGGAGAGAAGATCTCAGCAACCTTCCCTTTTGCGATCACATCTTTGAGCAAGGAACACAGATGTAGCATCTCCTGGTTTGTCTCAGGACTTGTTGGTGCAGCGGCAGCACCTTCCGGAACACCAGATGAAGCATCCGGTGCCGGTGGTCCGGCTGACCCTGAAGCCTGAGCTGAAGATTCATTGTAAAGATCTTCAACGTCGACTTGTGAACTCCTTTTCTCTCCTCGGGATTGTTCTTGTTTCTGCCTCTTTGGGCTTCCTTCTCTTTCTTGTTCTCTCTGTCTGAGTTCTCCACGAAAATCGGTGTCGACCAGTGGTTCACCAACAGCCTCACTTGCATCCATTTCCGCATCCAAAGGAACACGGTCTTGCAAGACTGGTTGTTCAACTTCCCCTCCTGGGACAACTGGTGGTGCAGCTTCACCACCTTCTGCCCCACCACCCTCAGGCGGTGCAGCCGCGCCTCTTGGGCGCCTGCCTTGTGCAACTCTCTCTCTCGCTCTTTTGATCCTTTCTTGACCTTCTGGAGTCTTGTCAAGTTCGATCTGGATTCTTTGTCTGCACTCAGCATTGTGAGCTCGGCTTGGCATCTCAAGTATTGCTGCTTCACATCCAGGACACAAAGGTGTGTGCCCATGCTTTTCCAAGTCATTCTTGGTGACATAGAGGTTCCTTGGGATCACTTCTTGCACTGCAGGCCTTTCACGAGGCGCTGCAACATCGGGAAGGGCGATCCTCAGTCCACCATGTTCTCGTTCTTGCAACCTCCAAGGAAGGCCACGTAGCGAGTCAAACTGATCATGTTTGAACTGATCGTCAGGTGGGCGTCGATGGATCGAGTTCCCCTTCATGATTCCACGTTCCGTCATGACAAAGACGTCTGAATTTCTGTTTCCAGTTCCAACGTACATCCCAATGGATACCCTTGGAGCAAGGTCATTTCTCTTGCCCCCACGATTGGCCCTCGGCCTATACAGGATGCTTTCACCGAACCTCACAAGCGGAATCCGCCATTTTCGTCCATAGGTCCGCTCAAAAGCGGTCTTTCCATCAGTACCTACTCGGTATCTCGTCAAGAGAAAGGCAGCATGCCGCGGGAGCCAAACCAAAAGTGGATGGCCCGGATCTACCTTCCTTTCCAGCTTGAACTCCAGGTCGCTGAGGAGAGCACGACATTGTCGTTTTATCTCTCGCACTCCCACTTCGATAAACCCATTGGCTTGATGGTCTTCTACTGGGGTTTCCACCAAGTGCACTTCGATGTGGGTCTTTATCTCCTTAACCTTCTGTTTAAGGGATACCAAGGAGGGTTCACCGTCAGACTTAAGGATTACCTTATTAAAACCAGCATCATCCAAAACTCCCCCAAGCCACGCGATTGCGAACGCATCCGCCCCTTTTCCCGGGAGAACGCTCGCCCAAAATCTCTTGGTCTTGTGGCACTTCACCACAATGCTCGGAAGGGTCGCCTCATCCGCAACCTGGTCCTGGTTCATATAGAAGTAGTCCAGGCTCAGCGTGGGCAACTGCGTTTCTGGCTCATCAAGTTCCTTAGGCACATGGCGATCAGCAGTCACACGTGCCCTTTTGCAGTGCAAGCACCAGCTCCGATGGACAACATGTCCAGTGCTTTCATGTTCGTCAACTTCAGCTTGGGATGGTTGATGTGGTTCTTTCTTCACAATGGCTTTCCTCTGTTCTTCACCGATTTCCAAATCAACTTCATCTTCAAAGGCATCTGCTCCGGCTGAAGCAGCTGGAACATCGCCTGAGGACCCTGCTCCGGCCGAAGCGGCTGAAACATCGCCTCCATCTTCCATGGCATCGGCTCCGGCTGAAACAGCTGGATCCTCGCCAACAGCGTTGATTTGTGGTCTTACTCCTCTTGAGGATGCCCCTGAAAAGGTGACACCCAATAGTCCAACACATAGATGCCTCGGCGATTGTGCACAATGGGCATTGAATCGCCATAATCTCGGATCAGATCTTTCATGGCCTTCGAATAGGCCCGTCCCGCAGGAGTGTTTCTTGGGATCAATCTCCCCGAAGATGGTCCAAGGGCGATGTGGTAGTTCTTGGCGATCTCGGAACCTGAAAGAAGTGGCCGATGCACATCTGCAACTCGGCAATCGATTGGGATCTTGTTGCCAGATTCGTCGTATCCCACCAGCTTCACACTTCCCTGATCTTCGATGGGTTCCGCATTGGCTGCCTTGTAGCTTGCTCCATTGGACTCGCTCCTCGGGTAGTCCTTGGCGAAGTCAAGTGGTACTGCAGTGATGGCAGCACCGGTGTCGATGTTCAACTCTGCTCGTTCCCATTTTCGCCAGTCGTCAGAGGCCCCCAAGCTGTAGACTGCAGCAGGAGCCGATCCAGCTCCACCATCGGGGTCTCCTCTGCCTGGTCGGTCTCGAGGCTCATCAGGCTCTTCGATGTAGACCTCTTCCATTTCATCATCATCTTCATCTGCGTTCACTTCAGTGTTTTCCTTCAGAACCAAGGCTGGTCGGTTCTTCCTCGCCATCTTGCGCGCCACATTGCGGTTGCGATTCTTCTTCACCCTGTACCCAACGCTTCGAACACGCTTGGTCATGGGTTTCTTCTTGGGGTCCTTCTGCAGCAACTTGGCCTCGTCGTCCGGGAACTGCCTCAAGGTTTTCCGCTCTTCCGCTGAAAACTCTATCACTGTGCTCTGACCAGCTTTGCCCACAACCACCGTCTCGATGCCCGCATCCAAGTTGTCTTCATCCTCGATTCTCACTATGCCTTCTGGATTTTCTGGGTTGTCAAAGCGTTCATGCCATTCTTTGTCAAGTCGAATCCTTTCAGCCGCACGTGCCTTGACTCCTCCTCGTCGGTGGACGATTGCACGTCTTCTCAAACGTTCATTTCTCCAGGCCACATTGTGTGCAACACCTTTGGCAATCTCGGCATGGTATCTCGAGTCGTGGAAAGAAGGATCGCTGATGTTCTGCTTTGTGATGTGCGGTGCCTTGACAGATCTAGTCCTCAAAGCCGCTAACATCGCATCTGCCTGGCCATCTCCTGAACCAGGATCTTCTTCTTGGACTTTGCGGATTTGTGAACTCAGCGCAGCCTTCAGCATCTGGACAAGTCGAGAACCTGAAGTCGAAGCTGCCGATGATGCCTTGACAGGTGGTGGTGGCTTCACCTGAGAGCTTTGCCATCCCGGTGGTGGACATGGCGGAGTCTTGGGTGAAGCTACTTGGCTTTGCCATCCTGGTGGTGGTCCTGGTGGAGTCTTGGGCGAGGCTATCGGCTGTTGTGGAGGTGATGCAGGCCATGCTATAGGTGTCGGTGGTGTCTTTGGCAAAGGTGTAGAGCTACGAAGAAGTTCTTCTGGAGTCTGTGGCCCATGCCTCAACCTTCTCCTTGGTGGTGGTGTCATCGAAGTCATTCGAAAGCGTCGGAGTGCTGACTCCGGAGTGACTGGCCCTGATCTGCTTGCTTTGCCTCTCTTTGGTGCTGAGCTCTTTGGACTTCTGCCCCTCTTGGGTCTTCCCTGTGGCGTTCGAGGTGCCTTGGAAGACGCGGACTTGGATGTAGTGGTCTCGTGCTCGGTGACCTCCTCCAGTCGAAGCGACCGAAGGGGTCTTGAGCCACTCGATCCACTCGGTCCATCATAGTCGGGGTCGTCCCACTCTTCAGGCCATGACGCACGTGGGTGAGGCAAAGAAAACCACCTTCTGCGACTTGTCGAGGCTTCCGACTCCTCGGACTCGGGATCGACCTGGAAACTTTCGTCGTCATCCTCGTCATGTGGTGGCCCATCAACACCATAGAGCGTTAAACCATTTGCTGCTTGTTGACCATCGTCGCCATCAGCTGCGTCCCAGTCTTCTGCTTCTGGTTCACCTTGTTCGACATTGTTCACAGATTTGCCTCCTTTGGGCTTCTGCTTGTGCTTTCCGGGGCTGCCTTTGCCCTTGCCCTTGTCCTTATTCTGATTGCTGTTGCCTTTGCCACCCGTCCCCTTATGTTTGGGGCCTCCAGGTGCCCAGCAATCTGCCCGCAGATGTCCTGGGCGTCCGCAGTTGTGACATGTTCTCTTCTCAGCTGTTGCATTTCCCTTTCCAGGTTTTCCTCCAGCTCCCTTCTTGCCCTTACCTTTTCCCTTTGCATCTTTTCCAAAGCTTCCGACATCCATAGGATCGTCCCCACGGCCATGTGCGTCGTAGGGCTGGCTGTTCACCACCTTGATCTTGTTGCCGGTGGCATGTTCCACATAGGACTGGATCTCGGACAGCATGGACTCGAACGTCTTGAAGCGATCTCGATTGAGAACGAGATGACGCTCGAGCTCTGCCGGCACCAATCGTTCAATCACGTTGATCTTGATGTCTTCTGCCAACATCGTTCGGTTGCCAGATGCGTCTTTGCGACGTTCATAAAGTCTGATGCTGTCAAGAAGCTTCTCCAGGTTGGACGGCAAATCTTCCATCTTGGATCGAGCCGGTGACAAGATTGCATTGAGGAGAGCGCGTTTGCGACCACCAGTGGATGGGTCGTACCTCCGCGTGAGCTTTCTCCAGCTTTCGATGCCGCATTCCCCGGTGTTCAGCACGATGTCAAAGGGCTCACGCTCTGTCAGCATTAGCAGCGCGTCCCAAAGCTCGCGTCTCAATTCACTGATGTTCGACACCTGGTCAATGGCATCTGCTTGACTCCCAAAAGCCTTGTCGATGTCATCTGCAGTGATTGCATGATCGCAATCTTCGGCCCAAACCAGAATCTCACGAAGGTCTTTGCGAACACTTGCAAGATAGGAGGACGTCTTGATTTTCCATGACAAGAATCTTTCGGCTGTCCCATCAAACTTGTCGGGCTTGCCAAGGCCCTTGTTGTCGACCAACCGGACTTGTTCTTTCGATCTAAGGGCGTCCACAAGCTCCTTTTGTGACTGCACCAACTGTGCCAGTGCACTGCCAGGTCCAGCTGAAGCAGCCGAACCGGCACCAAAAGAAGCGACCTGTGCTGTCAGTTCAGCTTCTCGGCCTCTTAGTCGATTGACCTCGGTCTGTAGTTCCTGGAGCGACTGGAGGACCTGTGCCGCTTGTTGTTGGTCCATTGCTAAGACCCTGGAGCGTATCGCTCCGCTACCATGAACGGAGAATATGCAACTCGCTATTTTAGCAGCGGTGTTCTTGAGCCAAAGGTTGGCGTAGCAACTAGTGAGAACCCTATATCCCGTCAGAATTTCTATTGTATCCATAATTTATGGATGGGAGATTATCTACTAATTTGCAGTATATCTCCCAAATGAAAAAAGCCAGAGGGGATTCTCCCATGATTTCTAGACATTCAGCTGGACCCAAACAGGGTGAATTCTGAAAGGTCGATAAAGGTACTGCTGATAGAAATACCGTAATGATACCGTATTGTATGTTATATATATATTTATTTATTTATTTATTTATTTATTTATACATGGGAATGCTCAAACCAGGTCGAAGAGCACTTGTGTGTGTGTGTGTCCTCTATCCATGCTGGCATTTAGATATCCGTTTGAGATCCACAATATATATATATATATATATTTCGTCCAAAATATTGTGAATAAATAACCACTGATATCTATCCACTCTTTTTCGTTAAAAAAAACTAACCGCGCCTTCGACAGCAGATGCCCTGAGCCTTCAGTTCATGAACCTTCGAGAATCATGGCGTGGCAATGGTGTGGCCATGTAGCTTCAAAACGAGGTTCATAAATCCTCCCCAATTCGTAAATGGGGTTGTAGTCACAGTTTAATGGGATTTAATAGGATTTGATTTAATGGGAGTTACCCTCTGGTGAACGTTTACATTGCGAACTGGAAAGGTCCACCATTTTGAATGGGAAAATCAACTATTTCTATGGCCATTTTCAATAGCAAACTCTTAAATTGCCGGTATTCCAAATCCCGGAACATATTTCTCCAAAAAAATGGAAGGGGGATGAATAAGGATTGCTCATTCATTTCAATAGTTGTTCCTCATAGATGTGGTGACTGAACCTATGGAAACGTCTGAAGGATTCTGAAAGTCCATTTACTTCAGTTGCAACAAACAAACTGAACAACAACTGCTAAATTTCTTTGATGGCTAGATCAATTATTGTTTGTTGGTTAAATCCTATGTTTTGCTGGATTTAACCCCTTTTTTGCTGGTTAACTCACGATTTTTGCTGTTGAGTCCCCAACCAGTCGCTCCGCTTCCGCCGCATCCAGTTCCGTGGGGCGGGTGACCACCACGAACCTCGGACCGTGAAGCCTTTGACAAAGGGGGGACTTCACAGATTTATAGATTTACCCTCTGGTTATTTAACATAGCCATGGAAAATGGCCCATTTATGGATGATTTTCCCATTAAAAATTTTGATTTTCCATGGCTATGTTAAATAACCAGATGGTATATATGAATTATAGATATGTGTTTTCCTGATTTGTAGGATGGTTTTCGAATTAAAGCCTCCATATATAGGTTACTTTCCGATTCAATGCCACTTTTAAAAGCCCTTTTAAAAAGATGATTTCCCATAGCCATCAAGTAGGATTTCCCAGAATGCATTATGATAATGGTTGTCGTTTCCATGACGAATTCGGATTTACCATCAGATCATGGCAATGGATGAGATGCTATTAAAATTATGACAACTACAATGTCATAATATGAGCATCGCATGTTTTCCATAAGAAGCTTGATTACGATAAATCCCCAAGGTCTTAGTTGGATAGTATGACCCCTTTTATTACAATCAACCAACAATGGTGTTTCCGTAGTCCCATCCCCCTAAAATGGACCAACAGTCCTGCAGAAACCATGGTTTACCCTCTGGTAATTTAACATAGCTATGGAAAATCACCATGTCTAATGGGAAAACTCACTATAAATGGCAATTTTCAATAGCTATGTGAGTTTACCAGAGGGTAATCATACGAAAAATCGCCCATAAAAAATGGGACATTTTGGGATGGAGGTGTTCTCCCATGTTAGGGGCTGGGAATTATGAGGTCAATGTTTGATGTTAGATGGAGGTGTTTCATGTTTACCATCTGGTTATTTAACATAGCCATGGAAAATCCCTTATAAATGGAGGTTTTAGTGGGAAAATCATCCATAAATGGGCCATTTTCAATAGCTATGTTAAATAACCAGAGGGTAATTTGGAAACCACTTGTAGCAAACAAGCACAAGAAGTTTGGAGGCTTTGTTGGCTTGTTTCCAATGTTTCCATATGTTTCCATGATGAAACTAAGATAACATATGGAGATTTGATCAACTAAAACTGAGCTTCACCCCGGATCTCAGGAGCAAAAGTTGGGCAATGAGCGCTAAATTGTAAAAGCGGAAAACATGTTGTAACAAAACAGCGATGCAAGTAAAAGAATGATAAAAAATAGTGGGAACATGACATGATACCGAAATATCTCGAAATATGAAAGGTAATAGAGTATATAATAGACTTCCAAAAAGTGAAATATGGATCAATATGGTTTATGCTGAGGACAACCCATAGTAAACATGTTGCGTCGCTGACCCCATGGGCCCCCGAACTCTGCAGAGGCGCCGTTGGAGACGACGCCCTTCGGACTGGGCGGGGTCTTCAGGGCACGGCTCAGGAAAGCGACCTCAGCGACCGGAAAGAGCCGGCGGCTGGGCTGGTGAACTAACATAGCCATGGAAAGATCCACCATTTTTCATGGGAAAATCCACCATATAAATGGGCATCTATACCATGGCTATGTTAAATAACCAGAGGGTACCATTTCTATCCATTTCTCATCTACCCATCGTTTAATGGGGTTGACTCCTCGACTGGTCAGCAAAGGGCATCCCTGAAAATGGTGGATCATAGGGCCATTGGCTAAAACCCGTGGCTTTTTGTTGAAGCCCTGAGTATGGGGTTCCTGTACCACCAAGTTGAAGCCCCAATTGCAGCTGGTAGTACTGGTAGTCCGTTGGCTCGTAGGCAGGCTGGCCAACAGTATGGTAGTGGACAGCTCCACTAGACCAAGGATAGCCCCAGCAAGCCAGAAACCCCTCTCTCTCTTTGGAAATGGATGGGAAATGGAATGAAACGGCACATCATTTTGACTGCGGGCTCTTATTCTCCTCAGCTGCATGCAAGTGCCTGACATTTGTTGTCACGATCGGCGCCTGTGCAGCAACAAAAAGGCAACATGTTGTGCTAGAATTGGGGTCAAAACGCTCCATTCTTCTTGAAAACATGGACCTGAGGACTCCCAAACTATTCCACAAATGCATGTGCAACGAATTATTTTCTGGTACAGCTTCAGCTGTCCAAACATTCAGTGAAACGCTGCGCCTCACACTTTCAGGGCGACAAAGCTTCTTCGTTCGTCATTTTCCCGACGCTTGTACTTGTCGAAGCGTCGCTTCAAATCCGACATGCCGGCATCTGTCTGGTATTTGTTCAAAAGCTCGAAAAGACCTGACAGTTCAAAGTGTGGAAAAAAAAACAAATTTAAATCTAGAAATATGCCGAAATCGCTTGTTTGCAAAGAAAACTCAGAAAATAAAACGCAAAACTTAGAGACTTGTTATGTATATAAAGACAATCTAAGACAATTACAAGACTTGCTTGACCTTAGTTCGGGCCCGCCCTTCACTGAGAAAGCCACGTTCCGCACAGAGTTTCGCAGATCTTAGGACGTAATGAGCTCCGGCATCCTTGGGTTTCTATCCCCGTCACAAGGTGGGCGATGGATAGCAGCTATGTTGCATTATGTTGCTATCCCCATCGAACTCTAGCAATAATAGTAATCATAACATGAAATAACCATAAACTCAGTTAATGAATCTATAGTGATATTCAGCTTTTTCAAAAAATCATATCAATCAATTATGAATCATTATGAATCTCTGTATGTTGCTGGTGTTTTTTTGTGAAATCAACATCTTTCGTGTTTTTTTGTTTCCAGGCATCGTAGAGTTCCGAGGCCTGTTCGGGGTTATCGGCCGTGACGATGATGTGAGCCTTGGGCCACACAGTCATGGCCACCTTCAAAATTCGCAGATTGCTGGTGCCTTGCAGCATGGTGTCCTGGGGATGGGGATGGAGATCAGCTCCACAGGGCGAACTGGGCCAACCACGATGTGTCCCAAGGAGAACAAAATGCTTCCCAAGATGGGAGAAGAAAAAACATCGAGGATTTGAATCCAACTATGAGTTCTCATGAATCAAATGCCCTTATTTTTCAATGTAAGCGAACTCATTGGAAAAGCCGACAGCAACAAGCGCAACAAGTGTCAGGTGTGGTCGAGATGATGATCTTAGGCTCCCCATGAAAGCAATGTTCCAGGACATCCGCCGAGGAAAAGTCACCTGAGTAGAGGTGACTTATGTGTGTCACCATAAAAATTACCATTACGCTAATATCTATATATATATATTGTATATGAATATGTATTATAATGTGTGATATATAAATATCTCTCTCTCTCTCTGTGTTCAACCCATATTCATTGGTATGATATTTGGGTTGATAATCCATTGACAGGTCCAAAGGGTCTGAATGGATCTGATTCCATTGAGTTCGGGGATTTTCAGCCATGTTTGCTCATCAGTTGGTTAGAAATTATATGTATATCTCTCTCCATCGCCATATATTATTTGTTCACTTATTTATTGAATTAATGCCTCCAATTCCCATAAATTCTGTTCCCATTGGGTTCCATTGTGTTTATTCCATTGTTTCTCTGTTTCACTTATTTGTTGAATTAATTCATCATATATGGGAATATGAACACACTTATTTCAGAATTATGGAGAATTATGTGAATTGATATCCATACTGTTTCTTCAGATTCATCTATGTGTTTATTCATTAATTTATTCCCATGATATTCCCATATTTCCCAACGATATCCCAATGAAGTCCCATCTAGCCGTTTCTAACCCAGGTGCCGTAGGTGAATTTGACCCCACGCCGGAGCAATGGCTCCTTAATGGACTGGTTGAACTCCACCACCTAGCCATGGAATGCGGTATGGTGACAAGGTAAACATTGTGGTAAACCGTTTCTGCAAAAAACTTCCGATTTTGGAGGATGAATTTTACCACCCACGGTCAAATTGGTGATGGCTTAGCATTGGGTTTACCACAAGTTATGTAAGCAGTGTAAGCAGTGCATCTGTCGACAAGCTTCGACCACTTGGGGTGTGTCTCAAAACGTGTCCTCCTTGAATATGCTTGAATATGGTAACAGGTGTATGAGGGTACTGTAAACAAGTCTAAGTGGATTTAAGATTTTAGGACGATGTGTGCAGATTTGAGTTGCCCCCATTTTTTGGCATGATAGAGGTTGGGACAAAATCCATTAGTATATATTAGGATCGGTCCATTAGTACACAAAACCATTTCAAAGGGATGATGCATGTTGGGGCATACTAAAGATGTCCAACGTGGTTATCGTGATTTTGTCAGGATCTCAACCATTCTCAACCCAACTTGCCACCATCAGCCACCACACCTGCAGCTTTCGCAGCAGCTTCGGTGCGTGGTGTTCAAACTCTGCGATCAGCATAGAACCGATGCGGTGAAAGCCTGCGGGCTTTAGCAGGAAACAAGTGAAAAGGGTCTTGACACCAACTTTCACCGTTCTTGAAACTAGCGAAGAAAAAAATCTCGGAAAAGTCCAGAGCACATGTTTGGGATCAAGTGGTCAATCTTTTATCATGGATCATCCATTCGAACATCTCCACGGCCACATGTTCCCCACCTAGCAACAAAATGTCGCGATCATCCTCATGCGTCGGCTCCTCATTCTCATGCGACAAGCCCGCGCGACAGATCCGACGTGAGAGCCAGGCGATCCCCTGGTAGACATCGTGGTTGTAGTTGATTAGATTGGAAGAGAAAATGGACAGGATCATAAAGACCTTGGCTGATCATGCTGATCTTAGCTGCACAAGGTCAGACCGGACCGGAGGCGGGGAACTCCGCTTTGCCCAGTTCGAAGATTCAGAGTTTTTACTGGATCTGAACATTTCATGAAATGTCACTGACATTTGCATCTTCCCTATGCTGAGAATGAACTTTTTGCAATTCATGTTCAAAAAACTTGACTAGCAAAAAGTACTCATAAACAAATGGCATTTCCCAACACAACCTCGGAGTTCGCGGTCTGATTTGGGGTGTTGGACTGAAACTTTGAAGAATGTTTTGGCTTTGCCTTGAAGAAGCCAAGTAGTGCGCGGCTATCCCCTTGACTTAACAATATAGGTGCCCTGCCCTCACTCTCACGACCCCCCCAAAAAAAAAAAAAACTGGCAATATTTTGCAGCAAAATTCATCCAACAAAATAGCTGCGATTCTCATCCTCCTACCGTCACTCACCACGGCTTGCACACACAAAAAACGAAGGAAAGGAGTCCCCAACTTGGGGGAAAAACTCTGATGAACTCATCTCCGTGACCCAAATGATGATCTCCAAAGTTGACGCATCCTGAGCTCGATGGCCAGGTCCGAAATTCGGCCGGCCCCATTCCACGTGGTTTATGAACGACCCAGGCCATCAACCCACATCCAATCCCATCATCAGTTCTTCCATATAATACAGTTCAGTGAACTAGCAAAAAAATTGGTTATATTCTGTTCTCAAAATTTGTGTGTTGAAGAGTTGGGATAGGTCCACTCCCAGTTCTAGGAGGGTCAGCTGCTCACCCTCTGGACCCTTGGATGGTCAGCTTCACCAAGCGCCAAGGATCGATGTGGCCATAGCCCATCCCCAAGGAACAAATCACCAGGGCAAATTCCGAGATCTGGGAGAGGTTCAACGTGGCCAAGATGCCCAGCCGGGGCGTGCCACCCAACCTGGGCCAGCTTGGGCGGACGGCGGAGTTCCTGGAAGGAACTTATCACTTGTTTGATGAAAACTGATGTGCGGCAAGTTTGCCGAAATGCTCAACCCAATGTCGACAGCAACCTGCAGATGCCGTCCCAACATGTTTTGACCACTGCCACTTCAACCGCGGCACATGTAGACCAGCAAGAAAATGCCCAGCCAGCGAAAGAGCAGCACGGTGCAGGACACGAGCAGGGCGGTCAGAATGGGTTTGAAGGATGGCACGGGAATCTGCATTCCCAGGGCGGCAAAGAAGAGCGTGATGAAAAAGTCGCGGATGTATTTGATCTTTCCTGCAAATAGCTGGGCCATTCAGAAACTCCACAATGTGGGTGAAAATGGTGTATACCAAATGTCCGTTTCACTTGTTTGGTGGGCCATTCCCCAGTTTTAAACAAAGGAATGACCAAACTTGCCATTTATAGATTGGAAAAATGATGATAAACCATCAATTTTGGGGGCTGCCAGGTGCGAACTGGGATACAAAGACCGAAGTTTCCATGGTCGATCTATATATTGTAGTTTGAAGAGGTATAAACTCACCATAACTGCCATCTGTGGGCAGCCTGGACACCCCAGCTATGCCAAGCTTCCATTGAACTCGGCGCTGTAGGGAAATGTCGCCAGGGCCACCCCAGCAATCAGAGCAGCAAGCTCCATCCCAACACCCACCCAGGGCAACTGTGCGGTGACACCCATGAAGAAACACCAGGATAAAGACAACACCTGGAGCTCGACCATGGATGATATGGATGCATTTGCCGGACACATTGCGGCCATGTGTCAAAGAGAACGCCCGAAAAAGCTGGTGGTGAAAAGAACATTGGTTCTTCATCGATTGGGATTTTCATATGCAAACCCGTGTGCAAACATATGTGCAGAACCACGCCACACATGTGTGTTCCAATCCATGTGGGTGATTCTATAGACGATGGCTCCGAAAAACAGCGGCCTTCATCCCCCACTTCCTCCGCTCCCTGGCGCACCAGCATCAGTTCCACGCTCTTGGATGCAAAGAACAGCACGGCAGGCATCACAAATTTGGCGTACAACAGGGCCAAAACAATCAGAGCGGCAATCCTGGCGGCCACCGATGATGAAAATCGTCGTCCAATCATCCCAGGAAGAAGTCGTAAAAAAGAAACTATATATGCCTTTATAGAGAGCGAGAGGGGGAGAGGGAGAGAGAGGCCACTCAATGAACATGTATACTATAGATATACATAATGTATGTAATGTAATGCAATGTAATGTAATGCACATGTAAATGTAAAAGGTACATAAATGTAAATGTAAATATGAATGTATGTATGGAATGGTATGGATGGATGGATGCATAGATGGATGCAGGGTGTGCTGATGTATTCCAACACTTGGAACACTCGGATGTCCAGTGCAGTTTGTGACTATTTTGTAGTCAGCATAGTTGATAGCCGGCTGTATACGGGAGAACCTTGGTTCGGGGAACCATGCATATTTTAGCCAGCGTGCTTGAACCTTGAAAACCAATTTCATTGGGGATTGGTTGGGGACAGGACCAGCCAGTTGGCACGCAAGATTGGTGCCTTGTTGAGCCTGGGGCCGAGAACACTGCCAGGATTGAATTGGACGGGATTTCTCATGACCCTTGAGGATTCAGAAACGCTTTGTGCAAACAAGGATCATGCCGAACTGCTTGCACAAGATGACCTGTCACCGCAAGTTTCAACCCTTCTGCTGAAACTTGATCTGAGTTCAACCAAGAAATCAACATAAATCAACCAAGTCACCAGGTCAGGACTGGCCAGGTTGGGCTGAATGGCCAAGAACACCATGGCCCAAATGTCTTGAAAGATCAAGATGCCAACTGTCAGTCTGCCATTGGGCCGATCCGTCTCACCCTTCTCCGAAAGTAGTTTCACCACAATCATCGTTGAAGAAATGCCACAGACTAGGGCGCAATAAATGGCGGCATAGGAGCCCGAGCCGAACTTCAGGCCGGCACTTTCTACGGCAACAAAAACCAGGTATTGCGCACCAAAACACACCTAGGCTCCAAGTGGGCGGCTAGCAGGCCTTCAAGAAACACCTAGTCTTAGAATGTCTTAGAGGACAGGTGAAGCCATCCCTGACACTTGCTGCTGCCCACTTGAAAAAGGGCCAAACCTTCCTTCAATTTCTAACCTGGTTTCATTGGAAATTTTCCCAGGAAACTGGAATTCTGAGTATGCTGGCTGGTCCGTTTCCTCCAGTGTGCTTCGTTTCAGTGATCAACGGCCAAGAAACTGGAAACTGGAACAAACCGGTGAGTAGCACCACGCGACCCATTCGCAGGATCTCCTTCACATCGAGCTCCAACCTGGAGCCGTTGGAAAAGTCAGGACTGCTGCATCTGGATGGATGATGTGATGTGCATATCCGTGGGCAAGTTAGCATACAAATGTATAGTTATTGGTTTATTCGATTTATCTATGTCATATCATATACATATATCTATATAGTATATATGTGTGCGTGTGTGCGTGTGTCTATCATGTGTGTGTGATTGTGTGTGTGTGTTCGCTTCGATGTAGCCTTTCATGATCGCATTCTAACTACGGGTAGAACTTGGATGTACATCACTGGGTCTGCGTCAAGATACTCCTGAAAGAATAACAAATCCCTAATCTGCCCTTTCCATTAAAACTATTGATGTTCACCCATCCTCAGCTGAAAAAGGTTGCAATTGTTTCAAGGCCCGCAGATGCCATCCATTATATAATTTGCAATTCATATACAGGTCCATCTGTAAACATGTGATAAAAATAAAATAGTAAGTATCTAAACCTGAAAATCCACAAAACCATAAAAGCTCTATTAAAAGAAAAAAACATAACCCAGCAACCCGATCATGAAGAGCAAAAATACCAGTCCCAGATTGGCAATCTCGGCCACTGACTCGTGGCTATGAACCAGCTCCAGGCCCAGGTTAGGGCCCACCAGAACACCGCCCAACAAATAGCCCAGGATTAACGGTTGCCTCAGAAACAGACTAGGTCAGGTCACTATGATACAGTAGGAGATGATAATGGTAGTAACCCCCAAAAAAATAGAAGTTGTGAACCTGGAAATTACGAGAGAAATGGCATCTATAAACCATCCTGGATACATCATGTGTCTATCTTTTTGGGGATTGCTATATGTAATGTTACAATATTAATATTGCAATATATATAATATATATATATATATAGAAAAAATGTGATTGCCAAAATATATCATCGGACTATAAAATGGGAGTATATTATTGGTGACACAATGCGGGAATAACGAGGATATGATTGTGGAGTCTCTAGGGATATAATGGATATGTACGAGTAATTTGGGTATGGGGTCAGTTGAGCATAATAATCATAATATCCTTGGAAACGGTGAAAAATCTCCCACAGGTGAAAGACTTCAGTTTTTCTTCAGCAGAGTTTCTTGCAAAGTCCCACAAAAAAGGCCACCATCCCACAGGTCGTCAAACAAAACGCAATGTTGCGTAGCAGCGGCGATGTGCCTCCACCCAATCTTCGATGGTGAGCGCCCTGGTGTTCGCCATCAACCCCATCAATCTCCACGTGCACACTGGCCCACTCGGAGTTCTGGTGCTCGCCGCCATGGTCATCATGGTCCTCAGCAAGATTTGAAGCCATGCAATCCATATGTGGGTGAAATGTCCTTAACCACCCGGACCCAAGAATATATGCCTCCAAAAAAGCATCCAAAAACACTATTGTGGATATCTCTCCCATTTTTCATACCCTCAACTACTATGGGGAATGTTCTAGAGATTCTAGAGCTATAGAAAATCACCATTTTGAATAGCTAAATCATCTAATATCATCTATGTTCATGGTCCATGTTCATCCATTTTAACCATGGCCATGTTAGTTTGGAGCCTAACCCCATCCATCCCCATCCATCCCCATCCATCCCCATCCATCCCCATCCATCCCCATCCATCCCCATCCATCCCCCATGTCCTCCTCGGGCTCCATATGCTCCCCGTGGTTTTCCCCATGCGCCGTCTCCGCCGCGTGGGCCGCGCGCACCGCCTGCAACGTGTCACCGTAGAAGAACTCCGAGACGGCGCCGAGGCTCGTAGAGGAGGCCACCAGCACCTGAGGTGGGGCCACCATCAATGGATTGGTTTAAGGAAAATCTACAGGAAACCATAGTTTTTACCATCAAATATAGGGGGTTCCTGTAAATTTTCCCATCATCCAATTCTATGATCAATGGGAAATTCAGGATCCTAAAATGGAGGTACGTTAGTACCATATAAAACCATATTTTGGGTGTATATCCCCAAAGGCCCCAAAAACATACCCCTTACATGGGCCTTATATATGGTAGGTACCTCCAATTTAGGTACCTGAAGTGGCCATTGAATTACTATATATTATTTATATGCAAGTAACTATGATATTATAGATGCTTGTAGGTAATTACTGTACTATTATTATCTATCAGTATCTATAATTAATATGTATATCATTGCCATTGTCATTATCATTATAATGATCATTATAATTATAATCAAAAAAGAGTTGTTTTAACTTAACTATATAGATACTAACTTGAGGCCGAAGCGAAGGGGACGAAAGCTAGTTTGGCAATGAGGTTGTGCAAGAATGGGTACATCCTCTTCTTCGCTCATTGCCTATGTGCGATGCAGCCTTCCACTACGGTGGTATGCAATTTTTTTTTAACCAGGATAGGGCCAAGATGGTCTTATCGTGGCTTTGCTTCCTACAGGCAAGAGCAAGATGAATGTTTGCATATCACATTCCAAATGGTGCAACCTGCCACACGCGCAAAAATGTGTCCTACCACCTGTGTTGTGCAGCAAAATGATACAAGCAGAAAAGGTTGTGTGGTTCGGTGGTTCCAGCGTGATTGTATTTTTGTTGGGCTCATTTTACTCTTTGGGCGTCGTACCCACGATGTCACATGCAGAAATATGCACGTCACGGTGGTCGACAACGTGTGCTGTGAGGTTTGTACGGTTACCTCATGGTTTCGTTTCTGGTCAGCACCCTTTACGCATTAGACCCAAAATGCCGCATGCAGAAACATGCGCGTACGCTGGTACGTAAAAATGATATAATCAGGATAGGGCCAAGATGGTCTTATTGTGGTTTTGCTTGCGGTGAGCAAAGAGGACTGTTTGCGTATCACATTCCAAAGGCTGCAACCGGAAATACGCGCGAAAATGTGCCCTACGTACCCATGCAGTCAGTTCGACCTCCAACATCAGGGGCATTGTATCCAGTCTGCCTCCAAGTCATTGCCAAAGCAAATCCAACTCCAGCTAGCACGCTAGCTTTCGTGATTGTTTAAAGATTATATATATAAATATATATATGTATATATCAAGATAATTATAACCTTTGTAACTGTATGTTTAGAGTTGCACATGACCATTATAGTTCATCATGATTATTAACCAAAAAATGGGGAGATTCATGGATATTCATAGCTATACATTGGGTATTCATGAATCTTTAGGGATTTAAATGATCCAACCAATTGTTAAGTGAGTATCTAGTGAAATTTGGGGGATTTGACCAATTTAAGCCTGAGGAACTGAGGACGTCATCACCATCATTTGGGTTTGATATGGTTTGATAATTAAAAAAAATGTTTTGGGTGCATATGATGGGATATAGTAGGTTTTTACCATGCGGATTCCGCGGATTCAAAATATCCAAATGGATTGACTGATGGATCTCTTTATGGAAACTCACCGGCAAAACATAGGGGATGAAACCAACTATGCCAGTTAGATGCTATAAGGATTTTCCAAGGGGATATGGTGGGGATTTAAGGCATCATCCTGGCTGGTCGACCCTGACTTGGAATGACGGAAAGTTTGAAGGAAAATCTTACAAGAAATAATTATACTTAGTGGAAAACAGGGTCAGTTTGAGATGCTTGGTAACCATACCCAAGCTTGTGAATGCTTGTGATAGATTTCGTGTCTCTTGAATTCCATGTTTGATTGATTTTGATTGGACATATTCCATTATGTGCCATTACTCATGTCCCGTTTCCAGGCTTTGAACTAAACAATTTGGCTTTTTCGGCTTTACAAGTTGGATAAATTAAGTTTGGCTGGTGAAATCCAGCCCCATTTCAAACTTCATATCAAATATGAATCCTAAATATGGCCCAAGGAAAACAAAAACGAAAAAACGTGCTTTCTAGCCGGGGCGTATCTATTGCCTATACAATCAAAATAATGTCAAAATCCAAAAGAAAACACACTCCAAATAACAATATTATATATAATATATGCTTGTATATATATATATATACATTCAAAAACCTACCCACAAGTTCATCAACGAAAAAATCCTCAGTTCGCCCAATTGAACTTGGCCAGGGCACAAAGATTACAAAGAGAAAGGCCCATGAAAAGATCAAAACCCGGAGGCAGCGGCCCTTGCCCAAGACGCTGGCGCGCGCTGAGGAGCTGTTGATGCCGGACATAAAGAGCTCACTGAGTTTCACCTTAGAACCACGGGCTGGTCCACGGGGAGGACATAGTTTTTGGGACTGGTTGAAAGGGTTGATGCAAAAAACAAATCATTCGGGGCAAAATTCTGGTGGTTTTACATGGTTTTACTATAGCTGATTTAAAGTGTATATATATATATACATTTAACGGGGATTAGATCATGATAACAAATATAACAAGTGGTGGTTGTATGGCTTGGTGTTCCCCTGGGGGGGTAAGAAATCCCTTGCTCCGAAAAACAGGATCGTTGCTGGTCCAAATGTTTGGGGCCTGACTCCCTGGAGCAAACCTGCCCTCGTCCAAGCCACGTTCTGCTGCAGTTCCCGGATGCTTTCGGTGGGAGCCATGTGGCCTGGGCTGATGCCATCATCACCCAGAAGATTCTCATCATCATCTTCTTCCCGCACCTTGGACGACAGTTGGATCAGCCCCAGCTGAAACAGTTTCTTGACACTTTCTCATGAGCCCATGCATCAGCTCTAGCAGATTCGTCTCCGAGGTGATTCAACATCTTTGGGTGTCACAATTCTCAATGGGATCCAATGGCTAACTGAATCTCTGGCCGCCGATTCCAGGCACCCCACTGTCGGCAGTCTCAAGCCTTCCAAGTCAAAACCCCGAAAAACCATGAAAAAACCTCATTGTTGGGTCAATTCCCCATCTATGAATCACTGGCCATGAAACCTCAACCCTCCATTTGATCCCAGACACGCTGACCCTGCCACCGCTCTTCGAGGTCTTGCGGACACTCATCGGCTGTCCGTGCAGCGTCACGTGCGCGGGGTCCAAGATGTCGTCGCCCTCCTCGCGCGCGCCGTTGGAACAGCTTTCGAAGGTCTCCGCCACGGACTCAACACGGTGAACGCGGCAGGTGAGCTCGCGGCGGAGCAACATGTTCATGTCGGCCAAATCTCCTGGGCGACGCAGATGCTGGGTCTGAAAATGGGGTTAACCATGGTTAACCCATGGCCCATTTTGGGCGGAACTTGATGATTCAGCTGTGCGTTGAGGGGCGCCCTGTTTCAGACAAACCCACTGACGGTATAGCTCATGCTCGTTGGTTGAAGCCACGAGGCAAGCCCATGATCATTCAACATTGGATCAATGTTCCCTTTTGCAGATGCAAAGGTTGGTTTGGTGAATAAACAATGTCTGGCCAAATGTGTAGATAAAACCATCCGAGGTAAGGGGAGTTCCAACTCATGCCAGCCACATCTCACAAGGGGATCATGGTGACCGAGAGGATTGGGTCAGGGTATAGCTAGATAAGTTTGCCAATTAACCCATCTGATTGGGGGGAAAACATGGGAAAACTCTCCTACAGACAGATGGCTTGGCCATCTACACAAGTCGTGTCCCCCAAATTGTGGATGGACTTTGGGAGAAATCTCCAGCAGACGGGGGATGAAAGGGATGGCCTGGTCATCTTCACCCTATGTATCCACAAAAGCTGATGTATCCGCAGGTATCTACAACCGTGTGCCATGTACATTTTTGGGGTTTCTGTGAAAATAAGGTCACCATGAAAATGGTAATTTCATGTAGGCCCATTTTGTATGTATCAGATAATCAGATGTATCATTCTATGCCTCTGTTTTGTACATTTGTCTTGTTTCCAAACAATGATGAGAAGCCACAAAGAACATGCACTAGGGATCTGCAGTGTCTTGATTATTTGGTGTCGATTTCCACTTGGAAACAGTTGCGAAATCCCCACAGAAATACTGGCGGATTTCCGACCAGATCCAACCAGGTCAAGTTTCCCAACAGCTTCTCAACCCAATGACTGTCTGATGTGTGGTTGAGCCCCTGAAAAATGTCATCGTCACGGGGGATCAATCCAAAATTCTGGATTTCTGTGGTTGAAAAATGTTGAAGCTATAACCACCAACAAGTACTCATTCAAACTATCCCAATAGATGGTGGTTTAATATGTCTTGATTCCCTATGATTCCCCATCATTTGCTGGTTAATAAGCCCACTTACATCCTCAGTCACTAGTTAGTACAACCCTCTATATATATTTTATATATGATATAAATCACCATTTTCCTGGTGACTCCCATCTTTCATCACTTCTCCTGAAATCCGGAAATCCGCTGTTTGGTTCTTAAATATTTCATAAATCCTTTCAAATCACCAGCTGTTTGCTCACTTTGCTCACCGGGTCACTCACTTGTTCCCTCAGCAATAGGACCTCCTCTTCTAAGTCCCGTCTCCGCAGATGCTTTTTTTCCACGCTACAGGGACGACCCAGGCAGGTCACGCTCTCCATGGCTCCGTCGGGTGATGAGGACAGGCGCTTTTTCAACGGCCAGTGGTGATAAAAAAATGGGGGAAAAACGGTGGTTTAAGATGGTTTAAGATAGTTTAAGAGTGTTTAATAAGATATGGATATGGTTCTATATGGTTTAGACTGATAAGTGATTTCGGATCATCACGGAAATGGAAATAGAACACATTGAAACCGCCAGCCATTAATTTTGGGGTTATGGGATATTATGGGGCCGAAACGGCTACAGCAGAGGCAACATCTAGCAACTTAACAAAAATGGTATTTACAGTATTTGACAGTGAAGCTCAGAAGAGACTTATGTTGGAAGTCTTGAAAAATCACAGTGTTCGAAGTCTGAGCCAAATCTCATCCCCAGCATACCCTAACTTGAACACTCCGAGGTCGTTGACGGCCACCTCACAACCGGTCCCAACCCATTGCCATTGCAATGCAAGGAGCTCGATCTCGGATCGACCTCACCTTTTTCTCCGCCTGGCTGTTGTTCGAATCGCGACTCTGGCTGCGTATGGGAACTGGATGGAACTGGGAACTTCAAGGATACTGTGCTGAACATGGATGTTTGATCCGTTTGACTCATTTGACACTCTTTTTGCTCAGATTTGCATCTCTCTATCAGTTGGCTTCCCAAAAAGAATGGCTCCATTTGCACCGCATTGCACCAGGCTCCAAGTCTTGCATCTTCAACAACCCCCCCAGGTATCTCCATCAACTCTGCTCCGCACACTGCATCTTTTCCTTTTTGGGGGGGAGGTCGGCAGATGCCAGCGGCAGCTTCAGCTCCTCTCAGCTCCTCAGAACTCTTCCAGGTCCATCAAAATGTCGATGGCAATCAGGTAATTGTCCCTAGCTTCGTCCAGTTCTTGAACCTCGAAGGCAGAGAGCTTCGGCACTTGAGGGTTGACCATGTTTTGGCTGGTCACATCCCCCCACATCCCCTTGTTGTCGCTGAAACTCCCCAATGTTGGTGGATGTTGTTCCAGAATTCCTTCTCTTTCTGTTGGTCAAATCGCCATCGTGCGGGGGAAAGTTTCCGAACCAACACTGATGAAAAGATCGGGGGAATCCCTCGCGCAACTGCCTGTCGTTGCAGAAGAGGGAACTTCAGAAAAAGCAGCGGCTGCTGCTGCTAGAAGGAATGAGACAAGAAAAAAAATCAAAAAAACACTTTCACAGCTCCGCACTCCCAAGCAAACCGCAGCAAAAGGTCGCCGACAAGATCCGACAAGCCACGTTGCAGGACCAATTCCTCATCTGTGGCTGGAGCCCAAGCTATCAAACCCAAAATTCCACACCATGTGTTCCGCAACAAATGTCAGGACCAAGCGGACCTAATTCCCCACACATCCCCACACCAGAAATACCACCATGGCTAACCTTAGATACCCAGCCAGAACTTCGATTTCCGGGGCATGATCTACCCATATTTCACTCAAAATTTCCCCCAAATATCTCTGGCCAATTTCCCTACCCCCAGCCGAGCTTCCAGCAATCATCCGCCTCATTACTCCATGCCACACAGAGCCGCAAGACGCGTCCCAGGGCATCGGTTTTCTGCAGTACAGCGTCTGGATCGTTCACCACACCTGGAATTGTGACTGTCGCCATCCAAAGGGTAGGAACTTGGCCCAACTTGGCGACATCGTACATTGATATGGAAAAAATAGTTTTCAACATGGTTCCATTAAACAAACATTTAAACTCTTTAGTGTTTTTCCATTTTGACATTGGGCAATAAGCGGTATTAGATAAAACGACCTTCAAATCACACCAGCTAAAAAAAACAAACATTATAATCATGTGTGTGTGTGTTATTTGTTGTTGTTCGTTGTTTTTTTAACTCGTGGCAAATAAATCTCATCATGTCGTGTGGTGTTCATGTCCATCCCATTGACCACAAGCAACCCCGGTAGGCAGGTCTGGGGTTTGTTCAAGGTCTAGCTAACCAAGAACCTACATTTGGCCAATCGAAATTGATGGTTTGGTTCTGGGTTTACCTAAAAAGTGGGTGTTCACCCAGGTTGGGTCGGCCAACCAAGAAGTTGCCAACAAAATGTTTCCTGCTTCCTGGTTAGATTCGACCTGCTTCATCCCCGAGAAATGACTAACCTGGAAGCCGAAGAAAATTAAGCTGAAAACGACTTCCACGATAGCTGACCGGAGAGTATATGATAATATATCATAATCATTATCATTAGTTTCAAGTTCGCAAGAGTTCATCCTGAACAACAAATGATGCAATGATGCAATATGTCTTGCAATATGTCCAAGTACCAAGTTCTATCTTTAAGAGAATGTTCATCATTGTTACCCTCTGGTAATTTAACATAGCTATTGAAAATGGCCATTTTTAGTGAGTTTACCCATTAAAAATGGTGATTTTCCATAGTTATCTTAGTTTACCAGAGGGTAACTGATATTTTGGAACATCACCATTTTGAATTGGTAAAAATCAACTATAAATATTATAAATGGGCAATTTTCAATAGCTACGTATGTTTTTCATAACCAGATGGTAATGGTTTACTTGCCTGGTTCATCCACCAGGTCTTGAGCCAGTTGCTCCGTGGGTCCCAAATCCTCGATGACCTCGAGCCAGGAGCCGAAGAAAGATCTGCAAGTTGCATTTTTTTAACGGCCCCCAGTGATCTTGGTGCTGCTTTTATACGGTGTTATGTTGGTTTTATATGGTTTTATATGTGGTTTATATGGTTTTATATTGTTTTATTTATGTGGTTTTATGACTCCATCAAAATTACAAGAATAGAGACTCTCATGGATTAGAAAATATGACAAACTTGATAGACTTATCTATCTAATCATATCGAAGTATGTTGTATATTGCCCACATGAAGAAGAATTAGACAAAAATCATAATATCAGAAACGCTCATGATCATTGGCTATCACGAAATATCCATGAAACATCACAGATCAACAAAGATCTGGAATGGCTCCCTCTGCATAACAAAATCCTGGCCAAGCTGTGCAGAGCCGATACGGCGAAGCACCTTCAGAATTTCTCGCCGGAGGGCTTTGCCCCGATCCTCTTCCAGTAGCTCAACAAAGACCTCTGCACAAAAAAAACTGGGGATCATTCTCCCGTATCTCCCATTGGATTCAGATATATTCAGATGGAAAACACATTGAATTCATTGGATTCCCAGGCACCAAAAAAAAAAACGCGAAGAAAATCCGAGCATTTGGGCTGGTAACTCTGGACTATCAATGGATCCGCGAAATGAACTGCTGCAGTCCAGGAATTCGACACCTGAAATTGACCTGATACAGTCGGTTCTATGACTGGTCCATGAAGAGTCGAGAATTTTTTGGGCCCAAGAGAGCTGAAGTTCTCAGCATCTATCGAATCTATAGTGATTCTACAGTTATGGCCCAAAATACCAGTTATAAGTACTAAGAAAACCCCATTTATAGATTGTATAATCCCATAGAAATAACCAGTTATACCTAATAAATGGCCATAGTGATTCTATGTGATTCTTCACTCTCAAATCGACGATGGCGGTCGCAGGTCACCTGGTCGATCGCCTGCAAGGTCTTGCGAGCTCTCCTTAATTGGATCATGGGGATCATGGATGATCACTGAGAATGCTTGTTACCCGATGTGGCAAACTAACATAGATGTGGCAAATTGTGGCAAACCCCTGAAAAAAAATCATGGTTTCATATGGTTTTTTTTGGTGGGAAAGCAATCCACTTAAATGGTGGGTTTTCCACATCTATGCCAGTTTGCAGGAGGGTACCAAGAGCTGCCAAACAATGATGAACCTTCATTTTCTTGACCCTTTATCACCAAACAAACAAGATAGAAAGTGCCCTCAAGATTTTGGAGGTTATCGTTCAGGGCCCGTGGTAAACCTGCTGAGGACCGCCCCCACTTGTTTATTAGGTATAACCCTATTTGGGGTGATTTACAGTGATCCCCAAACTGTTGGTAACCTGGACAGCTTTAATATTGGATTTACCGCATTGATCTGTATGCAATTATATGCATATGTATATATGTATAGAGGACGGACATCCTGAACGTTGTGATGCAAGTCCTGCAAGCTGTCTGCGGCATCCACCCCATCCAGCCCGTGGAAAAGCCCAATGGCCCTCCAACCCAAACTGACCCTGCTGAGATCGATGAAAACCCTCCAATGAATGGGAATTCCAGGATCCTAAAATGGAGGTACTGTACCATATAAGGCCATATTTTGTGGGGATATTCCCTTACATAGGCCTAAAAAATAGGCCTTATATATGGTAGGTACCTCCAATGAATCGGATCCTGAAATGGCCATTGATCCAAGGTGCCACACCCTCTGCCGCGCTGGCGACACCTCCGGCGCTGTAGCCTTCAAAGGTGGCACCTGAACTCGCTTCAGCCGCTGCGCCGTGGCATCGGGCTTGGCCCAGGCGGGCTTGGACGGAGCCAGGGACGGCAGCAGGGCCAGCAGAGGCAGCAGGCCTGAGGTTGGAAGGGCCAAGATTCCATGGGCAACGATTGATTGCCTGACTAAAGGCACAAGAATGGACAAGAATGGGAAACACATTAGGCAAAATGAAGTTGAAGAGTCACATGTTTGGCTTTCATTCCTGGTATATGGTGTACGGATGAGCCCAGTTCACCCCTGAGTTGGTGTCATGAAAGTGGCAAGCCAAGGCTCAAGAAAATTCCCGAAAATGTTTCAAACGAGTTTTGGAACATGTTTGAATCTTGAATTGAAGCATCCCTAAATGACCAGAAAATTACCCGAAATGTTCAGCCGGAGAAGTCTCAAACTGCAGCCTATCCCTGCCTCGTCTGCAGGATGGCACGTCCAGGTGTCTCTCCCAGGGGCGGTTAGCAGGGTGAAGGCAGCTGGGTGGGATTTGAGGCCGGTGAAGCCCAGTTCTGGGCAGTGGCAAAACCATGGCATCCGACGTTTTTCGACGTTTAAAGCAGCTGCTAATTAATCAAAAAAAGCTGCCAACCAGTGGAGTAGTCTGGAAAAATGGATTCCAAGGTATGTCCTCCTTGAATTGGATGTGACAGCTAGTTACTACATAATCTCCGAGATGGACATGGTGAAAGGAGCTTCGAGCACCACGCATGACTCAAAAATCTCAAATATAATCCGTGGTCAACTTGTGGCCTTCAAAAAGCAGCAGCTTTGGCCGCTTGGGCCCCTGGGCCACGGAACCGCGCAGTTCAAGTTGTTCTGCACCCATGATCATCGTGTGCCAAAAGCATCCAGGTCTTATCATCCCTGGCCTTTGATGGCCCTTCCCTTTGATCTAGGCTATTCTAGGCTCCTGCCTCATCCAGCTTGTCATCAGCACCACTTGCCAGGCCCAACCCCAGCATGCCCAACCTCAAGGAATGCTAGTGAAACTGTTGCCACATGTCGTCACATGTTGCCACAGGGGGGTTCAACAGCACCTATCACGACCTTTGACCCATGTCCCAAATTGCCCAAGCCCTACCCCTTTTCACCCTGTGCATGCGCCGGCATCTCCCTGTTGGAGTTGTCGGGGCGAACTTTGGCCGGGTACAGCGCGAGGAGCTGAAAAGTGGCCTGGATGGTTGTGGGCAATGGGGAATCAACGGTCTGGAAGGGCCTTCTTGGCTATGTCGGTCGAATCGGGCGGATTGATTTGTGCTTTTTACTAGAGATAATCACTTGCTGTGGGTGACAATCCAAATTTATCGATGGGAGTTTATTTGTCCAGGTTGGCGTGACCCTACCACTTTCATCCACTTTCACCGTTTCAGGGGCTAGAATCTTGAGCCATGGAGAGCAAAAAGGATATTTGCAGCCACCAACGGCCGCCAACTAGTTTTCTTTGCAGCTCGTTCTGGCAGGGTTCCCTTGAAACGGAAAAAGCTGCTTAAAGATGCTTAAAGCAGATTACTCTCACCATGAAGGCAGAATCAGCCAACTCTTCTATCAACTGGAAGAACGCCTATGTATCAATGGGCGTATGCATTTTCTGGGCCAACTATGGTGGTGATTTACAGCAAGTCAATATCCTTGGTAGGAATTTCCTGTTTAGTTCAAGCGTAGTAGCAACCCATTCGAACATTGTCAGACCTAGTTGGGATGACTCAACCCCCGGTAATTGTGGATGGAGCATGTGCTAAATCCTTCTCTCCTCAACTCCGTTGCTCATCCGCGTGCTCATACTAAAGTTAGTTAATGCTTTGGGAGACATCAGATCCTTTCAAATATCCTCTGGTAGCCGCTAGCCCGACCTAGCCATGGAAATTCATGAAACTTCCTCAATGCTTCCCGGTGATTTGGTTATCTTCCCATGAAATCCATGGAGGATGGAGAAGAACAAAAAAAAAACGGCCCTGGATACCCTGGGTAGATCTGGGTTGGGTAGCTGCTTGGTATAGCTGAGCCCAGGGGCATCCTCCAACTCCTCTCGCGCGCAAAGCACGCGCTGCGCCCACTTCAACATCACATCCGCCCGGCGATTGCCTGCCACGGCGAGGGCAAAGGCGAAGGAGCAACGGCAATCTGTGGCCAGTGTTGCCACTGTATGCCACCATTACTAACTGGGGGATCTATAAATGGAAGCCTTTATGATGTCTTATGGTGGAAATTCACCAACAACGTCTAGTGATTTAATGGGATATAGTGGAGATCATCATCGGGATAGGAGTTTTCTAAGCAACTGGATACGTGCCATGATCAAAAGATTGGAGTAATTGGAGTAATGGATTAATAAACCCCAAACGGCTGTTGAATTCCTATTGGTGGAGTACTCTCCCCTAATTAACAAACCAAGGACTGAGCCCCTGGCGCTCGCAGAGTTTCAAGGTCTCCGCCTCCCAGAACGAAAGCTGCCTGGCAATTTTGTGGTGCCGTTTCTGTGCTGCCCTGGGAACTAGGCAACCCCCACCCAAAATAAAAGAAACAAGTAATGAAATCCCACTAAATAGTGATTTCAACTTAAACCGCTTAGTGATAAACTGTACTGTACTTAACTACTTTTCTATATGTTGGGAGGGCGTGCAAAAACTTGTTTTTTGCTTGGACCACTTTGGATGAGAATCAAAAATCTGGAGATGAATCGAATATCTCCAGAACTTCACACCAGCATTAAGAAATGATCCAGTGAATCATAAAATAGGTGTATCCACATACATCTACATACATACATATATATATATATATACATAATATACTATGTGTGTATCAATTACATCAGGAGTTTAAGTTTGAGATTATCTCTGATCTCTTCCCATCTGCTGCCTTTCCAGCTCCCGTCGCTGTTGGAGATGTTGCACCATGGCTTCCTGGCAGGTGCCGCTCCTTTTTTTTCGAAGTCTTCGACCGACAAACTAAGCCAAGTGTCTTCTTGACTGCATGCCACGATAGGATGTATGGTAGATTCTAGGTATAAAGTCTCTATTGTTACTGGGGTTCACCAAACAAAATTGGGCTACACCGCCTTGTAGCCATGGCTACCCACTTACGGCAATGGGGACGAACCCAGCTTCAGGGAACCGAAGAACGAGTATCCATGGCCAACAGCTCAGCAACTGGGAGGGGAGTATTTGCATACATCTAATGATTCCCAACCGTCTTTAGTTGTTCTTCCCCATGGTTGATGATGCTTGATATATCAGTATATCTGCCTGTCTCGATTTCGCGTGAGTTTGTCAAACAAGCTCAGGTTTTGTTTGGTCTCATTTGTTGGGGGTCAAGCTTGCAAGTCGCCAGAATCCTGCTGAATCCTGCATGATATGCTTGGATCCGGGACTTCGACATTGCAAGATTGCACCATGCAGCACCCGAGAAGTGTCATTGAAGATGGGTGTGGATTATTGTTCTAAGTCTCTCTCTCTCTCTCTGCCAGTGATTTAAAATTATTCCAATGTTGGGTTTCATCTCAGATCTCAGGCTGTCTCAGGTGGAATTTTTCCCCACCAGTAATTTCTGGTTCCCAGCCTTGCTGCTGCGGTGGCTCTCCCAACCCTCTTCACTCCGCGCCGACAGCGGCGCGCGACCCTGGTTGCCCTGGCTGCCCTGGCTGCCCTGACGCGGCGAGGGGCGACTGTCGCTTCCCCGGCCGCGGTCCAAGGAGAGGATGGCTGGGTCGCTGCTGGTGAGCTCCTGCCATGGAGAAGGGCTCTTGAAGCCACTAATCCCAGCCCCCAAATATCAAATATCCGGGTACTAGCCATGAAGTTCAAGGATTGCATTTTCTTGCAGCCTTCCACTTCCTTGGGCGCAGGTCCTGCCAAAACAAATCCCATCGTCGCGCTGGCGGCGCAGCCGACCCCCGTTGCTTCGGCGGTGGCAGAGGCGGCAGGCGGCCGCGGGGGGTAGCGGAGCGCCGGGGTGCTGAGAACGCGGCAGCCTGCGGTTGCACATGTGGCCATGTCTGGACTTTCAAGACACTATCCTCTTTATTGGGAAACCTGTTCCAATGCTGGCATTCTGGGAGCCCATATTTTCTTGGAACCGGGGTTCTCCAAGTCAGGAGGCACCTGTGTGGCGTGATTCCTGCGGTTCTCGGCAGGTGCGCTTCCACCACTTCGCCCAGCTGTCCTAACTTTTGTTGGCAAGATCACTTTGCAGCCAAGATTCCTGGATCACTTGCATCCAGCCGAGACTCTTGTATAGTAATGTACAGATAAAGGCTTTGACTCGGATTTTTAAGGATGGCCCAAAAAGGTGAAACATGTTCCCAATAGATCCCCAATATATTTTTTATATAACCAGTATCTGAAAAATCATCGCAAATCTAGGCTGACTTGCCCCAAAAACCAACAGCTGCAGCTGCACTTCACCACGGCCAAGGCTCGTGAGGATCAGCTCCCTACACTCCAAGACCTGCTCGAAGTATCGCGCTCGGTCGCGGCGACACATCTCCAGACTCAGCAGCAATCCATCCAGGGCCTGCCAGTCACTGCTCCGGGCTGCAAGAATATAAAACCATGCCGTTTCAAAACAAGTTTTGGTGGTTGAAAAAGACAATTAGCTGAAACATGTTCTTGAAGCTCCAGTGATAACAACATGTTTTTGGCATTCTACTATAAAGTTCTTTTTGGCCAACCAGCCACTGGCAGTGCGCCTTCCAGGGGTCTGGCCTCACTTCCAGCGGCGACAATGTTCCAACTGGTTTCTCAACAGGTTTGTTTGCAGCGGAGCGCCTCAAATCCTTCAAAACCTTCAAGTTTTGACTGCTGGAAACTAATAGAAAACTCGGGTTTTAAACTTTCGAGGCGTTCTGCCTAAACTCATTCTGGCGAACGACAAGCTTTCCGAAATGATATGGTAAGCCCACGAGTAGACCACACCTAATTTCAACAGTCAACGCCTTTGAATAGACCTTCAAGAACTGATGAAATTCTTCCTGGGTATAATCTTCAAAGTCTTTTTGCCTTGAATCAACCCCCATTGTTTTGCTGACTTTAGGCTTTTGAAACTGTGTTTCAAGTTTTAAGTCTTCAACTGTTGGCCCTAAGTAAACATAAGCAAGTTTAACGTGTCCAAACGCTTTACGTTTATAGTTTGTTTTTGGTTCATTATCGCAATCCCCGAAAAGAAAGAAAAGTCGTTTTATTACTATTTCCGCTGGATAATGATACATAACATCCCATCAAAACCCATCAAAATCCCATTGAAACCCATAGAAATCTCATTCAAATCCTATTAGAAAGTCTATGAAATCCCATTCAAATCCAGAAAAAAAACCAGTAAAATCCCATGATCATCCCATTGACTCAAACCAAAAATCGCTGGTTGATTTCCTCCGTAGATCCACCCCTTCCAAGGATTCCAAGGATTCCAAGGCGCTCCAAAGGCTCCACGCCAGCCAGGCGCCGCGGCAGCCAGGGACCTCCGAAGCCCGCAGCCGTCAGGCCGTGGCCGCCGTCCTCCCAAGAAATGTGGGATTTAGCCTCTGGTGATTTAAGGTAGCCATGGAAAATCACCATTTTGTTTGGGTAAAATTGGTAAAATCAGCATGTTGATCATCTACAGTAATTATATATTTCTATGGGCCATATGTTCCATAGCTATGTGAAATAACCAGAGGGTAAATGAATTTAACATAGTGATGTATGATGTAAGATGGTTTAAACATGATTTAGACATGGTTTTAGACATGGTTTAGTTTAGACATGGTTTAGACATGGTTTAACCGTAAAAAATGGTAGTGGATTTCCGCAATCATGTTGGATTTGGACACAAACTAAAGGGGATTGATCAAAAGAATATGGGGTTGAAGAATGTTGACGAGGGTTGAAGCATCAAACATGTAGAGTTCGAATGAGTTCGACCTATTTTGAGGTCACTAAATATGAATAAAATGAATGTCAAACAATACCTGGCCAAGTTCTGAGATTTCTACCATGGACGGTTCACACAGTATGGCGGGACCAAAAGCCTCCGAGTGTCCTTGCTGCGCAGCGTGGATGGGCCACTGCTGGTGGCATCAGGGCTGAGCCAGCTGATTTCATCCACGCGGTCATCGCAGCTCCTGGTCCAGCGGGCCCCGGTGGGAGGTGATCTACAGCACAAAATAGTGACTGAAACGTTGTTGATTTGGGTATGGGTCAATACCTATGAAAATACCATTTACCAGGTGGGATGAACATCCATAGATCCCAGCTATTTTGATGTGAACAGAAGGGGTACAAGGTTTTGACCCATCCCCATTTGATAGGATGGTGAAATTATGTGAATGTGTAGGATCATTAAATTACTCAGTAAGTGAAATTTACGTTTTGGAATCAAAATATGTGTGCGGATTTTGTAGCTGTAGAAATATATCCTGCAGGTACTATATACAGCACAGTAAGTGACTTATCATTTGAAGACACCCACCAATAAAACACCACAAAAACTCTAAAAATCACAAACTATATCCCTAAAACCGACAGAAAAGTGATGAATCTCATCCATCCTCCCTGCAAAAGAACTGGAAAAAAAGTGATATTTCCATAGATATTTCCATACATTGCTTGGTGAAACATGGTGAAACGCTGAAACCTCCATTTCTGCCACCCCAATTTTGGGCACCTCGGTTGCGCTTCCGCTTCGGCCAGCCGCTCCAGGGCCTCCGCCACCCGCCGCAGCGCCGGAGGCGGCGTCGGCGTTTTCGACAACGACGGCGCCAGGCGCAGCTCGAGAGCTGTGAGGCGAGCGTGGAGCTCCTCAACAAATTCAAGAGAAAACACCAGAAAAACACCATAAATCACCCAAAGTTTACTGCAAAACCTTGGTGATTTTCGACTCATTTGGAGAGTACGGGCATGTGGACATACCCGAAGTTGTTTTTGGCGCCCATGGAATGCAGGGTTTGGTGCTACAGTATAGATATTGTTAACAAAGTGGTGTCCCATACTTAGCTGCGTTGCTACTACAGTAGGGAATTCTGTGGTTGCAGATGTATATCAAACTACTTCGATTTGGGCTGTAAGCCAAGAAACATATAACACGGGGCAGCGCTAGCGTTTGCTGCATCATGAGTTGGCAACCTGTTTTTGTTTAACCAGAAATAGGTAATGTTGAATTGAAATCATGGAATTGATGTTGACGAAATTTGACGAAAATGATGTCGTTGATGCAATATTGGCTGATTTACTTGATGAATGGAATGTTAAGTCAAGTCATGTATTATTCATCGGGGACTATTACCTACCCAGTGTCTGATGGTACTGGGGATGGCTTTTACTTGACCTACTGCATGAAAAAGCTACAGCAAATTTGAGATTTGCACAGTCTATTGTCATGTTTACTATTGTTTTGATGTGTTGATATAATTGTTCCTTGGTCCTTTGTCACATTAATCATTAATCTGTGCGTTTGTTTCCTTTTTGGTCTTTCTGACCCTTTGTGGCATGAGAGGTTCTTCCCACTCCTTAGTGGTCCTAATGTGGTGAAATCAGCTGAGGTCCATAAAGCAAGAGTATTCTTGGATGATGCGTCCACAACGGTCTTGGAGAATATCTTTACTCATACAATCTCATACGATCAGTGCTTCCCCCACTGATCAGTTGCAAAAAATTAACCCAACATCACCTCACACCACCTAACTATAGATATTAATGCATTAATTGATATATGCATTAATATGCATATATAGATATCTAGATAAGATTCTAGTATATTACAATATATTGTATGTTATATATGTTATATCATCTAATACCATAGTTAATACACCACCTTAGCTACAGTGGCCTCCACTTCCGAGGAGGGCGACAGTTCTGCGGACCGCGGCGGCACCAGAAATCGCTCGAAGAGGGAAAAGACGGCCATGGCGCGATGGACTGAATCGCTTTTCAGGCAACGAATTCGCGATCCGAAGCAACGTACCCTCCGGTAATGACTAACATAGCTATTTAATATAAACATATAGTTGATTTGCCTATAGAAAAATGGTGAGTTTCCATAGGTATGGTAGTCTACCAGAGGGTAAGCATCAAAAATAGGGATGTTGAACAATTTTATCGATGAATTATGGAACGAGGAAGGTCTGAAAATGGGGATGGGCCCCGCAAAATAGCCATCAAATGGGGGAAATGATGAACTGGTGGATTTAGGGCGACAAATTTCACTCAAAAACCCATGTGGAGGTATCAAAGGTGTTGAAAATGCCACCAGATATGACCTGGATGTCGGCAAAAATGTTGCCAGCCCTTCTCAGAAATGTCTATGAAAGATTATGCAAGAGATGATTTGAATGGCTTCCTCAAACGTCTTTGCTGTAATAGAGTTGTGATATGGGGAGGCCCCAATAGCGTCTGGAAGAGCAGGGGCAACTCTGGCCATCTTGGGACTGTCTTTGAGCCATCCACTGATGCGTCGATCGATGGATGTCTTCATGACTTTCCCGTGCCCTTTCTGGCCATCATACATCCCGAACCCTGCGACATCATGAGAGATATCTGAAGTTATCTCAATACAGCAACCCCACGGAGGAACAACCAAAAACGCCCGGTAAAGTAATTTACCATCATTCACCACTATTTTGCATAATGTTGATTATGTCATGTGATAATATTTTATATAGTAATTGGGATCCATATACATCCATATATCATAGTTTACCACTATAATAGTAATTTACCATTATTTCACATCCATTGGGATCCCACGTCTTTCCACCAACAAAAACTCCAAAAACTCACCCCGGGCATCGCATTCTTCGGGCTGTCCGACACCCCGCCGATGCTCTTTCGCACACTCAAGGCGCGGTCGATGAAGTCTGGCGAATCCGAATCGATCACAGATCCCACAGGGATCATCCGTTGTTAAAACGGATATGTTATGACCCATGACGGATCCATGGTGCTGCTATGTGCTGCTATATATGGTGTGCCATGGATCCCATCAATATACCCCAGTCATGTTAGCATATATACCAGCACCATGGATCCTATGGGTGAGATCTTCATATTTTGTCATATCTGATCATGGTAGGAACATCTTAGAATATCTTAGATCATCAGTGGCAACCTACATTAGATCATTTGGTGACAAGCATGGCAATCATTCAATGTCTATCCAACAACTTGCCCACATCAATCTCCAAGTTCCTCTACCTGAAGTCAACTGACTCCACTGAGGCCCCGGTCTGATGAGGAAAGTTGGAACTTCCAGTAATCTCAGAGTATGACCTCAAGCTCTGTTGGATTCATTCCAACGCTGAAGTGAGATGGAAATCTGAGCCAAGGCGCCTGTGGGTGCAGTGTCGAAAATCACCATGTCAAAACCTGGCGCGGTTTTGTTGCCGATTTGTAGTTGCTGAGACTTTCCATGAAACATCGATTTCAGCCATGGCGCCACGGATCCTTTGGGTGGGATCAATGAATTTTAGGGACGTCTCTTCAGTGACCATCATGACCATCATGACCATCCAAACTTGAGTGCTATTTGGGTGTTTGAACTTGTGATTTCCATGGACAAAAGTCAGCCCCTGATATTTCAGGTTCTTGGTCTCCCCCATGGGGGATGGGAGTTTAACAGCCCCCTAATGTATAATGCCCGTGACGGTGAAAGTCAACCCCGATCTATGGTGCACAAAGAAAATGATGAATACGTTCCTTCCTCCTTTGGTTTACCACGTGAATCAGTGGATAAATTTACGTAATTTTTTTTCACCCGCCTGAAAAGTTCAGCCATTTGCAAATGATGCCCCTTACATCCCCCTACTAACCACAATTTGCAGGTCTCGGTCGCAGGAAACTCTCTCTCTCCTTTCAATTGATCTATAGTTACAGTACCCTCCAGTAAGTTCTCAGATGCTCAGAAAACCATCGGAAAACCATGGAAAACCCACCATTTGTAGGACATCTTCAGCATATTTCAGGGTTTCACCGGGTTTCACCGGGTTTCACCGGGTTTCACCGGGTTTCACCGGGTTTCACCGGGTTTCACCGGGTTTCACCATGCATCTTCCACGGTCCACGGTCAAAGCCATGGGTTTTCCCAAGGGCCCACGGAGGCCACCGGCCCCCTTCGGCCTTCGGTCTCGGTGATGGCCTTGGCGACAGCCGCAATTTCATCCACGCCAGGCGGGGGGGACCTCGGTCGCGATGAGATGACCGAAATGCGGTACATGGACATCTGCAAATGATTTAAAGGAAACATATGCATGTGTATATAGTATATATATATAATTATATATATGTGTGTGTACTGTATAATTATATATAATTCTAATTATGTGTGTGTGTGCGTATCTTGTTGAGCCACTTCTAGGCAGATTGACTCACTGAAGTGCGGCCCTAATAGTCCAACAGGGGAGGAGACTGTACCCCCAACCAATGCATCAACCGCGAGATTTTCAGGTTGCCCCATGTTTTTTTGTGCCATGTTGGCCAACAAACCGATTCAATCACTGCCATTTTCATCCATTTTCCACTGGAGTGACGATCAGCGATTTGTGCCGATGCATCGATGTCCTATCACGGGCCAGGTAGCTTTGACCAGGCGCGAGCTTCAGCAATCCGCCACCGGTGGCAATGAGTTTCTGTATGTTTCTGTTGATTCATCCAGATTCTTGTCACCTTCAGCTGAGCAACTTGGTTAGATATTGAGAACTTCTGGCTTCAAAGGAGGCCCTCCACATGTAGCATCGAATGGGCCGCGCGTAGATATCTTGCCATCCGGCCTCTGACTTCGTGCAGTGGCACGATGGTGAAAAAGTGTGCCGCCGTCAAGAGGCGCACTTGGCGATGAGAGACCTCTGGGTACAGGGCCTTCCTCGGAGCTGATGGTTTCCAAGGTTGTGCTGGGCAGCTGGGCTGTCGGGGAGAAACAGCAGTTGAAAGAGCTGGAAAGTCAATGCTGCTCAAAACAAATGAGGAAAAAACGATGGGAAAAAAGGTACTCTGAGAGCTGGGTTTTCCATGGTTTTCCATAGCAAATTCGCCTCACTCAACCTCCCTATAATCCTATACCTCAGCCCCAGATTCAGAGCAGTGCAATCCTCTGGCCTATCCCATCTCTCCCAGCCGTTATTCGTTGTCAAGCATCACTTCTTCCCAGAAGGCCGCGCGCAGGGAATCAAAGGTTTCACTCGCAGGTTCGTCCAGATTCTGATCCAACAGCATGAAATCGTAGCCACAGAGGCTTTGGAACACCTTGCCTTAGGTGCCAACTGCTGCGAAGATCATCGCAACTGAGTTTTAAAAAAAGATCGGGAATCGGGGCATACATAATAATTGCTTATGCATTTCTTTGGAGTGGACGAATCCTGATTGATCAATGGATGTCCGTCTCTTGCCGCATCATGTCCAAGCACGCAAAAACCGCGAGTTCCTCATTTGAAAACAAAATGTCAAGGCATGTTCAAGTAACATTCAAGTATATTGCCCAAAAAAAAAGCGAGACTCGGACAGTTTCGGCTTGGAAATCCAGCGGAAAGGAAAAGCAAGATGGTTTTTTTCCAAGCCGTGCGGCACAAGAAAAATTGCTGTCCCTTCTATTGGCTGGTCGCTTAATCTCCAAGTCCCCGTTGAAGCTAGCAATCCCACCTCCCTGAATGTTCCGGAATCGTATTTAATTTCAAAGGATGGACCCCCAACTCTGACCATTTCACATCATTTAACATCATTTAACATCATTTACCCATCAACCAATCTGCGTGATCCACCGCAGCCGTGGCACTGAGGTCATAATGCACGTCTCCCTGGGTGGTGATCACCTTCCCCAGTTGGCCACGCATGTCGATCATCACAATCTGGTCATCATTGGTGCGGAGGATGTTGGAAAACACCGGATCGCCATGGATGTAGTTGGCATGTTGCGCCTAGGTTGCTGATGTGCTGATATGAAAGGGCTGCAATTGTGAGGTGAAGATCAAAATATGTCAAAATGTGTCAAAATGAGTGGGAATTGACCAGCGAAAACTGGAGATATGACCAACATTTGCCAACTAACACCTCACAAAGTCGGCCATTTCGCGGTCTATTCGGCCAAGGAAGTTCTGCTTACAGTAAGTCTAAGTATACATTTTTTCCGCATTGTGCCCACGTGCCGGTTCTACTTAGGGGTTCAGTCTTCAGAGGATGAAAGAGATGAGAAAACATGAGTGCTTACACTGCAGCATGCGAGAATCATGGTTCATCATGCTCCCCACATTTCTTGGCTCACCTTCCCATCCCATTTTGGTCAAGCTGCCCGCTGGGAGGATTCAAACTCCTCCAGAAAGCGGATCAAGACGTCCGCCATCTGCCGGGTGTTGATTCCCAGCTCCTCGGCCAAAGAATCCTTGGAAAAAGTCGGATGAAGGCCGAGCTGGGATACAACTGGGGATAGAACTGTGGTAACTGTGGGTAACTGGTGGTAGAACCCCATGGGGCACGGGGTTGGCCACACGGGCACATGGCCACCACCACCACCACCACCTCATCATCATCAACATCATCATCATCATCATCATCATCATCATCACGCGCTGGGTCGAGACAAGGCTCATACAAAGATATGTGCTCCAAAGTTCTTCTCTTGACCTGCAAATTTCTTCAGGGCGCCAAGTAAGTCCGAAAATCTTGGAGTATCTGCGTTGCGGATCAGAAAAACATGTCCTGATTGCAAGAAGCCTTCATTTATCTCATCCTAACACCCGGAGCGCGTGACTGCCTTGGGCCCATAGTTGGAGCACAGCTGAGCGTTGGTGACTTTTTCCTCCTGGGCCCGCGGTTCAAGGTGCCATGCTCAATCCCACACCATCTCCTTCGGACCTAGTTTCCAATGGTAGCGTCACAGGGAGGGTCCTAATGTGTAGATCTGCGTCGATCTGCGTATCCCATGTATCCCCGATCCGAGTGGATCTGCCTCATCAGTTTCATCTGTCTAAGTCTTAGCAGCTTAGCATCTCGCGGCCTTTTTGCACAGACGTGCCATGGTTCAGCCCCCCATCTCCCAATGGCCCCCAGCCACCAACTCCTTCCAGGCTTCAGGTGCCTTTTGCTCATGGATCTTCCGCAAGGTACGAACTAAGCGCCTACCAAGACCCAAAGACCCTCAATGACCCTCAATATCCCTCAAGATTGTCGAGTCCAGTGGTGGAAACGGGCAAAATAATGCCAAAAAAAAATCGTGAGGATATCATGGTGATATTATAGGGATATCATAGTAATCATATGTAATCATGAGGATGTACGTGATGTCATGTGGATATCATGATAAATATGAGACTGATATTGGATAATCCCCGGTGCTCGCCCGCATCTTTCAGCGCCTGAGCCACTCAGGCATCAGCAATCGAGCCGTGACCAAATGTGAGAAGGTCACACCCGTCACCTGCACACAGCGTGGCTGCGCTTGGTGTGGACAGGACAGGAGATATGAAGTATTGGGCCCCACTTGCAACTTGGTGTTGGAATATCCCTAACTGGGGTGGTAGGGTGGTATATTACCAATCAAACAGCTTAAGACCTTCCGCAACTTACAAGGAATCTAGTCCACTGCTAGATTCACCCAGCCAAACCCTGCCTTGGACATGGTGATGGTGGACACCGAACCATCTTTGGAGGCATCGCCCTCCTGGATATCCATGGCATGTGGGAAGTGACACGCCAAGTCCGGTGGAATGCTCCGATACCAATGGCCTCATCAAGTGCGGCGGCGATCCTTCGGTGCTCCGAAGACGGTGCTCCCATCTATCTGCACCCAAGATGAGAAATTGGTGGCCTTCAAGATCTTCAATTTTTAGACTCCAAAAAAAGACAATGAAAACTTGTTTCCCAGACTTCCCATCTATTTCAATCATCTCATCCCCTCTTAGTCCCCAGCATCCCCATCCCCCCATTTTTGAGCAAGGGACACTCGCCCTTCAGCACGTCGGGCGTGGAGGATTTGATGACCAAGGATTTCCCACTGGATCTCACCGTGTTGAAGGCTCGGGCATCGATAGCGCCCTCCAACATTTGACCTCCCGCCTGACAGCTTGGAAGCTGCAAGGGATTGGAAACTTGGTGGACCTGCAAAAGCCTACAATGTTGATGTGAAATAGGAAAGCTATAGGCCATAATGGCCATAGAAGATGCAATTACAGAAAGACTGGGAGATTCATTGACAATGAAATGGATTGGCAAAGATCCAGTTGGTTTATGCTGCTTTCGGAGCTGCCTGACCCACATACCAGCCGAGCTCTCGGCTCAGATCTCCCTGGGAGTTGATCGCATGTGAATCGACGGTGATGTCCGCATAGGGCTTCCCAAAATGTAGCCTCAGCAGTCTCAAAATAAAGGGCTCAGCTGGAGCCCGGGGGGCAATTTTTCTGACCCGCCTGACCAGGACAGGAAGAATGTGGTCAATTTATGTAGATTTTTAGATTTTTGAGTATGGGGTGACCCCCATCTTGATCCATACCGAGGTATGGGTCGAAAGTGGTAATGTCCATCGATATGACTCCACACCCTTCAACTGGGTCAACTAACATAGCTATGAAACATGTATACTGTATACTGTACTGTATACAATCTGGTTGGTGGTTTCAACACCTCTGAAACATATTAGTCGGTTGGGATGATTATTCCCAACATATGGAAAAATGAAAAATGTTCCAAACCACCAACCAGGTATACAATACACGATTTACCCATTTTTTTCCATGGTGATTCTCAGGTGGCTCGTCGTAAGGGATATTCAACTGCTCCAGGAGTTTGAAGGTGTCGTAGCCCTGGTCAGCAATCGCCAGGTCTACTCCGCCCCCGGGCATCATTCCGCGACCTGGGCCCCATGGTTGTGCTCTCCATGGTCCATGGTTGGCCGGAAATGGAGATCGAAGCACCGTGGAAAAAAACATGAAAAGGCCTCAAACCATCTCAAACCCATCTTTCTTCAACAAAACCAATCTTGCTTTGTCACAAAAACAGCGTATCACGGCATCACCATCTCAATCCATCGATTCTACTGATGCTTCTTCCACCCTATAAGAACCAAACCCAGGATTTGCGCAAGCAAATGTTTATCGAGGAGAATGGTCAGCGTGAGACCCATTGTTTTTTGTTCCCGGCACGCATCTATAAAACAACCCCAGCGCTGAACCCAAACGTTCACCCAGCAACTGGTGGACTCATGAATCTTCATCTCAAGCCAAAATCTATGGAACATCTCAAAAAAAATCCCCGGAAAAATTCACGTAGCAACATCTTTTCATCATCTTTATCATCAAAATTTCGCCAAATCCCAATATCCCAGTTCAACTGCCAACCCTACCATGGTGTACCCTCTGGTAATTTAACGTAGCTATTGAAAATGGCCATTTATAGTGAGTTTTTCCATTAAAAATGGTGATTTTCCATAGTTATGTTAGTTTACCAGAGGGTAACTTCCATGGTGTTCTTCCCAGGCGCTGGTGGTGATGATGATGGTATGCTTCGCCTTGTGGAGCTGCCGCACCAGTTCAATGGCGTTGGGAACAGGCTCCACCCCGCCGCTCTCGTTGGGATGCACCAAGGTGCCGTCCAGGTCGAAGCAGAAACGCATGGTGCGGGAGACCTCACCGCTGACCGATGTGACCGGTAGAAAAAGCCATGGATCCATTGGGAAAACATAGGGAAATCATGAGAAATCTGTACATTTACGGCTAAATATGATCTATAATTGTCATATAATTTGTCAATTTAATTGTCAGAGTCTATCTATCTGGATATAATATTCACATACGTATGTATATATATATATTTATATATATATAATTATATATATATACAAGATACCAATGGTTAATGATGGTGAAACTGGAGTAGAAACTGGAGTAGTCTCTGAATTACAGTATAAGTAATCAACAAAGAAGGATGATGAATATGTAATTCTTTACTATTGCATACTGTTGCCATAGTTTCCATTACTATAATTACGATTGAGGGGCAGGTGGAGGACAACACTTCTTGTTCCGCCCTCCATCAACAGGGCGGCATCACCCTTTACCACCTGCTGTTGTCAACATGGTAGCGACTTGGTGGTAGCGACTCTCCTATCCTCCAGGATTCAAACGGATCTACTCAGACCCATTCAAACCCGTTCAGAGCCATTCACAACCCATTCAAATCCATCTGTCCACCCAAAAAAAGGCCAGTGCTGGTGCGTTCCAATCTTCACAGCAAGGGTTTTTTCATGTTTTAGTTTTTCCCAGTGTCCCAGGTACTAGGACCTGGCCACTGGAGACCTTCCGCACGAAATCCTCGAGCTGAGGAGGGGTGGAAACCAAGGCCACATCTTGGCAGTTCACGGGGAGGCCAAAGAAGTCCTCCCCATGGGACATCATCCACGACATCAAACTGGAGGCATAGAGCCCACCCTTGGTGGCCTGGACGATGGGATGATGGGATGAATGCACAAATTGCATATAAAAGCGCCGCGTTCCAAACAGCCTTGGACAAGCTCATATTACAATTCTTCATGACCATAATCCACATGTGAAGTCTATTGTAAGTAAAAGTTGTACCCAAGGTCAAGGTTTTTTTTCGCATGGTGTACGACCGCCTTCCCCACAAACCTTCCCGCCAGCCATCGGCCTCCTCCGGACATTCCAACAGGCCCTCAGACGCTTGGCGAAACTCCGCGGCACTTTTGAAGATGTAGGTGCCGCAGTTGGCCATGGAAGAGATCACCGACCTGACCGGTCTCGGTGCCCCTTGTTTCAAGGGGGCAGAGATTGAAGGCTTGCTTTCAATGACTAGGACCAAAAGGTATTATCCGTTAAATATTCCAGTGCTGTTAGGAGTTGGACATTGTGAGAATGTACTGTATGTCTTTATCTATAATACCCTCCGGTATACTAACATAACTATTGAAAATGACCATTTATAGTGAGTTTACCCATGACAAATGGTGATTTTCCATAGTTATGTTAGTTTACCAGAGGGTATATGTACATATTTGCGAATGCGCGTACAGTCATGTACAGTGGGATCCAAGGGAGTCCAGATTCCTGGAAGAAATTCGGGTGCTGCTGAAGAGCACTACAACCCATGGGTCCATTCCTACTCGCAGATTTCTCGCGATTTTGAGGTGTCCTAAGTCGCCACCAAAAGGGCCAAGAGACTTCTCTTTCACCTCCAGGATCTTCCCATCATCTGACATCCTGAGATAGGAGAAGTTCGCTCGCTGTAGGCCTGGCCGAAAAAAACTTGGATGACCCTTTTTGGAGTGGGCCACAACCGAAGCCACCCACTGGGTTGATTGGAAGGAAAAGTCATGGAGAAAATCCGAGAATTTCTGGACATGATGGATTTATTGGATTTGATATGATTTGATCATCCAATTCTGTGGGATTCTCTGAGCAAAACCGCAGGTATACCGCAGGTTAAAACCAAAGTTCTGTGAAACCACCTGCTCCAGTCTGCCCTGCCTGTGCCCGAGACTGGGGCCTGTCCCAAGTCAAAGTAAACAGAGGCAAACTGAGCCTCTGAGGAGCGACAGAGATGTAGCAAATCCACCTGGGAAGAAAAGCCAAATGAGTGACGTCACACGAAATGCTGTGGGGTAGATCGGGGTTAGTGATGGATGCACTACATGATCAACAACAAGAGGGGCATGTGCGTGTGATGGGGCAGCAACATGTGTCAAAAGTGGTTGATGCTCCAGGCCAGGGATGATGTCATTTCTTTGATATGCCAAGTAAGTTGATGATGGTAATTGTATGTAATTGTCATCGCAATGATACCATGGACCCGGTCATAGTCATTGCGCCCAGCACCCCCTGTCTGCCATTATCATTCTCGTGCCTCATGGCCATCATGATTCTGACACCCGATGAGACAAAACAATTGTTGTATATTGTTGTGCCTCTGATGGACATCATGATACATCATGAATGGCGTATGGTCGCTAAATTAACATAAACCTTAGTTACCAGTAAAAATTGGCTGTTTTCGAGGGTCTATGTTCAGTAACCAGAGGGTAAGTTGAAGGTTTCTGTTAACTCATTGCCACCATGTGAGGTACTGGTCCCATCAATCCGAAAGATCCCCCCCTTTTTCGGGACCAATTCCGACCCAGCTTCCCCGTGGTAGATGCTGCTGCTATCGAGCGTAACGAGGCGATTTCGGCTCTCCTGGTGGAGGGCTGGTTTTCGATGGTTCATATAGGGGATCTACCCGCTGATCATAAAAGGGATAGAATATGGTATGTATAGCCAACATTAGCCAACCATATCCCATTATATATATATATAATATATATATATATATATCATTATATGATATTATATGGATGACTTCTAAGCAAGTCATCCTGTGAAGCCTCGGATTTCCGGATTTCCGGATTTCCATATATTTCCATTTCCGAAATCCCGAGGAATCCCCCTCCTTGGCACTCATCTGCCTGGCGACCGATAGCACTGTCTCGAGCCAACCCCTGGTCTCGAAGGGCAGCACGATCACCTTGACTTTCACCTTCCAAGGATTCCACAGGAATTGTCAGGATATCATGATCTGCAGAATCACTTGGCGGAGATGGTAGAGGTCGGGCCACCTCCAACTGCAATTGTTTGGTGCACTATCCTGGAAACCAATTTCACATTGAAGAATCTCTCAAAATTCGCCCCTGGGCATGTCACTCACTAGTTCACTAGTGTTGTGAAGAGAAAATGAGCAATCTTCAAGCAGACCAAGCCCAAAGGGAAACATCATGAAACACGTCTTGGTCAACTTTCCTCCTGCTAACCTCATGGTAAGAAGCAGAACATCTCCGGTTCCAAACTCAGCTGTTTGGGTGGTAAGTGGTTGATGTTTATGTCACGGAAGTGAAACCTTTCCGAATATCATAATTTAATGTCATAACAAAAGATACCCAACGAGAAAGTTGACTTGTAGACATTCCATTTCCCCATTCTTATTTCCCTTAGTTTCCCAAAGCAACAACAGAAAGTCACATCAACAACATTCAACAGGTGTCCTTTTTCCCCGTTTTTCCACCCTTCTGAAGTTCATCTTCTCAAAAAAGTTCGAATGGTACGCCAACCTGGGGTAGCATCCTTGCCAACATCTTCTTGATATCGTACTGCTTCAGGATGGGCGCAGGCACTGCCAAGAAGATGGAGTCCTCCTTGGTGATGCTGAGGTAATCCAGGACCCACATCAGCACCGGTCGCCCCACAATGTTCACCTTGGTGAAAACCGACCGACTCATTGGAGAGAATCTATCAGGATTATTCAGTATTCGTTCAATCACCATGTTTAATGGAAAATCACCATGTTGAATGGAAAATCCTAGAGATAATGGAAAATCATCATGTTGTGTTAGGAATTTTCCACTATTGGAGGGGAAAAACTGATTTCTTTCTTGGAATGTCCTTATGCCCTTTTCTTGTACACTCTGGTAATATAACATAGCTATTGAAAATGGCCATTTATAGTGAGTTTTCCCATTAAAAATGGTGGTTTTCCATAGTTATGTTGGTTTACCAGAGGGTATCTCTTTGCTATTGGCTTCAATGAAAACATCCCCCCCCTTTTATCAAAAATCGCCCGGTGACCAGAGGCTTTGGCATCCTGAAGCCAGCCTCTGCAAAGTCGGCACCAGAGCCTCCCATTGGAATGATGATGGACAGCGGTTGGCCACCACTCTCCGCCGGCCTTGACGCTGCGCCACCAAAAAAAAATATGGGCCGCTGTAGTGTTGAAAACGGATGACGCAAAGAGAAATAAATAGGATAAATATAGACAATTCTAATCTATAATATTTTATAATCAATTTTGTATCATGTATAGTATAGATTATGACTAAGATAGATTTGCAGTTGTCTACCCCAAGAGATCGAAAATTATACAGTACTATGATGTAATACCCTCCAGCAATGTAACATAGCCACGGACGATTACCCACTGACATCGACGATTTACAGTACCTACAATTTCCATGACATGGCTATTTTCCATGACAAACTGTTAGATTGCCAGAGGGCGTTCACAATCAAATCCCCATATGAGCTGGTTAAATCACCATGAAATTCCCATGGTTATCCCCATGATTAACATGCACAGTGATGTACAATAATTAATTATTTAGGCCCTTTTTTACCATACCTATCATTGTCCTCATGTTTGATATTATCCCGATTATTAAGCCCTATCCATGATCATTGAACTACATAATTACTAACAGCAGGATCAATGTGATCTAAACGTGTGGAAAGTTCATCAAAAACGGCCCAAAACACCATAAAAAACTGGGGCCTCCACAGCATCCCATCTCTTGAAGTCTCGTCCATTCTCCATAAACCCACATTTTTTTCATATCTTTTCCCCCCGAAAAACTTGGGGCACCATGTCGGCCTCATGCCACTGGGGGAGTTCTGCTGCGTCATCGCCTGCAACTGCCGCTTCATGGCAAACAGCTCAGCCTCCTAGGCAGGGGCCAGAGGTCAGCCCCGGAGCCGGGGAGATTGTTTTTCCATCATGTGTTTTTTCTGGGTTTTCGATGTGTTTCCCGTTTTATCCATGGTGTTCAATTGTGTTTATTTGGGTTGTTCATGGTTGTTCCATGGTTTTATACTTTTAAATGTGTTTTTCCATATAAATGTTTACTTGGAAATAGGCAGAATGAGGAAAATGTGAGGTAACTAACTGCTCGTTTTTTGCTTGAGAAATGGCGCTTGAATCAGGCAAGATTGGGGTCTCACTACCATTTCATGGGGATGCATGATTTTTTTGATGGATCCGAAGAGGGGTGATCATTTGATCGGTTGGTTCAACCAAGGCTACCCAGTTCTTTGCTACCTGAGCCATGAATCCGATACCCCTATCCCGTCCCACTACCCCAGGTCTATAGCTAGCATTCCTATGGTCCTATGGTTAAAAGATGTTAAAAGAAACAATCCCCATTAAACCAGGTGGTATTACCCACTATATCCATCTATATCCTATACCGAACCAACTCCATCTCGGACTGCAGGATGGTCCCAGGATGGTCCCATCTCCACAGCTCCTTGCTTTTCACCTGCGCCTGCAAGGCCACCACTTCCGGCCATGCAACCCCATCACTGACCAAGCCCGGCGGCCGCGCCATCGCGACAAGGCCCAAGGTCTTGGATTTGTTTTGGGGGGTAAGTTATGGAAATATCCCAACGGTTTTAAGAATCTGCATCTCTAGATATCTCTATGTAGATATCCCTAGATTCTAGATATCTCTAGATCTCCCGATGCTTGAAGCGAAATTAGAGCTCAACTGGATGTGGCAACTGCAGGTTGACCACTGCAACTTGCATTGCATCATGGATGGCACTGGCAAAATGCCTGGAGCCAAGCAGATCAGTTTTTCCATGGCTTCAAAAACAATCAAAATTCGGCCCATAATGTTGGTAAAGTAATAATAAACCACCCCTATTTTGATGGTTTATTATAGAACCATATAGAACCCATTTATTTATGGTGATTTTGGGGGTGGACCAACATGGTATGCCAAATATGGGTGCGTCCTTCAAAAAAAGAAACGGAGGACAATCCCATTAAATCAGCCCAAAAAAAAAACGGAAAAACATCAAAATCTATCAGCCCCAGGGGCTGAGCGCCAAAAAAAAAAATGAAAATCCCATGGGTTTCATCCTTTCCCGCTGGGTAGACCATGGCTTCATCCCTGGCGCCCGGACTCCAAGAGTTCGGACAACTCCGTGAGTCCCAAAGCCGCCGTGGTGCCACCCGGCCTGCATTCCCAACTTTAGGAATCTTTAGCCAACCCCAAAAGATAGTAAATCCATGTAAATCCCCAAGATGAACACGGGTTCTCTATCTCTCTTTTTGTTGGGTTAGTATTTAAAAAAAAGGATTGATCTTGGGGTCCGGAGGTTTCCAGCATGCTGGTAGTGTGGATGTTGAGGATATCATCACCATGGCGATCGATTTTCAGCAAAATATTGTTTGTTGCGGCAAACACAGTAACCAACCTGCAATGCGGATAAGAATCATTTCTGGTAAGCTTGGGGATGGCTTCTCATTGTGTATGCCCAATAGATTTTTCTGAAGGGCAATGGCAATATTATGCCACCATGATGGATGGTCACCATGCAATCCAATCCCAAAGGTCTCGCAGCATGGTGCCCGCACAAGCCAAGCGAGTCCAGTAACGCCTTGGCGTCCAGCATCTGCGGCGGCAGCGGAGGGCGGGCTTCTACTCACATGGTACCCCGCAAGCAGCCCAGGGGTAACATGACTCACACGTATATCTATCCATCTATCTATCTATCCATCTATCTATCCATCCATCTATCTATCTATCCATCCATCTATCTATCCATCCATCCATCCATCCATCCATCTATCTATCTATCTATCTGTGTGTGTGTGTGCGCACCTATTTATTTATAATTTGTAGATTTATCACTGAAGTCCCCCTCCGCACCTTCAAGCTCTCCCTGAGCTCCTTTAAGGCCTCCTCGGGATCCACCTGCTTTTGTCGGTGAATTGAGAAGTTTCACCAGGAAATATCATTTTTTAAATACGAAAAAAATGATGAAAAGGTGGTTCTTTGGAGATGATTGGCTGAAATTCTGATTAAGGAGAAATGGCTGGAAGCCATGCTTGTTTCCATCAACATGAAGGTTTTGCGCTGTAGGTTTTCCCTGAAACCTCCCAGGAGACGGTCAATATGGTTCTCAAGTCACAAATGGAGAGGATATTTAAGTGGTTAATCATGGTTCATAGCTAGTTATAACATGTTATATATAACTTAAGTATATGAGTAAGTAGGATGTACACGAAACCACTAACCATGGTCATAACTATAGTTCATGAACTGCCAATCTGCGAACCTCCATGGCGAAGAGGTTGTCTGCCTTGACACCGCTGTGCCACGGTAATCGAAATCAGTGGAAGCTTTGCTCAATGATCTCGACATCCACGAGATCATTTTGGTGTTGGCATCAACTTAGCATTGGCCATATGTTTTCTCATTTTGAGTAAATTTCTACCTTCTGGTAACCCACTCAGTTCGATGATTTGCCCATGTGCCCGGATTCTTCCACTGTAAAAAAAAATCTCCATTGTTTTTTTCCATATCTTCCGAAACATGTTAACATCTTCACATATTGTCCCACACTTTCCCAGTAAAACCTCCATAGTTTCCCTATCTTTTCCCTATCTTTTCCCTATCTTTTCCCTATCTTTTCCCTATCTCCCCGTTCAATTTATGGCCATGTCCCACGACCTCGCCATGTCCAAAAAAACCACCCGAGGCACCACTTCTCTGGGCCGGCCATTCAAGGGCTCGCAAAGAGCGTCGCCCAAGGAATGCGCCGGGTCCGTGGAGATGATCAACACCTGCGAATCATTGGGGAATCCTTGGTGAATAATGGGGGATAATCACCTTGAAAATGATGTTTATATAAATATGTTGGGTAAATGGTAAATATGGTTCATCCATGGTGAAGAATGGTTAGTCATCTACAATACATATATATATATAATTACATATATATATATATATATATATGTGTATATATATATATATACACATGTTGTATATTAACAATAATGGTTCGTACTAGTGAATCAGTTGAATAATGGTTCGTAATGGATAATAAGATACATCCTGAAGGACCATCGAAATTGAGGTCAAATGGGGCTTTGATATTGTTCTTGAAAAGTTGACTTAGTTCATAATGGTTAATAATGTTAGAAATGGTGAAAAATGGTTAATGTGGTGGTTAGTAATGGTAAAGAATGGTGTACAATAATTACAATAATACATAATGATTAAATTGATAGTTTGCAGTTAATAGCCAATCATGTTTGACCATACTTGTTCACCAGATGTCTTTCAGAGCCATGATATATAACTGTTGGGATAATAACAATAGGGGGGGCCACTTACGGGAATTCAATGGGAGGAGGGAAGGAATTCAGTCGCTGACATTTCCGAGACACCTTCTTGCCCTCTGCCGCCGAGGCAGCCGCAAAGGATGAAGACGAGGACGTCTTGCCTATTGCTTGAAGCAGTGCCTATGAGATATGATCCCATCTCATTATACTAGTTGGTTGATAGGTTTCCCTACTATGGGTTGCCATAATCCATAGTAGAATATAGTAACCAATCAAGCAATTACTTTAAATGGCTCACATGATGAAACTCACACGACCTCACCGTTCAGGCTTGCAACTGGTAATGACTTTGACTGATGTCTGTACAGGGCTTGGGCTGTCCAAATGTTGTCTCTGAGCCAACTGTCCGGATATAGCTCACCCTGATTTTGCGGCATATAATATATATATATAATTATAATATATATATATACATTTACATACAAGATCATACAAGAATGTAATACATGTATATGTTATAAGACTCCCAGCTCCTGGCCTACACCACCCTTCCCACCGAAGAAGATGATTTGCTGCCCAGGCTGGCCTACCTTGAATGGTTTTTTGGGATTGGGTCGTCATGGCTGGGAAATACCCGAACGAAATGTTTCTAAAAAAAATTGGAAAATCATGGGAAAGTATCGAAAAAACATCTCAGATATATCAGATATGGAGGTTTAGTTCGCTGGGAAAGTCATCAAACTAAATGAAGCTAAATGAGGGATTTTCATGGATTTTCCATTGCCACGTTTGATTACCGCAGGGTAGCATCCTCAAATCCAAGGTTCAGAGATCAGCACTTCCGCTAAATCCCAACTGCTCACTCTGGGGACCGTTCCGCCATGGCCGCTTCGGCATTCCGCCGGACGCGGGATCGATAAGGCACGCCCCTGACCTGGCTGGTCAGTAGGCCATCGATTTTCCTGGGAGAATCCATGGGGGATGTAGGGCCACTAGGGCTGCACCTTCTGCACCTGACGGCGATAGGCTGTCAATGGAGCCTCAGCGACTCCAACAGGCATCTGGGGTCTGGATCCCAATATCAATATCCCCTCTCAAGACCTTCTGGGGACATAAAATGATATAAAACTGAAGAAACGAAGCCACCAAACATCTTGAATAATTTTGGAATCTCTCATCAACTCATACCGGGCCTCCCCCACTTGACCCATCAGTGCCAGGGGCCCCCGCAGCCAAGATCAAGCCCGCCAAACGTCGTGCGTCACAGGCGTCGCCAGTCCGGGGCCTGGTAGTCACTGCTAAGTGAAGAGACTTGTGTAGGCCTTAGTGTTTGCCTTATTATTTGCCTCATTGTCTGCCTCATGCCCGCTACTGTGGGACGCATGTTGGATGCTCATCTTGATGAAGCTCAAACGCAAGCAAAACGATTATTCCGCGATCTCACATGGCTATGACAAGGAAAAAAATGCATTTGACAATCCAGTAATTTTCCTACTTTACTTGGAGATATCCAACGGCCCTGGCTCCCATTCCTCCAGCCTTCGCGAAAAGCTGGAGGCGGATGCTGCCGAGCCACTGTACTCATGGCCTTTCCAAGGCAGTCTCTCGAGACTTTGCCAGCAATGAGTTTCTTGGCGGAACGTGATGTGTGAGGAGCTGGCCCAATTCCCTGATCGGCAAGATCGAACTCCGATATTCTCATCATTTCTTCAGGGCGGCATCGGGTGCAGAGGTCCCCTCCACTTTCGTTCCACCGAGTTTGATCCAATTTTAGCTGGTTTCAGCCCTGCACAACCTGCCAGTTTCCCCAAAGCACGCTCGGATACGACCTTTTTTTTGCTTCCAGCTGTCAGTCCAGCTGCAAACGAGTGCCTCACATGGCCTTCTGATATGCTGGCGTGCCCTGAAGTGGCGGGCCGATTATGGCCGATTGACGCCAAAGCATGGCCAGAAAATCCAAACCCCTTTCACACATCATGAAAGGACCAAAAATGACCAAAATCCAACACTACAAAGGGGAATAGCCCAACAACATTCACATCAACACTCACACTAAAATAGTTCTTAGTTAAAATGTTCTTTAAAAAATGTCCATATCTTCCCTTGAAACCCGAACTTTGGATCCATTCTACCCATCCCCTAGTGGATCCCAGTGGATCCCGGCCCCCGGCACCTTGATCAACTGAATGGCTTCCGTCAGCGACTTTGTCTCTGCCCGTCGGTTGGCCTCCCGCTGGCCCAGCGCAGCCTTCAGCCACGCGCAGTCCGGCTGCACGTCCGCCTGGGCGACGCGGCGAGGGTTCCATAAAAGCCCCAACATGGATGGTTTATAATGGAAAATCCTGTTAAAATGGATGATTTAGGGATATGTATCCCCATTTTAAGGAAACCTCCATAATCAAAACAATGGTTATCACCACTCAATCACGAGATTACCCGGGGTAAACATTGCTAAAACCATGTGGAAAACCCAAGGGGAAACCCGTGACAAGGATCTAGAAATGGTGGGTCAGTGGGTCTTCCACTACGGTAGTTTACTGAAGGGTATAGCTAGTATAGCATGTATAGCTAGTATAGCATGACCACTTCCGGGATCGATCCCTCCCGGTGTCGTGTCATCTCCTGGGTGCCAGGACCAAATACTGTGCCAAGGACATCTTCTCCTGCCTCAGGCGATCAACAAATGAGAAAGAAAAAAGGGGGCAAGTCTCATGGCTAATGGGTCACATAGCAAATATCAAGAAAGCATCTCTAAATTCGGATAGTTTTCCTTTGCATGATTGGATTTCCAGAGAGCACATGAACTCTATTTGGTGATCCCCAGATTTCTCTTGATCCAAGGGTCTTGGTCTTCTCAAGCATCTCATGCTTCTCAGTCAGCTCCTGCTTGGTGTCAGCAATCTCCTGGCTATGGCTGTCAAGCACCACAAGTACCACAGCCACCAGCAGGCCATCCCCAGGCCATCACGCCTTGGTCGTCTCAGTGATGCTCTTCTTCAAGTCAGCTTCGGACTGAGTCAACAGCGCTAAGTTGTCCTCGAAGCTGGCCTCCCCCGGCACATCTGGTGGACATCCCGCAGGAAAACCATGGTTTTTCCCATCTTTTCCCCATGAAACATGGCGTTGTCCAAGCATTTCCCTTAAGCAAACACGTGTTCTTAAAACTTCGGGATGATGTCATGTTCATCCAATGTCAGGCCATGGAAGTTTGACCTCCCCAAAGTCAAATCATCGCTCACTGTTGGTTGAACCGGCACCTGAGCCTCCCCTTCGGTCTTGTGGGCTGCATCCTCCTCAGACTTGGTATCATCCAAGACCTGGAGATGTTCATCTTAGATCAGCCCACAAAATCCTGGGATTCCCCAATCAAAGGGACAAAGATTGGATGATTCTTGGGTTTCCCCCCTGGAAACTATCTGAAAATATCAACCAATGGTCCCCGTTGATAGAGGATTTTCCAGAAAAACAGCTGGATTTCCGGTTGCCAAATTTGCTGACTGGAGCGTCCACTGGGCCCAACATCTGGTGCTCGGCCAATTTCAGATTCACCAAACTATCATCAAACTCCTAAGGTCCAGGACTTTGAACTGATGAGCCCTTCCCACAAGATAATCCCCAATGATGGGCCTGAAATATTATATATATATATTATACAGTTATACATATATATATATATATGCTGTGTGTGTAAACCCAAATGCTAAGCCATAGTTTTCTAGGGCGTCGCATATTACAAGGAGACCCCCGACAACGGGCCCTTGAGAGTCCAAATCCTCCACGGGCACGCGACCCACCGCTGGGACCCCCCACGTTTTGCAACATCTTCAGCACTTCCTGGCCTCGCAACCTGAGGACAACATTTGGGGTACCAATGGGGTTCTAATTGCCACTAGAAAACTAAGCTCACGTATCTAGCATTCGTTTGTGCAATACATGGGTATGTCATGGTATGTCTGGCTCTATCGAAGGTAGAAAACAGAATGAGCCAAAATATGCCAGATTCTATAGGGAAGCTCAGTTTGTCACAGCATAACCTTACAAATGATGGTGTTCTTTGACTGGACTTCTTCACCCAGTTTCATGTCACTGAATTCCCTGTAAAGCACTGTTGTGTTGGCAAGGTCACAAACCACTTTCCTAGTGTTTGTTTGTACCAGGTGGATAGTCGCGAATCATCCTTGGATCCTTTGGCAGAGTCTTTCAGCATGCGTGTCCCACAACACATTGCATCCAAGCTACTTCGACTCCCCCTGAGGCGAAGTAGCGGAGAGGCGAAGTAGCGGGAAGGCGTAGGCCATGGCAACAAGAGTCTGGTCTCAGTTGATGGTTGGTTATGGTTTATGGTTGATTATGTTGAATAAGTGGGAGTGAATTCTGGAGAAGACTTTGGGAAACAAAAATGTGTTTCACGATGTTTCACGCAATCCTGGTGGAAGTTCGACCATGCGGGATGAGTTTCATCACCACCATCACCATCACCATCACCATCACCTTCCCCACTTCCCCTCCTGAAGGAGGGCCAGCTTGGTGTAGTACTGCTGCAAGACCGTCCTGAGTCACAGCCTGTGGGTATCTGGTTGGTGGTTTCAACCCAAATATGGGTTCAGAATCACAAATTTTGGTGAAAACATTCAGAGCATTTGAAACCACCTACCAATAAGATCCAATAAGTAGTTATAGACTTTGGAAGTGGGATATATCTTCTCCCCTTGAAGTTTCAAGAATTGTATAACCTCAGGAGCCAAGCAAACCGACCAAGCTTTGCTGGCCAAATCGACATTCTCCTCACACTGTTCAAGTTTGAAGTTTGAACTTTCTCCTTGGAATCTAGTCGAATCTAGTCAGCCAATCACCAGCCTATCTTGGTTCACCCCGGTCCACAAGTCCATTTGTTTTTCACAAAACCTGGGATCGTTTGTCGGCCGAGCCACATGGCTGTCTTCACCAGATTCTGCGAATCTGAAAAATCTTGCACCTTCTTCCTTGACATGAATCTGGGATAATCTGGGCTCTGCTGAAAGAGACTTGCAGCCCAAAAGCATCCAGTAATTGAGAATAGTTGAGAAACAGTTGTTCATGTCGTTTTCATGTTTGCTTCTATGTTTGGTCATGTTTCATTGATCAATTTGCATGTACATATTTTGTTTCAGAGAGGAGAGGATGTTCTTTGAGAACAGCTCCAGTGTCATAGCATATCATAACATCTTCCCACAATCCAAGCAGCTGGTAGTTCTTATTCTCTGACTTCCTCAAGCGGATGGCTGCTGATTCAACGTCCCAATGGATTCCCATTTCTGGTGGTTACCCATCCAGAAATGGGAACGTGGGAGGCTGGTAACTCCCCTGAACTCAATGGAGGTTTTTGTCGCATTTTAGAGCTGGGAAAACCGTCGGTAACTCTCTCATTTTAATGGATTTTCCAGCACGCAAAATGTTTACTTGCAAATGTTTTCATGGGATTTCACCAAGAATTTCATGGTAAAAAAAAACATGAGATTAAACATGATGAGGGTAAACCATGGGGATATCACTCAGCAACTGTCCTGGTGGCGGTGATGTCCTCCTGATCCTCCTCGTTCCGCTTCAGATCCTCCCTGGACTGCTTCAGCATCAGCTCCAAGCCATCCACGCCTGTGAGGGTAGTGTCCAGCTCGGTGATCGCCTAACCGGCTTTGGTGGGAGTGAAAACCCATGGAGAACCATGAAACCAAAATTAGGGGCTGGGGTGGCAATTTCAAGATCTTGACCAACTGCAGGCCACACTTTTTTCCATATTTTTTTCGGACGCTATTGAGTATATTCGGCCATGTTTGTTGACAAACGTGACAACGCTGAAGACTGGAAATTTCAAGCTGGCCGTTCGAACGGCTTTGAAGTTCAGTCGCTGTCTTCAGGGTGTCCATCTGGCCAGTCTTGGCCGTCTGGCCAGCCGTGTTCTTGGACAACTCCTAAGCCAAACAAAAGGGCACTTGCTCCCCATTTCCATGGCACAGGGCTTGGTAAATGGTTCGTTTTGGGGATTTGTTTCACATCACTTTCGAGTATCGATTGGAGATGTGATATCATATGATATCCCCTAATTTTAGTTGGGTTTTTTGTGAAGAATCAGGACATTTACCAACCCCTGGGACTCCCATGCTCATCAGTTTCCCACTTATATTTGAGCACTGGATCGGTTTCTTATGTGCCAGGATCATCCCATTCGCCACCAGGGTTGTTCCTCTGGGATTCCGACCCGCCGCACGTGCGGTCACGATTCGAGTTGTTGATGTTGAATCGTTCGCAAGCCCATTCTTGTTGAAAACCCTTAATTGGGGACTATTAGCAATTTTAAGCCTCCCGTAAATACATTCTGAAAATACACCTAGCCGTGTAACATATTGGAAAATTATGGGGGCAAAAACATCTTTGATGGGAAAAAAATGGAAAAACACATGATCCTCGACAAAAGGAGTTGATTTGTCCACTGCCATTTCCGAGATTTCTTCCTCGCCCAGATTCTGCCGCGCACCAAACGGATTTCTTGTCATCGGCCTTGCCCTCCGCCTGGATAACCTCAATAAAAGCTGATTTGGGGATGGGCAAAATTTATAAGCACCAAAAAATGGGTGGTTGAATACTAGAAGAAACAAATCTTGTGGGTCCCCATGCCCATTTCAACATGTTCAATCTGATGATGTTGGTGGGTTGGCTGTCGCCTCTCTGGCTGATCGAAATCCGTTTTACGGTCCATCCCAGCTTGGATGATGTTGGATGGAAACTGAAGAAGAGTTGGAAGCACTAAAACAGATGTATGCATGTGTACTTTCCAAAATATATGAACATGATTGAAACCACCCACCTCTCCTTAAGGTTAATTACTAATTACTCAGTGCCCAAAATCAGGTGGGGTAGTCCATGGTCTTCCTGGGTCTAAACTCCCCAACCATTTGCAGTTCAATTTGCTTTCCGCATCGTCTCAATCTCTTCAATCACCTGCCCAGGAGGCAACAACTTTGTGGGCACAAATGCCCTACATCCTTTTGCTGGAAATCCGGTCTAGGCCCAGTCCAATCTCTCAGAATCAAGAGTTTTCCATCCACCATTCACAAATAATTGGCTCACCAAGATTCAGAAGATTTCTTGCAGCTTGTCATGTTCCTTCTTCTCTGGCTACTCTGCACCTTTCTACCGGTTAACCTCTCCATTTCCCAAGGGTCCCAAGGACCAAAGCTCCCCTGCCTTGGCAAATGGCGCCGTGGCGGCCACCGTGGCAGCATGCCCCAGCCGCGCGGAGTGCGCGTTCTCTCGCGCCGCGCGGCGGAGGAGGGCCACTAGGGCGGCCTTTTGGTTTATGAAAGTTTATGGTGTATCTTATCTTATCTTGTTTCTTATCTAGTCTAATCTATTATAACATAATCAATTAAAATCCAATTATCTATGTATTTTCTTTCTTTATTTCTTTCCTTCTTTATTTATTTTTTCTATCTTATCTTATCTTATCTTATCTTGTTTTGTCTGTCTGTCTCTGTCTCTGTCTCTGTCTCTGTCTCTGTCTCTGTCTCTGTCTCTGTCTCTGTCTCTGTCTCTGTCTCTGTCTCTGTCTCTGTCTCTGTCTGTCCGTCTATCTATCTATCTATCTCTATCTATCTATCTATCTATCTATCTATGTATCTATCTATCTATCTATCTATCTATCTATCTATCTTTCTATCTATCTATCTATCTATCTTTCTATCTATCTTTCTATCTATCTTTCTGTCTATCTTTCTATCTATCTATCTCTATCTATCTTTCTATCTATCTTTCTATCTATCTTTCTATCTTTCTATCTATCTTTCTATCTATCCATCCATCCATCCATCTATCTATTTATAGATCTATACTAAATGGTGTTAATAAACCGCCATCATGATATATAGTTTATGATAGATATGGGGTATGCTACAAATCAACAAGCGTATGATATACCTGTTGTTAACATTATTGAATTTTAAATGAACGTTTAAACACCGACAGTCGCATCACTGTTTGGAATGTTGAAATGAGTAACGTGGGATTGAGCCAGCGGAACCCCTTTTTGGGATGATATAAAACTGATCCCCCAGTCATTGATGGTTGGTTAATGGGATGGTTGACTTTTTGGGACATCATGGTGATTTAACAAGCAAAATGGTGATTTTGGGGCATCAAATACGACGGGACATTTTGGGCACATGGAATTTCAACTAATCAAGTCGTGGGGATTCATAGGCACCATCTGGTGTCATCTGCTTAGCACCTCGGATTTGTACTAACAATGGAATGGTTGATGACTGGTTGTTTCCTGGTAACTATGCTCGATGTTTATTATGATAATGAACTACTCGTTTCCATGATATAATCGCTCAATGCGGAACTCTGCGAGAATCATCAAAAAACATGTTTTTCCAAATTTGAGGTTTTACCAGCAAACGCGCCAAAGCAAGCGTCCCATCTGCTGAAAATGTGGAAGCCCCCTGCCAACCTGCTTGGGAGCAGCTCCCATCTGCACAAAGCTGGCACCTGGTCGTGACCAGATACGTAAGTTATGTAAGTTGTTTTTGAAGCCCAAGAAATGGTTTTAACATGTTTGAACCAACAAGTTTGTCTCTATAATTATATGTATACACATTCTGTATCATGTTGTTCCACCTGATTTAGTGTTATCTTTCTCTTTTTCCCTGTCCCCACAATGTCGTGCCCTCCAGTTCTGTTTGTTGGTTTAGTTTCGCCCTTGTCGGTCCCTAGTTCCAAAAGTTCTACCATGAAGGCTAGCTATAACCAACTAACCCGTCCCCTGCAACCATGACTTCTTGGGGGTGTTGGTCCACAGGGGGAAGGAACTAGTGGATAAAGCATGATCCCAAGTTTTGATAGTTGAGCCAGATAAGTCCCTATCGTTTTTTCTGGTTGCATCACAGTCCCCATAAAATTCCCAGCAAAAATCATAGTTGATCAGTTGTAAACCATTTTTAAGTTATATCCCCAACAATAATCCCATGAAATCACCATTTTTCGTGATTAAGTCCCAGTTCATCTGTACATTCTACTTCATGATGGGAACAAAATGATGGATCTTTCAGAATCTTAAGTCAGTTTTAAGCCCCTATGGTTGTTCTGGTTATATCATAAGTTGTATCCCTATAATGTGTGTAAAACAATGCCATAAACCATCCCCCCCCCTCTCTCTCTCTCTCTCTCTCTATTTTTATCGGTGGTATGTTTACCCTTCCCAGTCATGGGTGGTTTATGACGGTGTTTTACCCACATTAAAATCCATTAACTGTGGCTTATCATTGTTTGAGATCCCATTAAAACCCATTAAAATCCATTAAAATCCATTTACCATCATTAACGCAATAAAATCCCAATAATTAACCCGTCATTAACCCATCATTAACCCAATAAAATCCCAATACTATATAATGTAAAAAAAACTATGGAGGACCACCTTAGTGCCCTTGGGCGGAGACCCACCTGTGACCTGGCCGAAGGTGGCAAAGGCGGCATCGCTGTTCAGCACAGCAGTGGCTTTGGCGATGGCCGTGGCTTCCTGGTGGCGTGGCTTCCAGGAGTTCCCATTGAACAAGCCATGGGAATGTCCTCTAAATGAAGATTTCAATGGGAAATTGATCTTGAAGTGGAGGATTTGATGCGAAAATGATGAATGATCTAGAAATATAGGAAAAAATCAATCTGGGGTTGATCATAGATCAAACCGGCGAAAGACAAAATTGACAAATTTGATGCAGAACTGTGAAACCAAGTCTGGTATCGCCTATGAGAAAATGCCACAGGTTTCAGATTTTATATATATATATGTATATCTAATGCGTAATAAACCACCATTGGATTCCATTGGATCATATGTTAACAGCCATGGTTGTCATAATTGCCTCCTCCTTCTCCAAGTAACACTAGTAAGAATAAAGTACTCAATAATAAGAATTAGGACTATGTTCAAAATGATGGCAATGACCATAATACGTAATACATAATGATCACAATAGGTATAACATGTAATGCATAATGGTAATAAAATGATGGTGATAACAATAATAAGCAATAGTAATAATCACCAAATTCCACAAGAAATTGCTATTTTCAGCATGATACTCCATTTTTTTCAGATTGATTGGTTCTTTGTTAGGTTTATACCACATGCTAAGCCGCATGTATAGATGGTCAGTTCCTGATTCTTCCGTGGTAGTTGCCCGGTGCGTTGCCCAGTGCCCGGCTCCTGGGAGCGAAGCTCTTTGCGCTCCTGGAGACATTGTATTGAATCATTGTGTTGTTTGGTATGGATGGTATGGATGTTTTTGTGTGTCCGTTAATCTGCTCGTAATATGTATATATATATATGTATATATAGACATGTGTCGCATGTGTATATATCTGCGCGTGTATTTAAACATTTAATTTAAACATGCGGAAACCATGGTTTTGCTGGACATGAGCACGTTACGGAAACCATGGCATTCCTCAAAAGCGCTCGTCTTCTGCACCAGGATTTTCTCGGTTTCAGCTTTCAATGCACTTTCCTCAGCGAAACAAAGCGGCCAGGTAAGGTGACGTCGGGTCAAAGACATGCGCATCTAGATTCCATATTATTCATACAGATCTGGCTAAATCACTTATCCATAAATGGGGTTTATCCACAAATAGGATTTTTTAATGATCATGAATATACATATATATATATATACAGAAATCTTCATAAATCAAGATGACTTCATCCATAAATCACAGGAATCTCCGGCCGAGGCTCCGAGTCCAGGTCTGCCTTGGCCTTCGCCAGCTGGGACTTCCGCGTGAGCAGCTCCTCCTCAGTGCTCGCCAGCTCGGCCTAGTGGCGCCGGGGGTTTTGAAAGGGTCAACTTTGGTAAGACATGGTGATTTCACATAATTTCTCTGGAAAAATGTGGGGAAATGTGAGGAAGATGGGGATTTTCTGGTGATGTTTCCAGAGTTTTTTCGCGATGTTTCCGTCATTTCGAACTGAAAATCGAGATGATCTGGCAAACCATGGTGACTCTGAAGCAAATGTTGGTAGTAATCGCAGTTCTCAGCAGCAAAAAACCGTTATCGAAGGCGATTTCAACACCCCTCGCATCCCCTCGCCTGGGTCATCTCCATCATCTTGGACAGCTCAGCCTGGCCAAGAGACACCATGAGGTGTTAACAACGTCATTGATCATCATCAACAACAACAACAACAACATCGCCATCGCCATCGCCATCGCCATCATCATCATCATCATCATCATCATCGTCATCATCATCATCATCATAATCATCATCATCATCATCATCACCATCATCACCATCATTATCATCATCATCATCACCATCATCACCATCATTATCATCATTATCATCCTTCTCTCTAATGTGTATGTTTACATGTGTGATTTACATGATATATATATATATACATACGTATGTGTGTGTGTGTGGGTGTGGGTGTGGGTGTGTGTGGGTGTGTGTGGGTGTGTGTCTTTTTTCAGAGGTGGCCGAAAAAAACCTATGGTTGATCATTCTCTTTCCCATCAAGAACCGCCTGTTCTGACTGCAGCTGCTGTAGCAAGATGCCGTGGCTCTGCTTCTGTGACTCCTCAGCTCCTCGCAGCTCCTGGCGAAAATATGGGACTCGCTGTGAACATCCAACAACCAGCCACCAGAAACAGGTGGTGTACAAAAAAAGACCAAATGAATCCAAATGAGAAATTTGTGTCCACCCCCAGATCAAGAGCATCAAAAGTTCTTTGGGCGGGAGGAAACCTGTCCCCCTCAAGCCAAACATGATTGTTCGCTGTTTTACGTGTTTTTTGCCCACTGCCAAAAAAATGACGATTCTCCAGCGCATTCTGCGGCATGCACCAAACTCCAGACACCATCCAAAACAGACGCTCCTTGAGGTCCTTCTCATAGGTATCTTTCACGCTTTGCAGCGTCCCCAGCACCCCCCCACTTTGCTGCTCATAGGGCTGTCGCAGCATCGCCACCGCTCCAGCCGTGGGGGTGAGGAAGCCCCTAGCCTCCTGGTGATGGAGCCATTGAAAAGGGTGGATTTTATGGGGATATGATATAAATATACTGCTACATTGCACCACTGTATAATAACACTAAAAAAGCAACATCAACAGGGACTTAACTATCTGGATACATTGCATCATAATTCACCAATCTGAAAAAATTGCTCAATTTTAATTTAGCTACCCTGACGGACCATCATTACAGTGACATCGAACAATCCAAGCTTGGCGGGTTGAAGATTGGCTCTGCCAAACAAGAATGGAAAGAAGCAAATGCCGAGCAATTCAAAAAAATACATGTTGAACTCGTGCTGCCTGCCGGGCATGCCGGCTGCTTTCTTTTAATCCCATGCCCCCCTAGTATTGAAGACCCCGTATGGGCTATGGGCCTCCAAAATGAATTAAATCAGGGTTTTCGTGGGGCTTTGATACTAGGCAACTATTTAGGTAATGGAAAATGTTTGGTACATGGTCCACATCCAACGTCTCGAAGCCTAAAGCTCCACGGCCCCAGTTGCTCCTCGGCCACAGATTCCAATTGCTTCGTCACCTCCAGCACTTGTGGGTCGGTGGACAGCAAGGAGACCGCCTTAAGGCCCATCGGTGCCCTTGGGGGATAGCCAACATACAGCCCCCATCCATGGGTGGTGGTAGAAGAATGAGGGGTAAACATTACACAGAATACCAGAGTTGAACTCATGCTATGACATGCTATGACCAAGTCCAAGTGCGACCGGTCAAAAAGCCATTCCTGTCCAAGTCCAAGTCCTCGAAACCAATGCAACCGCCCACCTGATTCTCCGAAGCCATTCTACCCGAAATCATTCCTCCATGATCACCATCACCAACACAAGTATGATCAAGTAAAAACTCTCACGCCACATCCCAGCTGGGGTACTTGAGGGTTGGCACTGACCTCGTTAAGCTCTGCTAGAGCCTGACAGCCGTTGAACGCGTTGGGAGGGTTGGTCAGTTCCAAGGATTGGTCCCTCTTGCCCCGTGTCTCAGGGAAAACAACACGGATGCATTACAAAGAACAACCCTGCGAATGGTTTTAGAATGTTTTAGATATCCATGTTCGGGAGAAAAGGACGTCCCAAAACCGCTTGTATCGGACTGTCATGTCATGTCATGTCATGTCATGTCATGTCCGATTTCGATGATGTTCTTTCGGACTAACACTCCCCAAGTATCGGGCTCAATCTCTCATCCTCAGCCCACGCCTTCTGCAAGCTGGCCAAGTTGGCAGCCATCTCTGTCTCTTGCCTTTGCAAAATCATGGGTCCCGATCCGAAGGAGCAATAGTTTGATTCAGGTAAAAGATCTAGAATTAATTTGGATGCACCTGAGAAGGGGGGAACGAAAGCCAGCATCCCATCTACCCCTATTTTCCACCAAACTTTTCACCCAGAGACTCTTCAATACATTTCACCCATATACTTTTCACCCAGAGATTTTTCACCCAGAAACTCTTCTTGCACAGACTTTTCACCCATATACTTTTCACAAAGAGACTCTTCACCCAATTTTTTTTCTTGCACATACATTTCACCCATAAATACTTTTTCACCCAGAGATTCTTCACCCAGAAACTCTTCTTGCACAGCTTTTCACCCAGAGACTCATCACCCAGAAACTTTCTTGCACAACACCCATATATACTTCTTACCAAGAGACTTCACCCAGAAACTCTTCTTGCGCATACTTTTCACCCAGATACTTTTCACCCAGAGACTCTTCACCCAGAAACTCTTCTTGCACATACATGTCACCCATATACTTTTCACCCAGAGATTCTTCACCCAGAAATTCTTCTTGCACAGACTTTTCACCCAGAGACTCTTCACCCAGAAACTCTTCGTGCACATACTTTTCAACATATACTTTTTACCCATATACTTTTCACCCAGAGACTCTTCACCCAGAAACTCTTCTTGCACATACTTTTCACCCATATACTTTTCACCCAGAGACTCTTCTTGCACATACTTTTCACCCATATACTTTTCACCCAGAGACTCTTCACCCAGAAACTCTTCTTGCACATACTTTTCACCAATATACTTTTCACCCAGAGACTCTTCACCTAGAAACTTTTCTTGCACATATTTTTCACCCATATACTGTCACCCAGAAACTCTTCTTGCACATATTTTTCACCCATATACTTTTCACCCAGAGACTCTTCACCTAGAACTCTTCTTGCACATACATTTCACCCATATACTTTTCACCCAGAGATTCTTCACCCAGAAACTCTTCTTGCACAGACTTTTCACCCAAAGACTCTTCACCCAAAAACTCTTCTTGCACATACTTTTCACCCATATACTTTTTACCCAAACTCTTCTTGCACATACTTTTCACCCATATACTGTTCACCCGGAGACTCTTCACCCGGAAACTCTTCTTGCACATACTTTTCACCCATATACTTTTCACCCAGAGACTCTTCACCTAGAAGCTTTTCTTGCACATATTTTTCACCCATATACTTTCACCCAGAAACTCTTCTTGCACATACTTTTCACCCATATACGTTTCACCCAGAGACTCTTCACCTAGAAACTCTTCTTGCACATACATTTCACCCATATACTTTTCACCCAGAGATTCTTCACCCAGAAACTCTTCTTGCACAGACTTTTCACCCAGAGATTCTTCACCCAGAAACTCTTCTTGCACATACTTTTCACCCATATACTTTTCACCCATATACTTTCACCCAGAAACTCTTCTTGCACATACTTTTCACCCATATACTTTTCACCCATATACTTTCACCCAGAAACTCTTCTTGCACATACTTTTCACCCATATACTTTTCACCCAGAGACTCTTCACCCAGAAACTCTTCTTGCACATACTTTTCACCCATATACTTTTAACCCAGAGACTCTTCACCCAGAAACTCTTCTTGCACATACTTTTCACCCAGAGACTCTTCACCCAGAAACTCTTCACCCGGAAACTCTTCTTGCACATGCTTTTCACCCAGAGACTCTTGACCCAGAAACTCTTCTTGCACATACTTTTCACCCAAAGGCTCTTCACCCAGAAACTCTTCTTGCACATACTTTTCGCCCAGAGACTCTTAACCCAGAAACTCTTCTTGCACAGACTTTTCACCCAGAGACTCTTCACCCAAAAACTCTTCTTGCACATACTTTTCACCCATATACTTTTCACCAAGAGACTCTTCACCCAGAAACTCTTCTTGCACATACTTTTCACCCATATACTTTTCACCCAGGGACTCTTCACCCAGCAACTCTTCTTGCACATACTTTTCACCCATATACTCTTCACCCAGAGACTCTTCACCCAGAAACTCTTCTTGCACATACTTTTCACCCATATACTTTTCACCCAGAGACTCTTCACCCAGAAACTCTTCTTGCACATACTTTTCACCAATATACTTTTCACCCAGAGACTCTTCACCTAGAAACTTTTCTTGCACATATTTTTCACCCATATACTTTCACCCAGAGACTCTTCTTGCACAGACTTTTCACCCAGAGACTCTTCACCCAGAAACTCTTCTTGCACAAACTGTTCCCCCATATACTTTTCACCTAGAGACTCTTCACCCAGAAACTTTTCTTGCACATATAATGGTCCCACATCGGAGCCTCAATTTTACTTTTCACCCATATACTTTTCACCCATATACTTTTCACCCGGAGACTCTTCACCTAGAAACTCTTCTTGCACATACTTTTCACCCATATACTTTTCACCCAGAGACTCTTCTTGCACATACTTTTCACCCATATACTTTTCACCCAGAGACTCTCCACCCAGAAACTCTTCTTGCACATACTTTTCACCAATATACTTTTCACCCAGAGACTCTTCACCTAGAAACTTTTCTTGCACATATTTTTCCCCCATATACTTTCACCCAAAGACTCTTCTTGCACCTACTTTTCACCCATATACTTTTCACCCAGAGACTCTTCACCCAGAAACTCTTCTTGCACATACATTTCACCCATATACTTTTCACCCAGAGATTCTTCACCCAGAAACTCTCCTTGCACAGACTTTTCACCCAGAGACTCTTCACCCAGAAACTCTTCTTGCACATACTTTTCACCCATATACTTTCTACCCAGAGACTCTTCACCCAGAAACTCTTCTTGCACATATTTTTCACCCAGATACTTTTCACCCAGAGACTCTTCACCCAGAAACTCTTCTTGCACATACTCTTCACCCATATACTTTTCACCCAGAGACTCTTCACCCAGAAACTCTTCTTGCACATACTTTTCACCCATATTCTTTTCACCCAGAGACTCTTCACCCAGAAACTCTTCTTGCACATACTTTTCACCCATATACTTTTCACCCAGAGACTCTTCACCTAGAAACTTTTCTCGCACATATTTTTCACCATATACTTTCACCCAGATACTCTTCTTGCACCTACGTTTCACCCATATACTTTTCACCCAGAGACTCTTCACCCAGAAACTCTTCTTGCACATACTTTTCACCAATATACTTTTCACCCAGGGACTCTTCACCTAGAAACTTTTCTTGCACATACATTTCACCCATATACTTTTCACCCAGAAACTCTTCTTGCACATACATTTCACCCATATACTTTTCACCCAGAGACTCTTCACCTAGAAACTCTTCTTGCACATACTTTTCACCCATATACTTTTCACCCAGAGACTCTTCACCTAGAAACTCTTCTTGCACATACATTTCACCCATATTCTTTTCACCAGAACTCTTCACCCAGAAACTCTTCTTGCGCATACTTTTCACCCATATATTTTTCACCCAGAGACTCTTCACCCAGAAACCCTTCTTGCACATACTTTTCACCCATATACTTTTCACCCAGACACTCTTCTTGCACATACGTTTCACCCATATACTTTTCACAAAGAGACTCTTCACCCAATTTTTTTCTTGCACATACTTTTCACCAATATACTTTTCACCCAGAGACTCTTCACCTAGAAACTTTTCTTGCACATATTTTTCACCCATATACTTTCACCCAGAGACTCTTCTTGCACATACTTTTCACCCATATACTTTTCACCCAGAGACTCTTCACCCAGAAACTCTTCTAGCACAGACTTTTCACCAATATACTGTTCACATCTTTTCACCCAGAGACTTCACCCAGAAACTCTTCTTGCACAGACTTTTCACCCAGAGACTCTTCACCCAGAAACTCTTCTTGCACATACTTTTCACCCATATACTTTTCACCCAGAGACTCTTCTTGCACATACTTTTCACCCATACACTTTTCACCCAGAGACTCTTCACCCAGAAACTCTTCTTGCACATACTTTTCACCAATATACTTTTCACCCAGAGACTCACCTAGAAACTTTTCTTGCACATATTTTTCACCCATATACTTTCACCCAGAAACTTTTCTTGCACATACTTTTCACCCATATACTTTTCACCCAGAGACTCTTCACCCAGAAACTCTTCTTGCACATACTTTTCACCCATATACTTTTCACCCAGAGACTATTCACCCAGAAACTCTTCTTGCACATACTTTTCACCAATATACTTTTCACCCAGAGACTCTTCACCCAGAAACTCTTCTTGCACATACTTTTCACCCATATACTTTTCACACAGAGACTCTTCACACAGAAACTCTTCGTGCACATGTTTTTCACCCATATACTTTTCACCCAGAGACTCTTCACCCAGAAACTCTTCTTGCACATACTTTTCACCCATATACTTTTCACCCAGAGACTCTTCACCCAGAAACTCTTCTTGCACATACTTTTCACCCATAAACTTTTCACCCAGAGATGCTTCACCCAGAAACTCTTCTTGCACATACTTTTCACCCATATACTTTTCACCCAGAGACTCTTCACCCAGAAACTCTTCTTGCACAGACTTTTCACCCATTTTCTTGCACATACTTTCACCCATATACTTTTCACCCAGAGACTCTTCACCCAGAAACTCTTCTTGCACATGCACATTTTCACCCATATACTTTTCACCCAGAGACTCTTCACCCAGAAACTCTTCTTGCACATACTTTTCACCCATATACTTTTCACCCAGAGATTCTTCACCCAGAAACTCTTCTTGCACAGACTTTTCACCCAGAGACTCTTCACATACTTTTCACCCATATACTTTTCACCCAGAACTCTTCACCCAGAAACTCTTCTTGCACATACTTTTCACCCATATACTTTTCACCCAGAGACTCTTCTTCACCTTTTCACCCAGAGACTCTTCTTGCACATACTTTTCGCCCATATACTTTTTACCCAGAACTCTTCACCCAGAAACTCTTCTTGCACATGCTTTTCGCCCATATACTTTTCACCCAGAGACTCTTCACACAGAAACTTTTCTTCCACATACTTTTCACCCATATACTTTTCACCCATATACTTTCACCCAGAAACTCTTCTTGCACATACTTTTCACCCATATACTTTTCACCCAGAAACTCTTCTTGCACATACTTTTCACCCATATACTTTTAACCCAGAGACTCTTCACCCAGAAACTCTTCTTGCACATACTTTTCACCAATATACTTTTCACCCAGAGACTCTTCACCTAGAAACTTTTCTTGCACATATTTTTCACCCATATACTTTCACCCAGAGACTCTTCTTGCACCTACTTTTCACCCATATACTTTTCACCCAGAGACTCTTCACCCAGAAACTCTTCTTGCACATACTTTTCACCAATAATATACTGTTCACATCTTTTCACCCAGAGACTCTTCACCCAGAAACTCTTCTTGCACAGACTTTTCACCCAGAGACTCTTCACCCAGAAACTCTTCTTGCACATACTTTTCACCCATATAAACTTTTCACCTAGAGACTCTTCACCCAGAAACTCTTCTTGCACATATAATGGTCCCACATCGGAGCCTCAATTTTTCCATTGTGTTTCCATCCCATCAATTTCCGTCATTTTACTCTTATTTTACTTGGCATCATTTTGGTCCCACATCAGAGCCGCAATTTTTCCAATATGTTTTCCATTGTTTTTCTCCACTTCTTCATCATAGTCCCTCGATTTTTCCATTGCTTTTCCATCGCTAATGGTCTCACATCGAAGCCACATTTTTTTCATTTTTTTCCATTGCTTTTCCATAGTTTTACTCGACATCATTTTCCCCTCCATTCCAGTCTCCCCAGTGTTTTTTTCACAGTTTTTCCTTCAGTTTTACTCAATCGTCCCATAGTTTACGCTAGGCTATCAATTTATCCTTCCATTTCATCAATTTTCCAGTGTTTTGCCATGGTGTTACTCGATTTCTCCATCATTACCCTTCTATTATCTCAGTGTGTCTAACGCTTACACAAATGCACCTCCCACAATCCCTACCGTTGCACCGTATAAACGGTTTTGCTCGTTTCTTCCATGGTTTTATTTCCGTGCTTCTACTCCATAGTGGTCACACATCGAAACCGCATTTTTTCCATTGCTTTTCCATTGTTTCACGCGTGCTTTACGCGATAATGGTCCCACATCGGAGCCTCAATTTTTCCATTGTTTTTCCACCCCATCAATTTCCATCCTTTTACTTTTATTTTACTTGGAATCATTTTCCAAGCGTTCTACTCAAATTTTCCATTCTTTTCCCATTGTTTTATATGCTATCAATCTATTCTTCCATTTCATCAATTTTCCAGTGTTTTGCCATGGTGTTACTCGATTTCTCCATCATTACCCTTATGTTACCCCAGTGTGTCTAACGCTTACCCAAGTGCACCTTCCACAATCCCTACAGTTGCACCGTATAAACGGTTTTGCTCGTTTCTTCCATGGTTTTCTTTCCGTGCTTCTACTCCATAGTGGTCACACATCAAAACTGCAATTTTTCCATTGCTTTTCCATTGTTTCACGCGTGCTTTACGCGATAATGGTCCCACATCGGAGCCTCAATTTTACTTGGCATCATTTTACCCTCTCCCTATTCTTTCCACCGTTTCTCCTCGCGTTTTAATCAATTTTCCAAGCGTTCTACTCAAATGTTCCATTGCTTTCCCATTTTTTCCCCATTGTTTTACGTCATATTCCCTCATTTTTTCCTGGTCCCACATCGGAGCCTCAATTTTACTTGGCATCATTTTACCCTCTCCCTATTCTTTCCACCGTTTTTCCTCGCGTTTTTGTGCGATCAATTTATCCTTCCATTTCATCAATTTTTCCAGTGTTTTGCCATGGTGTTACTCGATTTCTCCAGTGTGTCTAACGCTTGCCCAAATGCACCTTCCACAATCACTACAGTTGCACCGTATAAACGGTTTTGCTCGTTTCTTCCATGGTTTTTTTTCTGTGCTTCTACTCCATAGTGGTCACACATCGAAACTGCAATTTTTCCATTGCTTTTCCATTGTTTCACGCGTGCTTTACGCGATAATGGTCCCACATCGGAGCCTCAATTTTACTTGGCACATCAAAACTGCAATTTTTCCATTGCTTTTCCATTGTTTCACGCGTGCTTTACGCGATAATGGTCCCACATCGGAGCCTCAATTTTACTTGGCATCATTTTACCCTCTCCCTATTCTTTCCACCGTTCTTCCTCGCGTTTTTGTGCGATCAATTTATCCTTCCATTTCATGAATTTTTCCAGTGTTTTGCCATGGTGTTACTCGATTTCTCCAGTGTGTCTAACGCTTGCCCAAATGCACCTTCCACAATCCCTACAGTTGCACCGTATAAACGGTTTTGCTCGTTTCCTCCATGGTTTTTTTTCTGTGCTTCTACTCCATAGTGGTCACACATCGAAACTGCAATTTTTCCATTGCTTTTCCATTGTTTCACGCGTGCTTTACGCGATAATGGTCCCACATCGGAGCCATTTTACCATCTCCCTATTCTTTCCACCGTTTCTCCTCGCGTTTTAATCAATTTTCCAAGCGTTCTACTCAAATTTTCCATTGCTTTCCCATTTTTTTCCATTGTTTTATGTCAAAGTCCCTCCTTTTTTTCCATTGTTTTTCTCATCATTTTCCCCTCCTTTCCCTTTTTTTCCCATTGTTTTATGTCATATTCCCTCATTTTTTCTATTATTTGTCTCATCATTTTCCCCTCCATTGCAATCTGCCCAGATCCACCTCGGAGGGCGGACCAGGGGGGAATCGATACCCCAACGTCACCCAATTGCCACCTGGTACATAACCCTAAAAAAGTTTACCTGCGTCCACCTTTTTTACCACCTATTTTCCTCATTTTTATCCGATTTCGGGCGCTCTGCCCCCAGACCCCCTTAACTCACTTTGTTCGCATATAGAACTTCGCCTAGCCTAGCGGCTGGCTTTCGTGATCTATAGAAACACGTGTTGCTGTGCCCAATGCATGACACATCTGAACTAGAACCGAAATGCACCTCCCACGTTGCACTGTATCAACGGTTTCACTCGCCGATTCTATGGTTTTCTGGCTGTACTTCGACTCGATACTGGTCCCATCGGAGCCGCAATTTTTCCATTGTTTTTCCATTGTTTGACTCCACCTCTTCAGCATAGTCCCTCAATTTTTCCATTGCTTTCCCATCGATCCATCTCGTCGTTGCTTTTCCATAGTTTTACTCGACATCATTTTCCCCTTCATTCCAGACTTTTACTTGGCATCATTTGACCCTCTCCCTATTCTTTCCACCGTTTCCATTGCTGTCCCATTTTTTCCATTGTTTTATATCAAAGTTCCCCCTTTTTTCCATTGTATTTTCCCCTCCTTTCCCATTTTTTTCCCATTGTTTTATGTCATATTCCCTCATTTTTACTCCCTCAATTTTTGCATTGCTTTCCCATCGATCCATCTCGTCGTTGCTTTTCCATAGTTTTACTCGACATCATTTTTCCCTTTCATTCCAGACATCATTTGACCCTCTCCCTATTCTTTCCACCGTTTCCATTGCTTTCCCATTTTTTTCCATTGTTTTATGTCAAAGGCCCTCCTTTTTTCCATTGTTTTTCTCATCATTTTCCTCTCCTTTCGCATTTTTTTCCCATTGTTCTCTCCCTATTCTTTCCACCGCTTCCATTGCTGTCCCATTTTTTTTCCATTCTTTTATGTCAAAGTCCCTCCTTTTTTCCATTGTTTTTCTCATCATTTTCCCCTCCTTTCCCGTTTTTTTCCCATTGTTTTATGTCATATTCCCTCATTTTTAGTCCCTCAATTTTTCCATTGCTTTCCCATCGCTCCATGTCGACGTCATAGTTCCTTTTGTTCCTTGCTTTTCCATAATTTTACTCGACATCATTTTCCCCTTCATTACACTTGGCATCATTTCACCCTCTCCCTATTCTTTCCACCGTTTCCATTGCTTTCCCATTTTTTTTTCCATTGTTTTATGTCAAAGTCCCTCCTTTTTTCCATTGTTTTTCTCATCATTTTCCTCTCCTTTCGCATTTTTTTCCCATTGTTCTCTCCCTATTCTTTCCACCATTTCCATTGCTTTCCCATTTTTTTCCATTGTTTTATGTCAAAGTCCTTCCTTTTTTCCATGGTTTTTCTCATCATTTTCCCCTCCTTTCCCATTTTTTTCCCATTGTTTTATGTCCTATTCCCTCATTTTTTCTATTATTTGTCTCATCATTTTCCCCTCCATTGCAATCTGCCCAGATCCACCTCGGAGGGCGGACCAGGGGGGAATCGATACCCCAACGTCACCCAATTGCCACCTGGTACATAACCCTAAAAAAGTTTAACTGCGTCCACCTTTTTTACCACCTATTTTCCTCATTTTTGTCCGATTTCGGACGCTCTGCCCCCAGACCCCCTTAACTCACTTTGTTCGCAAAAAGAACTTCGCCTAGCCTAGCGGCTGGCTTTCGTGAAAACTCATTCCTTTGGTTTTTTTTGGTTGTTCATGATCTGTTCAACCCCAAACTGACCATGCAAAGTCATTAACTTGCGGTCTTAGATTCGACACTCAACTCTGAGACGGTCCCCCCAAGAGAAGGCGTGTTCGGAGACGACGGAGAAGCCTGCCAGGATGGCGGGAGAAAATGAGAGAAATCCATTGGTTGATCATCATGTTCATCATGAAAAATTGCCTTTCTTGGGTGCTACATCCTCCATTTTCAGACATACCCAATGACTACCGTTGGCCTAAATATATATCCTATGAAATCCCCGTGAAATCCCATGAAGTCTCTATGTGTTTCATGGTATTTAATATATTTAATGGTTAAATCCTCATGACATCCCCATCTCCCGCCAGGCCTCCAAGTGTATTTCCTGGGCAATGACGTCCAATGCCAGAGCCTCCGATGCAATGGCCAGCAGGTCCTGGCAACGAAGCCGAAAAAATAATGCGTAGTTGTCATGATAACAATACTAAAATTTGAGTGAATCATAAAGAATAATACTACAACTATCTACAACTACTAAAATTTAGTAATTGGCTAATAGTACGAGTAAATACGAGTAATATTCGCTACCAGAGATATCTTTCATATTGCTTAAACTTCTTAAGCCTCGCCTCTGTGTCGATCTCCTTGGCAACGTCTGAAGCCAGAGCCTGCCGTTGCGCCGTGGGTTTGAGATGTCTCGTGCTGGGCCGACGGTCCTCGTATACAGCTAGGTGTTCGTTCTTATCAATCTTTATCATGGAATGCCCACTGCCCGTTGATGCAAAAAACTGTATATATGTGAAATATTGTGAAATAATGTATACATATATATATACTTGGATGCGCCCGTTCCACAGAAAAATCTGACCTTGTCGGAGTACTTACAAACATCAAGCTTTCCAGAGTGTATTGAAAGACATGCAAAGGAAACTAGCAACATCTAGCAACAAATGCAACAAGATCAACAAGTACCTATGCGTACTTTGCTGATTCCGCATCACGATGACACATGGTGAACAGTGCTAATGCCTCTACTGGTGACTTTATCCTCACTCTGCCCTGCCTCAGCTTTTGTCGATGCATTGGCATAGATAAAGTCCTCGTCAAGTGAAATCATAACATCACAAGGTCAAGTGCTGAGACCAAAAATCAGGCAGCCAAAACCACATCATCGTTTGATATTCACATGCTGGATGCAATGGATATGCATCTGGATATATCTGGATACAATGTCAATAGAGCAAGCACCACAGCTTTTACAAAGCCACTGAGCATCGCACCGGCACTGCTGGCCTCATAGGGACACAACCAGAGCGTGTATCAAAGAATGGCCTATCGCTAAAGATGAAGAAAACTGGAATCAAGTTGAACAATGTGAAGGATGTCACAACAAAGGCTAAGGCGGCTAAGTTCTTGCGGAAGTCATATATGGCAATATAATGTAATATATGGATTATATATGGTATAATTATTAATCCTTCCATGCTGCACAAGGGTCTGCGAGAAGTTGGAAAGCAATTACGGTGCAATCTCTGGACCCCCCGACTTGCCCGGAACTGAAGTTGGCTGCGCTCCGCCATCCGACTCAGCCTTGCACTTGGCCGAACTAAAACCAACTACAATCTGAACTGACTATTCTAATTAAACACTTGCTGATCGACTTGTTGCTTATGTTTCCAAGACTCTACAAATGCTACTCTCAATTCATCTTGGTTTGTTAATGTTAAGCCCCAAACAACAAATCACAGCAATCCGGCTCGCCTTCAAAGCTGTGAAGCGTGGAGGTGGTCCGGGTCCTGGCGCCGTCTCCAGCGCAAGGTCTTCGGCCTCCGGGTGAACTTCGCTTCGGGGTCGATCAATGGTCATATATGGTCATGGATTTAGCATTTTGGGAAGACATCCATATGTCGTCATATATTAAATTCAATACATATATTAATACCCATATAGAACGGGCATTCATATTCACAGTAATATGGATGATTCATTGGATTATGGGTTTAAAAAATGGATTCATGGGTATATTCGGCATGTTAATTCCCATCAATGAATATCAAAGAGGGGATGACCATTCCCTGTTTTGATAGCAAATAAGAACCACGTAACTTGACCGCAGCACATCTGGATCATGAAATGAAATGACTCTAATCACTTGGAATCTGATCAAATCTCTCTTTCTTTCATGATCCAGATCTCTCTATTTTGTTCTCAAATCTATCAAGTCCAGAAGTTGCCCTGTAGCAATGTAATACCATCTAATACACTGTTCATTGTCTTGTAGTGTAAGTTGAGAAGCGCGGAGTATAATAACACAATGCTGTAGTGAACATAGAACCAATGTGGTGCGACATAGTGACGCCATGGTGTCAAAGCACAGGTTTCAGGCATTGTACAGCATCACCAGCCAACATCATAGCAAAGTAGTGGATATAAATGCATATAAATGATTATAAATGCATGTATATGTGTATATATATAATTATATATATATACATATGTATATGCATATATATATATATATTCCTTCTGAATGAATGCATGAACTGGGACCTCAACAGGCGTCTCATCGGCCGGAACTGTGTCTGCAGCCTTGTCAAATCCAAATGGTAAAAAGCCAGGCATCCCTTTATACAAGAGATTTCAAGAGATTCCTCATCGCCCCAGCTGAAGTCAAAAGAAAAAACCTAGCGGGCCTACCAGGCGGCCGAGCTGACAAGTTGATGAACAGCCATGTGGGCCGTCCTTCCCCAAGAGTCATTTCTGTGTCCCTGGCGCTTGGCTCAGCACCATGAGCTGCAAAGGTTGCAGGAGCGCTCAAGAGGTGCAGTTCAACCTGCACGTTGCTTCAGCTTTGGCCAACCACCCCCACCTAATGGAATTGGGGTATCCTTTCTTGTGATGATGTGATGCATGTTGGTTTCGCTACTCTTCATGACTACCAAAAAGCAAGCAGAAACTGACGATCAAAACTAAAATTGACGCTCCCAAAAGACCTCTTACCTCACTCTTTAGCTCCTTACTTTGTGCAGCAGGTCTTTTGCTGTGCAGATGCCCTGCTCCCTCGGCAGTCCTCTGGGTTCTGGAGTGGTCTGCGCTGCAGTTCTTTTACCAGCCTCGGTGCTTTTGAATTCAGTTCTCTGTGCATTTGCAACTCGTCTCATGTCGTCTCTTCGCTGGTTAGCGTCTTCCAGCCCCCACTAATTCTTTGCCAAAGTCGAAGGGGCCTTCTCTAAAAAACGCTCGGAAAGCTTGGGGCCAAACACAAGAAGTGCAGCTTGGTTTTGCCTTGGCCACCGCCATTACGTCGTTGTCGAATCCACTGCAGCAGGATACTCAGACCAACAAAACAAGCCCATAGAGGGCCAACATCATTGCCTAGGTCTGCGAAAATGAAGAGGCACCCGAAATTGTTCAAGCTCTTGATTCGTCTTGGTTTTGGACTCAGGAAGCAAGTCCCCTGCCACTTCTGCAACAATGCGCTCCTTCCAGCTGTACAAATCACAGCTAGAAAATACTGGTTTGACGGCTACTTTGGTGGAAATATGTGATAACCTGTCTGACAGAACCCTTCAAATTGGCGGTTTCCGATCTTGCAGCAGTTGGTGTCATTGTTATTAGATGGTGAATCAGCAAACATATTATAATTATGTATGTATGTATGTATGTATGTATGTATGTATGTATATACATATTATATTACTATTATTACTGTTATTTTTTCTTACTATTATTCATCATATATTTGCATTATTATACTTGAGAGCAGGCGGAGGCGGACGAAAGGTAGTGTAGTGGGAGAGGAGTGGTGTCAAAATGCTGCGCCCCTAAGATGATACACCAAAAACGTTTTTGCGCAGTCTAAGATGATTTTATCCAGAGCATGACTGCATGATACGGTGTCTTGTGCAGCGTGAAATGATGCACGAAAAGGGGTTTATTTAAAACCCCTTTTTAAGACCCCTTGCAGCAACTGTTATTGAGGCTGAAGCATACCAATTATGCTGGACTGCAGGGACATCTCCCTCATGGAAAGTGTGCCTCTAATGTGGGGGCCCGTGACCGCGTCACCCGTGGGAATTGAACCCATGACCATTTTCGGGGGGGGGGGGCCCCCCTTATAATTGATATCCAATACATAACGGCGAGAATTCCATGAATTCCGTGGGCTGGCCCCCCAATACCCCCTAAGCTTGTGCTGAAGCACGGAGAACTCAGGTAGCTGACGCTACCTTTCGTGATATATATATATATATACATGCATATCAGGCGCGTATACTCTGCCCAAAATTAAGCATGGCTTCGCAGTCATCCGCCTCCAAACTTGCTGCAGTCCGAGCAGAGACGACTCCAGATGGGGCCGTCTCGGCCAAATCAATGCCCTGCAAGCAGTGCTCTCAACGTCCGATCCCGTGGTCAAGGAGGTGTCTTCAGTCGTGGCGTTGCGCCAGAGTCATCAATCCCCTTGTCAATCCAAATCCCCTTGCAATCCAACTGATTCCTGTAGCCTTTAAATAGTTCGGATGGCGTGGAAAGAGATATGCAAGAAGTGACACTGTCAAATCAACTGCAACCTATATAATTTAATAATATAATACATACAGTTGACATCAGCTGACAGTGTAAGTGCATGGATGTGAAATCAAGCATGCATTGAAGATCATTGAAGTACAAACGGTAGAGTCTGGCTGCCTTGTCTCCCAAGCTTAGGTATAGTCAGAACTGCCCGCCTCGCTCAGATCGGCTCCAACAGCTGCCTGAAGCAGTGCCGCTTCTTCTGAGCCTGCAGAACAAATGCCTCGGTTAAAAGCATTCAGTTACCGCAATAAAAATCAAATGACGTCACATTTCTACATTTTTCACATCTACATGCTTGCCCTTCCAAAACTACGCACGCTTTGCAGTTTGAAAAGTATTAAGTTCATTCTATAGCTGTATGTTTTTCAATTGATGCTCACACAAGAGTAGCGGCCAGCTGCGACAATTTCGGAGCAGCAAAACGGAAGAAAAAACATTCCGGACATGTTTAGTCCCAACAACACCAACAACCCAAGCAGATATCCATGTTCTTTCCGCTTTGTCCCAAGTTCCATGCTCTCCGGTCCAGCGATTGCCAGTGACCTGTCCACTTCGTGGTGAAGGTTCCTTGATAGACTGTGGAGTCATCCATTGATAGAGCCAAGAGCAGTGCAAAGGGGTTGAAGCACCTAAGTAAGAACAACCTTTGAAACCAGATTAAACGAGTGGTTTTTTAGTTGGAAGAAGCCCTGGCCTGTCGGTTCTGTCGGTTTGCACCTCACTTCTATCCTGGTTCAAGATCGAAGCAGCTATGGGAGAGACAACATTAGCCAATCACTTCATCCATGCGGACTCTTTCCGCTGCCCTCAGAATCCGTCCTGGGAGGCGGTCTCCTGCATCGATGTGGCAAGCTGCGTGGCAAATGTTCGGGCTACTAGTGACTTATCGTGACTGCCACAGAGAGATCTGCGCATGGCACTTCCATTGCTTGACTCGTCCTGCAGGGATCCTTCTGGAGACGGATGCTCCAACACATCATCCACCTGTGCGAAAAAAAAACGTGGCTGCAGCATTGGCTGCTGCATTTTTCAATTCCAGAAATTCTGTCCAAGGCACTACTCGGTGGACGAATTCCTTCATGTTTGGATCCTGGGGCACTTCGACAGCTGCAACAGCATGAGAGACTTTGGGTGGACCCCTCAACCTCAAGTCTAATCTCCAATGGCTGGCATGACTGAAACGTCACCCCGTCACCCGTGACCGGCTTCGTGCCTCCTCACTTGGTTTGGTTCGTTCAGTTTCTATCTCTGAAGGTGCCTCCAAGCTAAGATTCTAGTTGCTCGAGCAAAGACCATGGACTATCAAAGACTGCTAGGCTCCACAGGGCAAAAACCTACTGAGATTCATCACATGAACAACCTACCAGGACCTACCAGGAAGTCAGCAGCAGATATATAAACCTGGTCACCCATTGATCAGCTCCCTGCCTCAGGAGTCTCCAATATGGGAATGACTGGGAGGACTTCGCAGTCAAAGCTTCCAACCTGTGGAACAGTGGGATGCTTTGCGGCAAGCGTAAATCGCATCCTAATCACAGTTTTAACCTTTTTTGCTGTGAAGCCGACTTATTTCTTGAATGCAAAACATGATCAAAACATGATCAAAAGATATCAAAAGTACATCTAGAGATATCTAGAGGTTTGGTCTTGACTGTGTTGACAGCTAGCTGGGCCAGAAGAAAAATCTGCACAACACGTCCAACAGAAAGCAATCACTACGTATATTCTTTGTCATGATGTCAGCAGTTCAAGTACCATACGTCAGATTCTTTACTTGTCCAAGAATGAAAGTATATATGTTATTATTCTTGTACTATATAGATTATATAGTATATCGTATAATTATTTGTTTCAGTAAAACAAAAACAAATGAGTCTGACCACAATGGATGCTGTACGCAGTGCTGAAGGTCGACGCCTCGGAGTGGAGGACTGAGGCTGTTTCAGCTGCTAATGCTGCAGACTGTGCTGCCACCAGCACTTCCTCCGCTGCGTATAGGTCAAAATTGGGGTAGCAATGGAGTGGCAAAGTTGGACGTCATCAATCGTTCTTAGATTCTTAGTTTCAAAAGATGGGAGTTGGATATTTTGGCTCGTGCCCAATCTGGATCAAGAATGTTAGTGCAGCTATGGTTTCAAAACTTGCTCATGGTATGCGATGATTGCATAGCGTTGCCAGTGTTACCATATTTAGGTTTTCTCAGACTGAGGGATGCTCTGATTTTGAGACGCATTTTGTCACTGCGATCAGTCCTCGGCTGCATGGGCAATCAGAGCATCTTCAGCGCTCTCTGCACCTTCGCAATCCGCAAAGGGAATCCGGGTCGCTGGGGAAACGCCATGAAACGTCCAGAGGTCCTCCAGAAATTACTCCGGATGACTCCACTTATCTCACTTGTCTGCTTTGCACCTGCTTCTTGTTCCGCCTCCTGGCATGAGAACAAGCTCTTCTTTGCCCAAGTCTTTCTTGCGAAGTGAGTTTGTGCAGAGGTCAACCGAGTCAACCGGCTGCTCAACTCTCAGCAAAAAATCAATGCACCTTGCCCGCTGAATCTGACCTGAATCGCGACAGCGCTGTGGAATCTTCCGGTGTGTTCCCTGAGACGCAGCTGAGGCTGAGAACTTGAGCGCGGTAATCGCGTCGCAAGCTGTGTGCACTGCATCCTGAACGAAGCACCAGTAAAAGAGGCCACACCAAGAGATTCACGGTGGCTGCTGAAACACAAATTAAGCTGAAAGAAAACTGAAAATCAAATGTGGAAAAGCTACAATTTACTTCTGCTTTACCATGCTTGAAAACACGATGGACGCCATAGGATGCGACATTCTCCTGCCTGTGCCATCTGAAGGCCATAGGAACCCTCCTCTGAAGCAGACACACTGGATGCCAAGCCTGGAGCACAGGAGAACCAGGATGAGATGGCGATAAAACAAGACATTTTCCTACAGCATGAAATCATGTTTTGTATGTATTGGTATTCAAATAGTGATGTCTTCTGCATCCTGCTGCAAAAAGCTTGAACACAATTTGAACACAGTCTAAACCAAGCAGGCAAGAAATTGATTCTGCCTACTACTTTTACTCTAAAGACACCCAGCGATAGTTGCTGCACCCCTCGCCTGCAGAAGCAGGCCGGACCGCAACTTCCTCAGACAAATTCTGTCCAATCTCATTGTGGTCTACATCATCTTCGTTGGCCTACTTGACCTCTCAGCTAAAATACAAAATGTAGTGAGGACTGAAATCTGAACACAAGGGATGCATACGAAAGGAAGCAGCATCTCCCATTTCATACCGCAACCAAATCCCCCTGTTGAGCTGTGACTGTACATTAGATTCGCTTCTTTCACGAGTCTATTTCAAGCCTGGGGAAATTGATGTGGGTCAGGAGCAGAACAGAAAGTTGCATCTGGTCTTCGGTCTTCCTCACAAGTTTGACACAGTTTGACAAAGACCTCTGGGCATCCGACCACTGGTTGCACGGTAGGGGCCATCAGTTCACTGCCCTGAGGATGTGCACAGCCAAAAATGTCGATGTCTTGAGGTTTGTCGATCAATTCGCAAATCTTGCATCGATTTGGATGCCTCGGTGTGCACATTGCTGGCCGATTGCTGCACATCTGTCTTCTCGGGCAATGAGTTCACAACCAGCAAGTGAACAAGCTCCTAGCACTTCCAAGCTCATTGTGGGATGGTTCACAAGAGGAGAATTGCAAATCAAAAAGCCCCAAAATTCTTCACAAATCAAAATGTAATGCTACTAGCATGTGGCTACGTATGCATATTATGCATGTCATTCATGTCATTGTGCATCTATCTTCACTGAGAATTTGAGCTGTCCACTTGCGGCAACTTTCTTGTTCGGCCATGAGGCTTTCAACTGCATTTCTCTTAGAGTTAGTGCCTCCATCGCTGCCGTTGAGCCAGTTGTCAAAACAGAAATGCGGCCTTGGGCTTCAGTGGAACTTGGATGAACTTGGTATGTAGCAGCTGGATGCAGCTGGGTTGTCACTTGAGCCAAGCGACTTGGATCACGATCGGATTGACTGCTGGAAGGTCTGTCATCAACCTTCACAAAACACACAAAAGCAGGGCTGAAATGGCTGAAATCCCCCTGTAAAGAAAAAAAACAAAGCTTCTGACTCAATGCGCAGCACAAAGTGCAAACATCGCAAAAGGATCGATTCTCAACTAACGAAGCGGGCATCATTTGAAACTTCGTAAATAGACGGGCCTCCTGCTCCCTCTGATTGGCCAAAGTCAAGGATGATGCAAGGATGTCTATCTCATCCATCCTGGGAGTAACACGGAAATCGAATGCATGCTGCAATAAACTGGGTCCAGCGGCTCTCAGCTGAACTTCCCAAAATCAAGAACCCAATGCAGGACCTCAGCTGAACTTGCCAAGTCGCAATTCACCCCTTGTTTTCTGTGCAAGTCCGGGTACGATAGTGACCTCCCAGCTTGGCCACGACAATTCACGCATGCTGCCTCTGCTGGACATCAAAAGTTTGGACATCAAGCTGTGCATGAAGCGCCTCGGACGGGGGTCTGGAGACCTGCGCCAGAAACTGGCTGCTTTCAATGCTGTTGCGCCTCTGCTCTTCGCTCTCCTTCTCTGTCTCTACTGATTTTCCTGGGACTTCCCTGACATTTCTTCCTTAAGAACGCACTCGCATATCCCAATTCCCCTGAACCAAGGTTTCGTGCCTCATTCTCCGTGATCACCTAAGCAACAAGTTTGCCCATTGATATTGACATGTAACGAGAAGAATGATTTGTGGACAAACACAACTGATTTGGACATATTTCAATTGATTTGTGGTATACTATGTCCAGACCGGCCTGGGATGCTTCTACTTCCTGCTTCTCAAGGAATGATGCCTCATCCAGCAAGTCCTTCAGAACTGATCACAAATAGTACGAACAAGTTTGCATGGTCGGCGCTTGCACGTCCACTTCTTATGCCCTTGCGAATACAAGCGCAAAACTCTTGTACGTGCAAACCTCTCACATGTTCGTGTCACGACATTAAATGCAAGGCATGCAGTCCTGTGCAAGCTTCAGCCCAAAGGCTTCCACAACAGCTGCCTGGGGTTGGAGTTACAGAAGCAAACCGGAAGGGATGCCGGCAGATGCTGTGTCAATCCTGCTTTTCAGTACAGATCAACTTCTCAGAGATAATTGATGATCTGCCATGATCCCCGAACAACCCTATGCCAAGGCCTGCTAGGCTAGGTTCATTCTTTGGGGTTTGCCACCAATTGTCAGATGACCAAAGATATTGTCCTTATGGCGCAGCTGTCAGGGCCTTGCCTCACATGAGGATCGCTCTGAGACGATGCTGGGAGTTGCAAGCCGCCTCGGGTTCAGGTCAGGTCTCATGTTCTCCAAAAGTTTGAAAGACTTCTACAGTACATTGTCAAATTGTCGATGTATATAGCTATATATATACATACATATTTATAATATATATATATAGTTAGATTTTAAGCGGACAAGTTCATTGCTCTGCATCTCCAAACCTCCCAAACTAAGGGCCAAGCTCTGGAACCTGCAGATTTCAACTGAAAAAAGGCTAAGATAGGCCAAGTGCTGCAAGTGCTTGGCAGAACTAAAGATGTTTGAGGCTCAAGTCCGACGTGAGGGTCTACAGACGGTCATGGGTCTATAGAATTCTATAGACAGGTCCTACTGCAGCTTCCCCCAATCGTGCTCAAGGCTTGGCAGACTGGCCCAGACTGGCAGTTCCTTGGTGCACACGGCGCGCCTGCACCTGTGACTGCGCCTCCTGTTTCCTCTTGATCTCCTCCATGGCCGCATCAAGCAATTCCTGCAGAAACTAAATGAAGGATAACGAGGTGTCTCACAAGTCTTGGCATGGCGCGGAAAATCTCTTTGAGGCTTTGAGGAGACAGAGTCCGGACATCTTCATCATCGGCAACATCTGCAAGGGTTTGACGAATACCAATCATGCAAGAGCACAAGACAAGTGAAGAGACAATGGCCAAGGGGTTCCGAATTCATTCAAAGTTTTAGCGTCATTCAGACATATTCAGACCATTCAGCAGTTCTCGACCTTTTGACACATACTGTAGCAATCTGTAGCACAGACATGACTCTTGCTGGCAATCAATTCGTTGCATCGAAAGCTGCCAAGTCCTCAGCCAGTGCTCCAAACTTGGCCATGGCTGTTGCCTGGGCGTCCTGGGCTGCTAAAACCGTGGTCAACCTTCCCTCAGTGCAATTCCTTAGCGATGTGCCTCCTTTGTGGAATCGGTGTCCACAGCCTCTTTGAGGGAACTTTGCAACAGGCGCCTCGTCTCCAAACAAACGCACTTCAAGAAAAATGCCAAACCTTTCAAACCTTTCGAACGCGTCTTGATCTCGGAACAGCAAGCAAAATCCTGCTAATCTTCTAGATTCTGGTGTTCAAACTATATTTTCCGCCAAGAAGCTCTTGATCCATTCCTGAGGGATTGTCAATGCCATGCGCAATTCGATTGCAGTCGCGAATTACTACCAGTAGTTTCTATCTTCTATTTTGTGCACCTGTCCGCATGTGCTCTAGTTTGGCTGCTTCATTCCAAGCAGTGTATCATGTTGATTCATTTTGCCTCTTGCCAGCACGCGTCGTTCTTCGTCTTCCCTCGCCACTTCTGGCGAGACAGTCGCGGCCTCTGAAGCTTGTCGAGTGGGTCCATCTGCAGTTTCCAAAGTTTCCACCTGCAGAAGCCAAACTCTTCATTTGAATGAAAAGGATTGAACAGGAGGATCTACTGCAAGAGTCTTTCGCCTGCGTAGCCGATAATACCTCTGAGCTGTTTCGCTTTGCCTGCCAAAGTGCAGAATCCTCTTACTTGCCTCTGGACTCGGAGCACCAAAAGTTGCCATCTCAACCGCACCGTCAGGTAGGGATGACGGATAAAGGATGAGACGCAAACTGAACACGCCTGCTCTTTCTGTTCATGCTCCAGCGCAGAGTCAAGCAATTCCTGGAGGCGGCAAAGCTGCGCAGAGGCAAGCTGTCTAAGTAGAGTTTTGACGTTTACGTTCAAAACGTGTCAGAACCAGTGGCATGCTTGCAGTTAGAGAAACCCCGATCGAAAGCAGGTTGCTTTGTCAGCAAGGAACTATGACACCCCTGAACAAGGCTTGTCCTGGGCAACCTTCAGTCCCACGCTTTCACTTGCCAGTGCCTACCAAACAACTATGCCGGCTTCAGCAGCAAACAACAGTAACAGATCCATCGTGACATATCTGCGGCCTTGCATGATTCCAGGACCACATACTGCAGCATGCAATACATCTTAATGCAACTCTTAGCTTCCATCCTGGCCTCTGGCATGGAACAGTTTGAGATGTAGGTAGAGGCAGCTTGCGGTTTCCCGCTGTCAGCTTCTCTCAGGGCCTCTTTGAGAGAACTCTGCAGCATTCGCCTTTGAGGAAATTCATGCCATGAGACAAGGAAACACCATGAAACACCTAGACATGTTGTTTCGTATGGGTTTATCCTTGCTCATCAAATACCGCAGGACCAGCTGCCTTGCATCATTTCAGATCAGTTCAGTATTTCTCCTGTTTTTCTTAACTCTATATTATATATATTATATACATGCATGTGACAAAGATTTGCCGCCAAGACTCTCGTGATCCATTCCTGGTGGATTGCCGAGGTGGAAATTAGACTGAAGCTGCGACTGACTATATAAATACATATAATTTATGATTTGCTTTGTCTGCATCTTTGTGACATTCATCGCGTGCCTGCGTCCGAACGTATCACTTTGCAACATATTGTGCCGTATTACGTCATATTGCCACCACGCGTCGTTCTTCGTCTTCCCTCGCCACTTCTGGCGAGACAGTCGGAGCCTCTGATGCAGCCTGCGAGATTTTAACATCCAAGGCGATGTTATGGTCGATCACGGTGTATCTCTGGGGACTTCCATCGTCCACAATAAGAAATCATGAGAAACTCTCGCACTTGCTCCCTTGATCTTCATTGTTTGTTCAGGCTAGACTCGGCCTCTGATGCTGAAAGGACTTCGGAGCTCACGCGATTTGCCTATCAATTTATATGCGATGCTTGGTTTTGTCTGAACAAAAGCCCGTTCACAGGATCCATAAGATGGACCCATTCCATGATTCTTATGACCATTCTTCTTTTCATTGATGTTCCAATGTTTGGGAACCTTCACTCCATGACATGAATGCTGCGGCACTGGCATAGTTCTCAGCTGTCTGCGATTGGCCTCATTGGACTCCGCATCCAGAAGAATTGCCACATGCAGCAACTCCTTCCAGAGTCAAGAAAGTATGAAAGCGTATGAAAGCAAGGAATACCAACAAAATCCAACAAACATTTCCGTTGCGCTCATTTTTGGATTTGCTAAGGACAGTCGCCCAGCGACCATAGCGACCTTGGCCAGGTTCTCCCCGAACTCATCCAAGACCGTTGCCTCATCATGTCACAAGAGCTGCTGAAACAGCGAATACGTGCGGCGTGCGGACTCTCCATTCAACAAGGAATAAACAAATTCAAGCCCGTGTCTGACTGCAAGTCTACGGCTTGTTGAGCAAAGCAGGGCATAGTAGTTACACGACTGATACCGATTCTCACAAATCCTCCACCCAGTGCCACACAATAGCCTTTAGATGCCTTTATATGTATCTTTCTCTTCGGTGTCTCCATATCTCTCTACTGTTTCATGTCGCTTTATGTTCCAACTTGTATGACAGGACCGGTAAGGTTTGGTTCCCACCTCAGCATCCAAATGAATATCGACATTGAGAGCATCTCTGAGAGAATTCTGAAGCAAACGCCTCAGGCCATCAGCTTCATCTTAATCTTTCAGAAATGGACTGGAGCAACATGAAGCAACTTCTGTTCAAACTCCAAAACGGCTCAGGTGAAAAGCTAAGGGGCTGCTGCTCGAAACCTCAGATCTTTCGGGCAGGGAAGTACATGTACATTCAAAAGTTGCTAATGTCTTCGAAATGCAAGTGTCGGTCCAAAGCTTGAAGAACTCACATTCCAAATTCGAAACTGGTCAAACCAACCAGTCAGTTAACTGGTTGCATTCCAATCTCGTTCAATATAGCAACGCTCTGCTGCCAAAAGACGTTCTTCTTCCTCCTGTGCCATCTCTGGAGATACTGTTGGAGCCTCTGAACCAGTGCGCGATGGCCTCTTCTTGGAATTGTCGAGCAGGAGATCCACCTGGATCCGCGGCAGAAGCGCGAGCAAGTTGAACATGACAAATCAAGGCGTCCCAAACCCTTGCTGTGAGAAACCCGGAACTCAGTGAGACAACACAGTGACAACATGTCTTCGTGCCTCTGCCTCGGTGATTGGCTGTGCGCGGGAAGCTATCTCCTCAAAACAGCAGTCAGGCCCTGTATGGCCCCGTTGCTGAGCACAGCATGAGCCATACCGGCTTGATACCGCAAGCATTTGAGAAGCGTTTCAGAGAAAATCTTAAAAGGCCTCCGGTGTGTAGATCTGCGAGCTGCTGCGCGCCTTGAGATTCGAGGCAGCATGATTCTACCAGACTTAGGTAGAGGATGGGAGAACTGGGAGAACCACGACTGCGAATTCTTTCCAGCATTCTTGGACACTTGCTTAACTCTATGGGTTCGACGTGCTGACCACAAAAGATGCTGCTAGTCTTCGGATTTCAGCGAGTCCGCGTGCCTCTACTCCATCCAGATCTGTTTCATGCGCCGCCGAGTCCAGCAATGCCTCAGAAAACAATGACAACACACGGGAAGGCTACAAGTGAACTAGACATCTTGTAGGAAAGAGTTTCAGGAAAAGTGCAATACTAAGTTTTTCTCCAACAACGCAGCCACCTCCAAGCTAAGAAACTGGGCGAAGACGGCGTAGGCGAATGCCATTTAATTTGAATGCAAGCATCACTCAATCAAAAGAACTCATGTAAAGGTGGCACAAAATTGAGCGGATTATTTTTTGCAGCAAATCTGGAGGCACACCCCATCAAGAAAGCGAAGATATGATCCGGAAAATGGAATGAACGAGAAATGTGCAGGGAAGCTACGTGGCAAAATCCAAAACTCAACAAATGTGTAGATCTCAGGGCAGTAATGGACAGCTGGTGGGATTGGAACAAAAGTGCAATACTAAGCTGAAGCTGCTGACGTTTCAAGAGTTTGTAAGAACTGGGAACAAAATATGACAAACATGTTGATTTATAATATATATATATAATATATATATAATCACTTATACATAGCGTTTGCTCTGTTTGACTCGGAGCAGAGTGCCAAGTCTTGGCTTTAGCCAAGGTTCCTTTGCCAGCGTGTGGCTCAAGTCATCATCATCAGCGGCCTCACACAGCGACCAGCTGTCGAAAAATAGGAACATTGAAGCTCAAATTCAGGAAAATGTAGGCCAGATTATCAATGCATCATCTAAAGAACAAGAATACAAAAACTATGTATATTATATATATATCAGTCTATTCCTGTTCCTCGGATATGTATGCGCACACACGTGCAAGAAACGAGTGTGTCTGTGTGACTTTGACAAATCAAAGATGCCTTCTCCGCACTTGCAGCTTGAGCATCCGCACCTTTGTGCATTCTAAAGCGTCTAAAGACTTTAGAAAAGATTCTAAAGCATCTGCAGGTTCTACGCCCAAAAGATCGGATCTATTTCAAGCACTTGAAAGATCATCAAAATTCATCAAAGCCATCGGATCTAGACGTATGTTTTATGAATCATTTTGCTGGACATCTACACTGAATCAAGACTTCCAGGATCTTCCAGGACCACAGAGATCCTTTGCTGCCAAGGTTCCAAGCAACTTCTCTAGTGGCTGGTTCAAGGAGCTGGTCAGGATTAATGTTTGTTCCACACGCTCTTCCTCCAGCTCTCTGGCCTTGGGGCATCAGGCTGTGTCAGGTCGACTGATTGACTGTGATTGTCTCAGACTCTGCAACCTGCCTCCTCCACCGTCACCGTGCCAGCCTCAGAGGCTTTATCTTGCAGCGCTTCCTTCAAAGACATGTGGAGAGCCAACCTCAGTAGAAACCGATCTGCAAGGACAATCGCAACTGCTGTACAGGCCGCACAGCTTGAATTTCTAATTTCTAACATTTGAATACATTTGAATCATATCATTCACATCGGTCTACTTTTCGCCAAGTAGCTGCTCCTCGGCACCTACAAAAAGCAAATGGCAAGGCCGAAATGTCAACTGACACCGTGAAGGGTTTGAAGGCTACATGACCAGCATCGTTATCCCAACCATGGCACGCTCATTCTCCTCATCTTGCGCAATCTCAGGTGATAGTGTAGGAGCATCGGAGGCATTGTCTCCAGCCTTCGCAAGTCAAACAGCAACATGTTCAGAGTCAGGAAGCGAGCACCTCTGCATCAGCACACTGCGGCAACACTGCATGAGAGGCCTCTCCGGCTGAAAGCACCTCTGAACTCTCCAGCTTCGCCTGTAGACGAAGCGAAATAAGTCTTGTGCTGTGGAATGTGGAAAGCACAGCAGCACAAGTCGCGCGCCTGCTCCCCATGCAGGATGCATTCCTTAATCACCGCTGCATCGATGAGCGCCTAAGATGGCTGGAGCTTGGATAAATGCACCTTGAAATAACTTGAACCGTGAGGAAAGTTGCGGCCAGTCAAAACATTGACCCGAGGACCAATTTCTGTAGCACGTAACATGTCGCTTATTTCCACGCAATTGTCTGTGGGCAAGCGGAACTCATTTGGTCTGAGCATCCTCTGCAAGAGTCTGCTCGAAGGCATCCTGAGGACTTGCCTCCAATTTGTGTGGGCTAATTTGTGTGGGCTGTCAAACATCTCTGACATCTCTGACATCTCTGACATCTCTGACATCTCTGACATCTCTGATCTTGTGAGAATGTACCAGACAAGGCCTCTGGCAAAGATGTAGGAGTCCTATCAAGCCCTTGCCTCAGGTTGAACGAAAGGACTATCATTGGCAGCATATGCAAAAAGTTCTTGTTGGTGTCACATGTTCTTGCAACTCAAATATCTAAAGCTGGGCAAACATACGCTTGTTGCTGCAAAGTTGCGCGACAGCATACTCTTTCACAACCACCATATCGCCTGAGGCATTCAGCATGACATCATGACTGGAACCCTGAATCACAGTTACTAGCGAAAAGATGTGCCCATCGAAAGACTATATACAGTTGTTTATATCATATTTATATATATAATTATATATATATAATTATATATATAATGTGTATATATAATGTGTATATATATATATAATGTGTGTATATATATAATATATAATGTGTATATATATATATAATGTGTATATATATATTATATATATATATTATATATAACAGAAATTCCACAACATATCAATAAACTGGGAAGAATATAAATCCTGTAATATAGCTGGAGGAGCTACAGGTGTTTGTTAGACATACTTAGAATATGTTTTCCCTCAAACAACAGATGTGCCGCATGATGTGTCCCTCATCATTCTGCTCCAGATCAAGTGACGTTCAGCTTGAGGCCCAGAGCCTTGCAAGAAAATCAAGGCGGGCAGATGAAAACCGGCTAGGCCATACCCATGCCGTTCCTCCTATTCCCAAAGAGCAAGACATGCGAGACTGGAGAGATGATTTCGCTTTGGGAAAGATGAAAATGTCTCACAAACAACAAAACCAGCAAGAGCAAGCCGATAAATACTCACTGCAAATGGCCAAATGCTGTTGACAGAGGCTAATTTGGTGTCATAAAACTCCCTTGTTGCAGGAAAGTAGGCAGTTGCCCAAGACCCAAGCTACAAGTGAAATTTGGTCTGAGAAACTGATAAGGTCTGAGAAGGGCTGACTGAGAGACACTCCCAAGACATGCTGCGTGGAGTTCTTGTCCGCCTGTCGCAAGGCAGGTGTGTTCTCTTTGGTTCTGCTCATGCACCAAATGCAGCAAGAACACAAACAAATTGCACAAAATGTAATTGTCAAATAATGTCAAATATGTTCGATTCGATACCCTTTGAATCTGAAAGTGCAAAATAATATGTCAAGCTTGTCCACACTCAGCCTCCATCTCAGGATCAGCGGGTAATTCATCACTATATGTGAGCGAAGCTTGCAGCACGTTGATCTCATCAAGCCTCATCGCTTCAGGATTGCTACAAGAGCTCCTGATCCACGTCGCTCCACGTCGCTCCACGTTACTCCAGCCAGGCTGCAATTCATCCATGGTCTTTGCGGTCTCCACCACCGGCAGAATCGTCACCTGCTCCAATGGATTGGTTTTTTAAGAGTGTGTGTGTGTATGTGGAAGATTGTGAGCGTTCATAGATGTTCATAGTTCTGCGAAGTTGCGAAGTGAATCAGTGACAATCAATGATCTATCTACAAGCATCTTCTGCATCTGTCCCATCACTTCCTCACCAGCCTCCGTTGGGGAACGCGAAGGGAACCTGGTCGGCACCTGCACCGCACAGCACCAGAAAAGGCTTCGGAAAAGCTAAGGCTTTTGTGACAAAATCATGGAGAGCTGATCCAATCCACGACCTCGAGACTGTTGGGCTCCACGAATGCATGGCCGCCATGGCCCTTGCAGGTTGCCGACATTTGCCGACAGTCACTTGCTGAGCAAGTCCACCAAGCCAGGGTAGTCGTAGCCGCTGTAGCCGTCCATTTGCTTGGAGGGTACCCTTCTGAAGAACTCGTTGCCCGTAATATTCATGTGTGATTCATGGTGTAGTTCATTCATGGTAAAATCATGTCCTCTCTTGTTTGAAATGACTCCACCTTCTCTGTTCTGACGTCAAAAACAAAAAGCACCAGTGTCCTCTGAGGTGACCAGAGAGGCTTCTTTGTAGGTCTGCAAGAGAGCTTGCAATATAAGATGATGACCAATATGGAAGCGAGCAATTATCGACTCCAAAATCTGCCGAGCTCACACAAGACAAACAACCTTTGAAGCAGACATCAAACTGAAAATGTGCATCATAATACCTAGAACAAACATGTCAAACCTACAAGCCCCACCTCTGCATCTCGCTGTACTTCTTCAAGCACAGCTGACCAGATTGCCTCCTGACAAGATGACAAGGTTCTGTCCCCAGCAAAGTCACTCAACAAGACCCAACGAATCTGTGGCAGTGCTATCTTTTCAAGTTGGGGCTGTACCAGTACAAGTGATACCAAATTCGCATAGATTCTGATTCTCACGGACCTCTTGATCTCAAATGAGTCGACCTCAAGTTGTCTTCACTCCTCCACGGTATCCTTAAGATCGGGTAGAACTGTGGGAGCCTGCGAAGGTCAGTCTAGCAGATCAACCATTCCAATCATGTTCCATGCAGGTCGGATCACAACAAAAAAAGACTTCAGGATCTGGCTTTGAGACCCTGAATTGTGGCAAGGCATGGCAGGGCTACAAGCTGTCCAGCCCAGAGAATCCCATAGCAGTCGAACCAGTATTGCCTCCACATTCTCTTCTGACTCGGTCTCACACTCGTTCTCCTGCCTGGAAATTACCATCCCACTGCTTCTTTTCAGTGGCTTGTCGTTTCTCGCGCCAAACAAGTTTTGACTTGGGACCAGTAGGAAACCAGCAACGGGAAAGAGCACAAGAACACGAAGAACATGCAAGAACCATACACGTGGTAAAGTCCCAAACAAGGAAGGCCATCCAAAGAACCATCCGACTTTTGACGTCCGTGTCTTTGAACCTTTTGGGGGGTTGCACTTTTTAACAGCAATCTCCCATGTTGTATCACATAGAAAGCTTGACACCAGCCTCGCAGGGGGTGGATCCTCGGTTGGCCGCGGCCCTCACAACTTAGAAGCCACAGGAGTACTTGAGACTCTGGCTTCCAGCTACAATTCCTGTACTCCTCCAAGTTATTGTGACATATTTATCAGGGTTCAGATAAGGGGGGAGAAGTTGTGCAATGGCATTTGGTAGGTACAAAGCGGAATGCATAGGGTGCGCAACTACACAATGCAGTGCATGTTACTTTTTTTGCAACTACAAAATGAAGAACATAACTCTTTCTGGCTCGGAAAATAATTCAAAATCAGCACTACAAAATCCAATGCATCTGAAGTTAAAAAATAGCTGAAAATCGGAATTGCTAACATGATTTTTCCCAATGACATTTTGTAGTTGGGTCTATGCCATCCAAAGTTCCGACCAACATAAATTCCGAGAACATTTTGTAGTTGTCAATGATTGAATTTAGTTGGGTCAAGTGTTGACCCCGTGCAGTTTGTTAGATGGCATTCTGTAGCTTCATGATCTGTTTGTGTCCATGTACATGTCACGCACTGTTTCCTTTTTTCCACCTCTTCTCACCTCTTCTATGCAAATGAGATTTTATGTTGGATGCTTCAACTTTTTGAACATATACAACTACAAAATGAAAATGATGATTTGAAAGGAATCAACTACAAAATGAATGCAAATACAAAAAGGGGGGCCCAACCCCTCCTGTTTGTACAAAAAAATCCTGGCTGGCAATCTGTACTGTAGCCCAAGTCCTCCACATTTCGTAGCTGAAATTTGAAGGAGGATACATATTTTGGGTTCGTAGTTTGAATCATCTTCTCCAGAAAAGGGCGTTGTTTGCAGCTTGGACTCTAGAATCGGCGGTTCAAGCAGAACTATGCTCTTCCGGGTCTCCGCATCCGTGATCATGATGCCAAAGGGAACAGAGTTCGTAGGCACCAAATCATCCAAATCCTGAAAAGTCTTTGCACTTACGACTTAAGACGTTAAAAGAATGCGCAAAATCAATCATTGGTATTTTGTATCTAATGATTCTAAGGAGCCTCTAATTTGGTCTTGTTATGCCTTGTTGTAAATTGCAATAAATCTGCTCCAAACTGCCATAGGTTGTTGCAGACTGTACTTTAGTCCGAGGTTCATCTTGATCATCGCCGTCGCTATCCTCTGCATGCAGGACAGTCAAGGGTTCTAACGAATAAATATCAGTTTCAAGAAATTTCAAGGTCTATGGATCGAATGTGATCGAATATGATCGAATCTGATGACTGGTGTCGCAAGCATCGAAGCCAAGAGAAACAGGGTGGAAAGCATACTGTCCAAGATCATCCAAGTCCAACGCTCGGAACCAAGCCTGCTGATGGTCGGCCGCTGACTGCTCAGGAAAGGATTGGCCCTGACAACCAGCCAAGTCTTGAGCAGGGGCAAAATCGCACACAGTTTCAGTAGATATAGATAGATATAGTATGATATAGTAGATGCAGATGAAGTACCTAAATCACCTACATCACCTCAGATTCTTCCTTCTCAGTTTAGTCTTCGAGCTTTCTGGTATCAGTCAGCTGGGTGCAATTGAGAATGCCCATCAGGAATAGTACAATGCAATGGTTGTCGCCATGACCAGGCATTCCGGAGTGTGCTTCCGCAGGTCAACAAGGCACAAACCTCCGATGTAACTAGGGAAGCTTCTTTTTCGGCCTGCACCAATTCACCGTCAAAAGGACTGACTCGGGATGCTCTAAGATGGAGAATCTCAAGCAAACTCTCTTTCCAAAAGGGGCAGCAATTTGCTGCGATGCTCACAACACACCAACACACCAAAGTGCTGTGCAGATCTGTGCAGAACTTCACAGTTATTTCACAGTTAGGAGTTTGCCATGTCTATGTCCGCCTCGGCATCCTGCTGAATTTCATCAAGCACAGCAGACCAAATTGCTTCCTGCCAAGATCGGACTGGCACTTGGCTGAGAACAGCATCTCTAGGACAAACATGGACAAACACAATTAGAAGCGAAAAATGACAAGCAATGGCAATGAAACGAGGAAACACCGGCATCTTTATTGAGGAACCTGAATGACACAATTTTTAACGGGTTCGACCGGCCTCGACGGTCCCCATGATAGCGGGCAAATTCAAGCGAGCCTGTCCACGGTGAACCCCTAGCCTAGTAGTGTCTAGACTCCTGTTCTGTATCTGGTAGCAAATCGTGCAACCGCTTAGCACAGAGAGCTAACTCAACGTGCACAAGTAGCAAGTCTGGAAGAAAGCCCTACAAAATGTGGACTCTTTTACCAGGAAGCAGTGCACAGCCTTCTAGCGAGCTCGGTGCAAGTCACATAAATATACACAATCTGTTTGTGTCTATCGCTTCGAAAAAGCCAAACACCTTATTGCTGCTTGGTGCCCCGTCCTCTGACGCCACAAGAGAAGCTTCTTTGGAGGCCTAGAAGAGCTTCTTAACATGTGCAAAAGCAATGATTGAGGGCCATGCTCACGGACTATGCCAAAACGTAGGTAGGATTCTCAGCTCCGCGATCTGTATGATTTAAAGCAAAGCAGAACAAACAACCTTTGAAGCAGACATCAAACTGAAAATGTGCATCATAATACCTAGAACAAACACGTCAAACCTACAAGCCCCACCTCTGCATCTCGCTGTACTTCTTCAAGCACAGCTGACCAGATTGCCTCCTGACAAGATGACAAGGTTCTGTCCCCAGCAAAGTCACTCAACAAGACCCAACGAATCTGTGGCAGTGCTATCTTTTCAAGTTGGGGCTGTACCAGTACAAGTGATACCAAATTCGCATAGATTCTGATTCTCACGGACCTCTTGATCTCAAATGAGTCGACCTCAAGAAATCTTCTCTCCTCCACGGTATCCTTAAGATCGGGTAGAACTGTGGGAGCCTGCGAAGGTCAGTCCAGCAGATCAACCATTCCAGTCATGTTCCATGCAGGTTGGATCACAACAAAAAAAGACTTCGGGATCTGGCTTTGATACCCTGAATTGTGGCAAGGCATGGCAAGGCATGGCAAGGCTACAAGCTGTCCAGCCCAGAGAATCCCATAGCAGTCGAACCAGTATTGCCTCCACATTCTCTTCTGACTCGGTCTCACACTCGTTCTCCTGCCTGGAAATTACCATCCCACTGCTTCTTTTCAGTGGCTTGTCGTTTCTCGCGCCAAACAAGTTTTGACTTGGGACCAGTAGGAAACCAGCAACGGGAAAGAGCACAAGAACACGAAGAACATGCAAGAACCATACACGTGGTAAAGTCCCAAACAAGGAAGGCCATCCAAAGAACCATCCGACTTTTGACGTCCGTGTCTTTGAACCTTTTGGGGGGTTGCACTTTTTAACAGCAATCTCCCATGTTGTATCACATAGAAAGCTTGACACCAGCCTCGCAGGGGGTGGATCCTCGGTTGGCCGCGGCCCTCACAACTTAGAAGCCACAGGAGTACTTGAGACTCTGGCTTCCAGCTACAATTCCTGTACTCCTCCAAGTTATTGTGACATATTTCGGGTTCGTAGTTTGAATCATCTTCTCCAGAAAATGGCGTTGTTTGCAGCTTGGACTCTAGAATCGGCGCTTCAAGTAGAACTATGCTCTTGCGGGTCTCCGCGTCCGTGATCATGATGCCAAACGGAATAGAGTCTGTCGTTGCCAAATCATCCTTGCATCAAGAGTTTGAATTTGCCCTTAGCTTTGTCACTGAGATGATAGAAAGTTGACCGTGAGAAGAAATACCAATCATGAATCATGACTATTTATACATGTTTATACTGTCTATGCCTGTGCCGGATTGCCTTGCAGCTGATGTTTTCATGCTAAACGCACCCAGGCTTCGACAGCCACATCATCCTGGAGTTGCACCTGCTGCGGCTTGCGCTTAACACTGAACACATCTGAAGCTAAGTCCGTGCCTGAAGTTTGCGAAAAGATGGAAAAATCTTGAGATCGGGACAGGCATATCAATCCAGGTGAATCGTTATTGGATGATCTACAGTGTTTTCAAAGAAAAGCAGGGGATGAATCACAGACAAGAGCAATCAGATAAAGGCATGAGCTTGGGTTTAGCCATGACTTGGATATATCTGGATATCATCCAAAGCTGGAACTCTCTTACCATGGCGTTCCTGAGAAGTGTCCCTGCCTCATTGCTGTGCATCACTTCTGCATCCCTTGCATTTGGACTAGGAATCGTCAGTGTCGAATCTCTGCGGATAGTCCTGGGTGCTCTGACTTCCTTTCCCTCAGCAACTTCCAGGTCTTCCGGTCTTTGACGCGCAGACGGCGCAGACGCCTCCCTGGGAGAGGTAGATTGTGCCAACTGCCCTGGCTGATCAGATACATCTGTCAAGACATCCACCGTATGAGCACTGGCATCGTCCGCTATCGCATCCGCTGCTATGGCCCTAGTCAGCATGTTCACTTCATCGATATCTGCCTTTGGAAACACCTGGCAACCAGCCAAATGCGAACACTCAAAGCCATGACACGTATGATGTGTCTGATGACCCCTTCACTATTTGAATCATTTGCAGACGCATGGACCGAATGGAACTTGCCTGATCAGAAGTGGCCACCGACCTGCACATCCAACGCACTGTCAAAAGTCCCACTGATAGTGATACTTGCATTGGGCTCACAGGTTCACACCTCATATCATATGATGTAGAGAGTGTTTGTAGAGATCCCCCCGTGTCTGAAGCCCATTCCCAGAACAAATACGGAGCAAATCTCAGTGGATGAGCCTTGCAGTAGAAGGCAAGCTCACGGCACTGGAGCAAGCCAGCAGCAACATCTCAGTGGCAAGCTGATGCCTTAGCCAACAGCTCTCCGGTGGCCATGGCCATGGGAAATCCCCGAAGGTTTCAATGGGAAAATCATCAGGGATGTTCCGCCATGTTTGATTGCCAGAGTGTAAATGAGAAATCAGGGTTCCAAGCTGGGATCATGCTGAACTTGCTGTATACTTAATTTGACATAATTTGACATTTGACTTGCTTGTTTTGAGGCGAGTCCAAGAGCACACTCATTTGCAACTTTCTTGGCTGCTTCTTCAGGCCCCGGCCCTAATTCCAATGAAGGTGTTCTGACTCTTGAAGTTTCCTGCCAAGGCAGGGAAATCCAAATAGATAGTGGCAAGATATGTTTTTCACTCGCGAGAGAAACATGCAACCACGAAGAAGTCCGCAGAAAGTCACCAAAGTATTCGGTTGCATCTGTTTGAAAATGTCTGAAACCTCCAAATGTGCCTCTGGGCTAGCCACAATAGGCACAATCTCCTGGAGCATTGGCTTGGAACGAGCATGAACGAGCAACCCGTGACTTGATCCTTCCTGTCCTTCCTGTCATCCTCTCATCGCTACAAACAAAATCTGTGAAGTTTTCATCTGCCCCAGGCCAGGACCTGTCATTCGCAGATCTTTGGACATCTTTGGACTATACTAGACTATACTAAGTATATCACTTGCATGCATTGCATAGACTTGAGATGTCTTGAGATGTCTTAAGATGTCTTAAGATGTCTTAAGTACATTTCCAGGGATTTATGTGATCCGGACCATCGGTCTGCAGCGCCCTTACCTTGGTGACAGCACCCTCAGAGGTAACCTCGGAGGGTTCTGCCTCAGCTTACTTTTTGCATCGCTCTCTGATCTATGTTGAAAGCATCAGCAAAGCGAAAAAAAAAGTGCCTTGAATGAAGACTAGCCTCGATATGTCTCGATTACCTTTCTGAATCTATCACTGGAAGTGGTTTTAACGCTCCCGAATTCACATCAGATCAAGTGAACAAAGAAAAGTTCCGCACAGCATGTGCCGCTTCGCTGGGGACAGCGAATTTTGCAGCTTCCTGTGCAGGATGCTTTTGAGTTCCAATGTAGAAGAATAGCCAGATAAGCGTGTTTGTGTTTTGGCTCTACAGTCATTTTTTCTTCTCATTCTTGAGACATCCTAAGACAATCCATTGAGCAATGTGGCATGATCCTTTGACCAAACTCACTTGAGAAGCGGATGCATCAAACACGTCCACTCACGAGTCACCGGGTCTGCAGTCCGTAACTTCTAAGAAAAGTTATTCAGCGCCTTAAATGCACTGGATTACAACTTCATCAGTCCCAGCTAGATGGCCCGGCAGAGTTTAAATCAAAAAGCACATCGCAATAGATAGCCCTCGCGAAAGAACGAATGTTGATACAAAAACGGTGTGCATATCTCGCGCTTGACTCAACATGAAAACTTCCGCTACTAATCCACCGTTGTGGGTTGTAATTGGGTCAAATACCGCCCACTTGTTTACAAAACAAGGAGACAATTTGGCAGGGTACCTCACACCAACTTTCGTCTATGACATGTTCCGCTCCCATTTGGATTCACTGTTCTGTCACAAAGGGATCACATGGGATCACTGTCTGAGTCTAGACACAATCATGATGGATGGCTGGTCTTCGCCAAGCACAATGACTGGAAATGAAAAGAAATCAGATTCAAACGCCATTGAGTGCTTGGCCAATTCCACGCCATTTCGGCAAAGAAAAAAGACACAAGGGTTCAAAGCACCAGCATGTGGGACAAAAAAATGGCCCGCGCGCAATGGCTCAGACCAACAGGTCAACCAACAGGAGGTACCAAAATAGTTTCAGTCCGGACCCTACATGTAAAAGAGGAAGTGGTGTGCCTAATGCCGAATTATTGATGTCAATCAGTAGTGATATTAATGCAGACTTAAGCGAGTATACGAGCAGGGGCAAGCATGTGTTGCATGGCTTGATTGACCCGGGGTAGCAACGTCCAAAGAAGTCATTGCTTCTCCGTCCCATCTCTCCCGCCTGCACAATTCCAGCAATGGCTTCTGCCTCTACCTGCAAATCACGACGGCAAATGCGCTTGGAAGTTGTGTTTCCTGGTGGTGTCTGCTTGTCTGCCTGTGACTTTGGAGAAAGCAGGAAGAAACCCTGTGGCAAAGCAAACACTTGCAGGCATCAGAAAAAATGATTCAAAGCACTGCCCCTGAACTGTCATTCTATGGATTTGCTTCGGCGACCAGCACACGCATTCCAAGTCATGAGTCACTCTCTGTATTTCAGGCCTCTGGGGCAGCTGCGCCATCAGCACTCCTGGCACAAGTGAATCGTCTGGTGAAATGTCACATCATGTCACGATCGGAGTTGCTGCACGCCTGGCAGCACTGGCAGCAGCATCACTTTGGAATTGTGCCAAGAACGTATTCCCAATCTCAGCAGTCAGCTTTTGCCTCATCGTGCTTTCTTCATAAGCTGTTTTGCCGCACGCACTTTGGGGGATAAAACGGCAAATCAGCATGCAAGTCACAATGTTTGAGTTTTGCAAGGCAACCTGCCACTCATACATCTGTCTTCTACTTCTTATTCTTGGTTGTGCGTCTCTCGGTTCTACGGTTCCAAGATATTCTATGAAAAGCAGGTGCTAGGCAAGGTACCCTATCCGCAGGGAAACAGCTTGACTGGTTTGAGAGCAATCCTGCCAGCAGCAAACGCAAAGTGTTCAAGCAAGCGTACATGCAACTTCTCTTGCCACACGTCACATGTTTCATGTCAAATTCTGAAATGCAGGGCAAGCCAGAGACCAGCCTGACCAGTTCTTGCTACCGCCAAATTACTCCGGTCAGCACTTGGTACAACTTAATCACAAAGTCTCGAAAGTAAAACATCGAACAAGGACAGCACAAATGAGTGCCAAAGGATGCCAAAGGATGCCAAAGGTACCAAATGATACATGTGGCTTCGCTGTTACTACCGGAGCAGTCACCCTGTCCCATGTAGTTGTTCAAATATGTTCAAATGCTCCTCGTCGGCATGACTTTCCAGTGCCATTGAGATGTAGGCCACCGACTGCAAAGATTGTGTAATGTCCTGACGACCATCAAACATCGGTTGGGCAAACGACATCAAACGACGGCAGAAAGCGGATGCGATGCACAAGGTCCTTTGACATCAACTCTGCTGCCAGGGAAGTCGTGTCCGAGACGGCTGAACAGCACGGAGAGAAAGCGTCCTGTGCACCACAAATGACAATGAAGTGGTTCCTCATAGATCTCATAGGCACTTAGAATCACTTGGACACTTATTTGGAAGGTGTCAACAGCAATCTCTTTGCTGGCCAGCGGGTTGTCAGCGTTTCAACCCGCCAAACAAAAATTCTGAAAACATGCTGGCTGTCTTTTGAGCAGCTGGTATCATGGCTTTTGCCTTGAGACTAGCTATTCATGTCATGCGTCCACCGAGCCTGTGAGAAGCCCTCATCTACAAGAGGAAGTCCTCCAAGGGTCACAAACAAGTCGACAAGTTCTGTCAGGCAGAGCTCAATCGGGTAAAGCAGAAGCAGAACAGTTTGATTGTCGTCAACTCCTCGGAATCTATTTTGAACTTTCAGCATACCAAATGTTGATTCGTGCTTTGCAATCCTCCTTGCTGCGTCCGCGGCGGCGTCCTGAAATGAGTTGGATTCATTCTTTCATCTGTTGTTCAGCTCTCTTTTCTCATTATGATCCCTGGTAGATTTTGGAACATACGACCTTTACTCAGCGAGTACTTGCCTGAGAAGCTTTTGCATGTGAGTTGAAACGGGCAACTTGGCCCAAATCCTTGAGTACAGGGCGAAAATATGAATCAGTCACACACTGATGGGGGAGAAGAAAAGCTCCAAAAGCCAAAAACAGTGAAACATTATGAAACATTCAGAAAGCAGACCCTCTCCCCTCCCAAACTTTGTCTTCGGGTAGCGCACGAGGCCTGGATTCCTCTGGAGCTCTCGACGGTGGCGAGCTGTTTGTCCTTTTGCAGATTTTAAGCATAGACGCAAGTTATATCAAGTTATCAAGTTGGTGAAAGCTGGTGAGAGCAGGTGAGAATGAGAGTGAGTGAGAGTGACCATTTCATGGTGCCTCTGCAACAACCTCCGTCCTGGGAGTGTCTGAGATACTCAGAGTAGTCCCTGGTCGAGTGCGAGAGATGCTGTCCGCCGGCCTCAGGCACGAAACTTTCGCCATCGACTTAGCAAGCCCGGCTGAGCCTCGGACGCCCTGAATTGCTCTGCATCCTCTCTCGGAAGCCAAGACCTGGCGTCGGAAGTATGTCTTGCGGGCAAGCATGTGCCAATATGTGCCAATTACATCCAATTGGATAAATCATGGATGCCAGTGTGACCACGCAACAGTTGTTTTCCTGCATTTTGTCTAGAGCCTAGAGCTGGTAGATTTCTGTTTCGGTTTGACAAGTAGCTCATTTTGGGAGAGTTACAATAACACAAAAGAGGAAGCTGCTAACAGCACACATTGCACTCGGTATGCAGGCGTTATGAATCTTTCTGAAAATCTTGTCTAGCATAGTTTCCGAAGCTGCGCTTCATCTTTAAGTGCTTTAGACCTCGAGTAAATGACTTTCCCACTGCCCCAACCAAGCAAGACTTCCCAAAGACATTCATTGTCTTTTGGCAACCTTTCCCCGTGGGAGTTTGGAAACAGGAGGGTGCTAAAATCGCACGGCAACAGCCTCATTGGACCAAATGTGCTCTCAGCGTTCCTCAAACGAGTCAGCAGGGCGAGCTAGTACTGATGTATTGTGAAACTCCAGGTTCCATCGTAGAAGCAGTCGCCTCAAACAAGCTTGGCTCATGGGTGCATGCGACATGGATTGCCAGCTTCGAGTGCAGAATTTCAGCAATCTATTTTCGGCAACGCAAGGATCTAGATTTTCAGCCACGCAGGCAGATTAAGCATTCGCAACATCCAACCAAAGTCTGCCTTGGACTTTGAAAGATGCGTGGGAAAATCTGGGCAAAGGGAACAAAATGCTGAATATTGAGCATTGGTTCAGAGTTCAGAGTTTTTGATTCAGGCTGCTCAGCATTTTGTTTCTCCCCAGCTCTACTCTTCAGGACTAATCTGAAAAGCTCCAGCTGAGTCCAGTCCTACGTTTCAGCTCCACTCTGCAACTCGGCGTTCCGAAGCAAAGCAGGAGCCGTAGCCCTGGAAAGCAATGAAAAAAAGTAACAACTATCATATGATATGATATAATAACATAATATTACAATAATATCCTATAATAATATAAATATATATATATAACATTATGTATATATTATATGTACAATGTAATATGATATAATATTATATGTCTAGTATTATATATATAATATTGTATATATTATATTACATTATGTCATATCATATCATATCATATCATATCATATCATATTTTGTTATATTACATCATGTCATCAAAAAAATGTCAAAATGGTGTTAAAACAAACCAACTGTATCTCAAGTCTGGGCCTCTGAGTGTCGCGTGAGGGCAATGTACAAGCCTGTGCAGGCTTCCTATCTTCGGAGCACTGGAGGCGTAACTGACCTGCTCGAAGGAGGCACCATGAAGTTCGAACAGAAAGTGATGTACATCTGATTCATGATGCACTTGCAGCACAAAAACCCTGGTCAGTCCTGGAAAACATATTCAAACCTTCACTCTTTCCTCAGAAACGTTTGTTCACCAATTCTTCTGCTGGGAAATGAAAGGGGCATGCGTCTGGTCGTTGAGAAATACCTCATCCTATATTTAATTTTAGGAACGGCACTGTAGGATGAGAAAAGGGACGAATGCGGATGGAGACACAATAGAAAATTTATTTTAAGACGCATTGTCAATGTAGATAGTTTGGACTAGATAGGATAGTTCAGACAATGTTTGTTCCTTCAGGCAAGAGACCAGCTCTTCAGCATAAGATTCAGCAATCTTGTCATTGGCTTTCTTCATGCCATCTTTCACCTTGGACAAAGGCTCGCAAAACTGTCTGGTCCAGCCTTTAAATTGATGCCTTGCTTGGATCTTGAATCTCTTCTAATCATGTCTTTTTGATTTCAACGCATCTCCGTTCAATCAGAATAGAAAGTCTTCCTTCATTTTCATGCAGATTCTGTATGATGTTTGTTGAGTGGCTGTCAGAAAGCATTCCAAGGGTTGTTGTCAGTATTTCAGATTTGTACTCAGCTCAAACGTGAACTGCATCTTTTTGATAAACCCAATCCAAGCATTCAGGCCAATCAGCCAAAACCCACACTCTCCACGAGAACATAAAGACATGCAATATTCAAGCAAGGGAAAACCAGTCCGAACATTGCTCTGATGTGGAGAGTTTTAATCTAGATCTAGAATATGCAAACTAACGAGGATGTAGTCAACCATCACAGCAGCAGAGCAGAGCAACCTTCAAGACTGAGCTCACGACTACCTGGCCAATCACAAATGACGCCGTCTGCCAGCGAACAGAGTGCACGTTCGCACACGTCCAATCAAGGAACAAATCCCAATCCCAACATACAGGTGCACATGTTATAGAGCAGAACAAAAATGATTATAGGCAAGGGAAGACACGATCAGACACATGTCATATAGGTTTTCAAGTAGTTCTTACTTTCCTCTCATATGTTTGCGCGGCTACATTGTCCTGGCCTTCTGCATGAACGAGTCCGGCAGTGGAAACCACCATGGAAGTCCAACGGTCGACTGAGACCTCGATTGCCCACAAACCCATCAAGATCATCAAGAAGCAAAACAAATCCAAGCGAGAGCTACTCGCAAACTATCAAGGATGTGCCCACAGATTTCGCAGTGGAACTGGCCAGAGTAGTCATCACAACCATTGTAAATCATAACCCTTTTCGCCTTTACATAAACTTTACATCCGTTACCCGGTAGTTTCAGCAAAAGTATTAAGCCCAACGCCAGCTGTAGTTCACCAAGTCAAGACCTCAGCCGCCCGCAGCATGCCTCCCACCCTAGGCTCGCTAGCCCAACCCGCCTCCGTTGCCGTTGTCTTTCCAGGTGACGCAGTTGTCAGCCTTTTGATCAACCTACGTCTTACTCTGGGACGAGAACAAGCCGCGCAGTTCTTGCTTAAGTCTTGAGATGTCTTGAGACGTCTTGAGATGTCTTGAGATGTCTTGAGAATATCTAGAATGAATCAGAATGAAGGCAAAAAATAGTTCCAGAACTGTTTGCCTCAGCCTGCTAGAAAGCACTGAAGTAAAGATTGTCTCAGCCAATGGAACCTTGTTCGCAGGATCGAAGGTGACCTCTCCTGTCTTCTTGTCCACACTTCCTGCACCCAAGCAGATTTTCATAGATTTTCTATGATCAAGTCAGTGCATCTTTGTTTCGTAGGGCAACGCATCTCATTATCACACTTGACATTACTTCCTATGACATCCTTAGGTTTGCAAAGTGCAGTCCTGTTGACATGTCCAGGATGTGGATGTCACACTTTCCAGAAGATACTGTGATTTTCACCTCAAAACGGTTGCACTGGTTGCACTTGCAGCTGCATTTCTTTCCTTTGACTGCATAAGAGGTCGCCTCCATCAGCATTTGCGTTCGGTAAGGTCCCATGTCTGTGGGCCTCAAGTGCGGGAAGCAGTGTAATTGGGGTACCCCGACACCCCCAAAACTTCCCTGTCTCTGCCTTCTTTCTGGTTTTGAGATGTTTTGAGCATCTGACTCTAGGTAGCACAGCAAAACCTCTGGATCGTTGTGCTTTTCTTCAACTCTCTGGAGACCTTGAAGGCAAACCTTGAGCTTGGACAGGACAAGCCACAGAAGGGACAGTACAAAATATAAAAATACAGAAATCATCAGAAATCAAAATCAATTATGCCCAATGCATCCAAATGCAAGGAATCCAAGTGCCTTCGCAGCATTGGCACGCATGAACTCGTCCTTAGCCACAAAAATTCTGCCAAGTTGAACAAGTGGCAAAGGCTGTTCACCTGTTCTGATCTTGCATACCTCTCATTCGCACCCATACACTGTAGATCCTACAGTAGATCCATACACTGTAGATATGTCTGGCAAATAACTGGTCAGAACTCGTTCAATCAGATGCAACGAAGCTTCCATGGATTCCACACTGCCTCTTGGAAGCTCCCGAGGAAATGTGAACTCAGCTCTCACAGCGCATTTTGTCAAAGAATTGAATAGCGTGTGGAAAGCATCCAAGCGACTGAACACAAAGCAGGGAATATCCAATGTGCATAGCTGTCGCCAGGCTTTAGGCTGGTCTAAGGAGCCTGCCTCATTCTCAATGTTGATTTGCCGGCCTTCCGCCTTTGAGCTGGCTGCCTCAGTTTGACAAGGTTTGGTTTAAGGAGCCATCTTGATTCACAAGATTTCACAAGAATAACCCAGCAACCTGTAGCAACCTGCAGCAACCTGTTCAACTTCAGCTGATGCTGCCGCATGCTGCCGCATGCTGCCGCATGCTGCCCGGTGCTCAGCTTAGTTGTGGACACGTCGTGTCAACGAAGCCCGGGATGCCCGGGATGCTCGAACTGCCAAAACAGCTCCAAACGCTGCAGCTCCTCGTTGCCAGTGATCCGTTGGAACTGGCACCGCAACCTGCCGTGGTACCTGTAGCGAGTCTTTGGCATGGCCAGAGGAAACGAAAATCATACATAACAATGATAAACATGTGTATATATATGTACATATAATTAAATAGAAATAATAATAATAATAATAGCAGTAACAGCAATAAAACATGGCCCTATGGTGCATGACTTTCACAGAAATCTTCACCGACTGTACATACGATGATCAGCCGGAACAACTCTTTGCCTGACGTTGCAGAGGCTGTCTCTGTAGCCTGCAACAAAAACTTGCGAGTGGAAACATCAAATGCGCAAATCTAGTCATATCATACCATACCATATTATATTATATTATATCATATCATATAATATCATATTGCTCTGCTTGCGTGCATCAGCACTTCAGGAACAAGAGAGAGGGCGTAAAATACAAGAGTTGTACATAATCTGTCAGAATCTATATACCTTTTCATGTGCATTTAGAAGTTTCCCGCATTTCTTTTCCAACATCCACTACGTATGTCACCTGTATGTCTATGTGCAGTAGACTTAACCCCACTCTGACGTAATTGCACCTGTAGCTCTGCACTGTATTGACCGGTTGACTCAGTTGACCAATTCCCAGTTCCTCAGTCGTCCAACCGAGTTGTGTTCCACGATGTCGTCACGATGTTCTATGTTCTCTTCAGATTTGGTGGCTGAAAATGTGAATCCAAATCACATTGAGCAAATCCAAAGTTTTTCCTTTCTCTGCATGCAAGGCTCCATGGAGCACCACAACGAGGTAGGAAAACAGTGATCCCCGTGTGAGCTGAGCCAAAATGCTGGTGGGCAACCGGACACATCTTTGAACAATGCTGCGGCCATGCTGTGAGTTGCCTCAGTTGCCTCGTGGAAAATTGCCCACGGTTACCACGGTTGCGCTCAGTTGAGCGTCAACTGATGTTGATTGGTTCTGATTGATTCTGATATAGGTATACGTATCTATCTATCTATCTATCTATCTACCTATCTATCTATCTATCTATCTAATCTAATTAATCTAATTAATCTAATTAATCTATCTATCTATCTACCTACCTATCTATCTAATCTAATTAATCTAATTAATCTAATTAATCTATCTATCTAATCTAATCTAATCTAATCTAATCTATCTAATCTATCTAATCTATCTGATCTATCTTATATTTCTTATCTTATCTTATCTTATCTTATCTCATCTTTTCTTATCTTATCTATCTATCTATCTATCTGTCTATCTATCTATCTAATCTATCTAATCTATCTATCTATCTATCTATCTACCTATATATCTATCTATCTATCTATCTATCTATCTGTCTATCTATCTATCTATCTATCTATCTATCTATAATAGAAAGCGCAGGCAATCCCTTTGAAATGATGAAATGAATATGAAATGTATGTCCCAAAACAGCTTTCGAATCTCTCTGTCTGGGTTCTTGACTCTAAATGTAGGGGACTCTTTCCACGCGTCAGTCTCCTGGTTGATGAGCAACTCGCCCAACTCGCATTGAAAGGTGTCAAGGAGGAGACAACCGGGCCTCATCACCGGGAGCCTTTGCCTGGGAACAATGGCGGAGGTTTGCACATGCAACCCAACGCATGGCACTGTAATCAAAGGAAGTTTGAAGGAACTTCCGTGTTACGGTTATTTATGATGGCCAACAATGAAAGAATGAAGGAATGAAGTGGATGAATTGAATTGACTTGAAATAAAATGAATTGAGTTGAATTGAATTGAAAAGAGCTGAAAGGAATTAAATTGAATTGAGTTGAAGTGAATTGACTTGAATTGAATTGAGTTGAATTGAATTGAGTTGAATTGAATTGAACTGAGTTGAATTGAATTGACTTGAGTTGAGTTGAAGTGAGTTGAACTGAATGGAGTTGAATTGAGTTGAATTGAAATGAATTTAATTGAGTTGAATTGAATTGAATTGAAGTGAGTTGAATTGACTTGAATAGAGTTGAATTAAATTCAACTGAGTTGAATTGAATTGAATTGAGTTGAAATGAACTGAGCTCGGTTCAAGTGAATCGAGTTGAATTGAATTGAATTGAGTTAAGCTGAAGTGAATTGAATTGAGTTGGGTTGAATTGAATTGAGTTGAATTAAATTCAACTGAGTTGAATGGAATTGAAATGAATTGAATTGAGTTGAAGTGAATTGACTTGAATTGAATTGAGTTGAATTGAATTGAACTAAATTGAGTTGAATTGAATTGAATTGAGCTGAATTGAATTGAGTTGAGCTGCATGGAGTTGAATGGAGTTGAATTGAAATGAATTTAATTAGGTTGAGTTGAGTTGAATTGAAGTGAATTGAATTGAAGTGAGTTGATTTGAATTGAGTTGAGTTGAATTAAATTCAACTGGGTTGAATTGAATTGAAATGAGTTGAATTGAATTGAGTTGACTTGAATTGAAATGAATTGAATTGAGTTGAGTTGAATTGAATTGGGTTAAATTGAATTGAGCTGAATTGAATTGGGTTGAATTGAATTGAATTGATTGGAGTTGAGTTGAGTTGAGCTGAGTTGAATTGATTTGAATTGAATTGAAATGAGTGATATTGAATGGATTTTCATTGAGTTGAATTGAATTGAATTGAACTGAATTGAATTGAAGTGAGTTGCATTGAATTGAATGGAAATGAGTTGAATTGAATTGGGTTGAATTGAATTGAGCTGAAGTGAATTGACTTGAATTGAATTTGGTTGAATTGAATTGAATTGAATTGAAATGAGTTGAGTTGAATTGAATTCGGCTGAATTGAATTGAATTGAACTGAGATGAATGGAGTTGAATTGAGTTGAATTGAAATGAATTTAATTGAGTTGAATTGAGTTGAGTTGAATTGAAGTGAGTTGAATTGAATTGAATTGAGTTGAATTGAATTGAGCTGAATTAAACTCAGCTGAGTTGAATTGAATCGAGTTGAATTGAATTGAATTGAATTGAATTGAGTTGAGTTGAAGTGAATTGAATTGAAATGAATTTAATTGAGCTGAATTAAATTCAACTGAGTTGAACTGAATTGCATTGTTTTGAACTAAACTGATTTGACTTGAGTTGAATTGAAATGAGTGAAATTAAAATGGATTTAATATCATTTAATTGGGTTGAATTGAACTGAATTAAATTGAAGTGAGTTGCATTGAATTGAAATGAGTTGAATTGAATTGAGCTGAATTGAATTGAGTTGAATTGAGTTGACTTGAATTGAAATGAATTGAATTGAGTTGAATTGAAATGAATTGAATTGAGTTGAACTGAATTGAGTTTAATTGAGTTGAATTGAATTGAATTGAACTGAGTTGAATTGAATTGAGTTGAAGTGAAGTGAATTGAAATGAGTTGAATTGATTTGAACTGAATTGAATTGAATGAATTGGCTTGAATTGACTTGAATTGAGCTGAATTGAATTTAGTTGAATTGAATTGAATTGAATTGAATTGACTTGAATTGAGCTGAATTGAATTTAGTTGAATTGAATTGAATGGATGAAATTTGAAAAGAAGTCTGCACGAATGCTTCGTTTCCACATCTTCAACTTTCACTTTTTGAGGGAAGTATCGCACGAAAGCTTCGTTCTCAAATTTTCAACTTTTACTTTTTGAGGGACGTCTTGCACGAAAGCTTCGTTCTCACATATTCCACTTTCAGATTTTGAAGGAAGTCTTGCAAGAAGCTTCGTTTTCACATCTTCAACTTTCACTTTGTGAGGGACGCCTCGCACGAAAGCTTCGTTTTCGCATCTTCCACTTTCAGATTTTGAAGGAGTCTCGCACGAAAGCTTCGCTTTCACATCTTCAACTTTCACTTGTTGAGGGAAGTCTCGCACGAAATCTGTTTTTGAGAGTTAGCGGGTGCACAAAATCTTGTGTTTTGCAGGACAAAACGTGGTGCGGAAGATGGGTGGGGAAGCTTGTCCCGCAGAGGGTTTCGGAACACGTTCGTTTAAACCAGGATGATTCCCGGATCGGCCCCGTGATGGAATTGAAAGTTTATTTGGCTTCATGTTCACCACTTGAACTTTCAAAATTTGAAGGAAGTCTTGCACGAAAGCGTCGTTTTCACATCTTCCACTTCCAGATTTTGAGGGGAGTCTCGCACGAAAGCTTCATTTTCACATCTTCAACTTTCACTTTTTGAAGGAAGTCTTGCACGAAAGCTTCGTTTTCATCTTCAACAATCACATTTTGAGGGAAGTCTCGCACGAAAGCTTCGTTCTCACATATTCCACTTTCAGATTTTGAAGGAAGTCTCGCACGAAAGCTTCATTTTCACTACTTGAACTTTCAAAATTTGAAGGAAGTCTTGCACGAAAGCGTCGTTTTCACATCTTCCACTTCCAGATTTTGAGGGGAGTCTCGCACGAAAGCTTCATTTTCACATCTTCAACTTTCACTTTTTGAAGGAAGTCTTGCACGAAAGCTTCGTTTTCATCTTCAACAATCACATTTTGAGGGAAGTCTCGCACGAAAGCTTCGTTCTCACATATTCCACTTTCAGATTTTGAAGGAAGTCTCGCACGAAAGCTTCATTTTCACTACTTGAACTTTCAAAATTTGAAGGAAGTCTTGCACGAAAGCGTCGTTTTCACATCTTCCACTTCCAGATTTTGAGGGGAGTCTCGCACGAAAGCTTCATTTTCACATCTTCAACTTTCACTTTTTGAAGGAAGTATCGCACGAAAGCTTCGTTTTCACATCTTCAACAATCACATTTGCAGGGAAGTCTCGCACGAAAGCTTCGTTTTCGCATCTTCAACTTTCACATTTTGGGGGAAGTCTCGCACGAAAGCTTCGATTTCACATCTTCAACTTTCAGATTTTGAAGGAAGTCTCGCACGAAAGCTTCGTTTTCACATCTTTAACAGTCACATTTTGAGGGAGTCTTGCACGAAAGCTTCGTTTTCACATCTTCCACTTTCACTTTTTGAGGGAAGTCTCGCACGAAATGCGTTTTTGAAAGTTAGCGGTCCGCACGAAATGCTGTGTTTTGCAGGACAAAACGTGTCCCGGAAGATGGATGGGGAAGCTTGTCCGGCGGGCTGTTGCGGAACACGCTCGGCTAGGGTCGGATCATGGTCGGATCGGCCCCGCAGTGGAACTGACAGTTCAGGTGGGTTTTGCCGACGTTCTTGCGCGTAGTTCTGTTGTGTTTTGCAACTCGCTGCGTCAAGGTTGCTTGGCGCGGCGGCTGCGTGCGTAATACTATTGTCTTTTGCAGCTGGACACCGTAAATCGTATTGGAGTGGCTGCATGCAGGCTGCGATAGTGATTTGTCAGCTGATTTTCTCAGTTTAAAAGCTTGCTGTGTGTAAAATCTTCTTTGTGTAAAAGCTTCTCAGTGTAAATGCTTCTCGTGAAAAAGCTTCTCTGTGTAAAAGCTGGCTGTGCGTAAAAGCTTCTGTGTGTAAAAGTTTGCTGTGTGTAAAAGCTTCTCTGTGTAAATGCTTCTCTGTGTAAGGGCTTCTCTGTGAAAGGGCTTCTGTGCGGAAAAGATTCTCTGTGTGAAAGCTTGCTGTGTGTAAAAGCTTCGCTGTGTAAAAGCTTTCTGTGTAAAAGTTTCTCTGCGTGAAGGCTTGCTGTGTGAAAAAGCTGTGTAAAGGCTTCTGTGTGTAAAAGCTGTGTAGAGACTTCTTTGTGTAAAAGCTTCTGTGTAAAGGCTTTCTGTGTGTAAAAGCTTTTCTGTGTAGGAGCTTCTTTGTGTCCAAGCTTGCTGTGTGTAGAAGCTTCTCTGTGTAAAAGCTTCTGTGTGTAAAAGATTTTCTGGGTAAAAGTTTGCTGTGTACAAAAGCTTGCTTTGTGTAAAAGCTGGGTTAATAACAGCTTCCCTCACTCTATGTAAAAGCTTCTGCGTGTACAAGCTTCTCTGTGCAAAAGCTTGCTCTGTGTAAAAGCTTCCCTGTGTCAAATCTTCTCTGTGGAAAGCGTAGGGGTTGCTTGCTTTGGCGCCAAGATCCGTTTTTGGAGCAGGTTTTGGGCCAGAGAAAAGGTGAGATGACTTGAGAGTGCGCTGCGAAGAGCTGAGATGAGGTGAGACAAGCTGACAAGAGCTGAGATCAGCTGAGTAGATGCAAGAAGAGCTCAGAAGATGTGAGAAGAGGAGAGAAGAGATGAGAACACATAAGATGAGCTTACATGAGCTGCGGAGAGCTGAGAAGAGTTGAGAAGAGCTGTGACAAGCTGAAAAGCTGAGATAAGCTAAGATGAGAAAGCTCAGGTGACACGAGAAGAGATGAGAACAGTTGTGATCAGCTGAGAAGAGCTGAGAAAGGGAGAGAAGACATCAGATGGGATGAGATGAGATGAGGTGAAAAACTCAGAAGGCATGAGATTAGTTGAGATGAGATGGGATGACACAGACTGCGGTGACAGAGGGATGCAATGAGCAATTTCCAAGAGAAGCTGCGATGCGATAAGATCAGATGAAATGAGGAAAGATTCAACATTCGAAAGACATGGCATCAGATTGACAATTCAAGAACTTGTTGCTGCGATGCCGCACAGGAGGCCTGTCACCTATAGGCACAGCCTTTGCTCCACTCTAGAGGCTGTAAGCGTTTCAATTTTGAAACTTCCGCCCCCGGCTTGCCCGGGTACTACTTGTATATTGCCATAATTTGCCATACAGTAGTTTGTCATAATTGACGGTCTGCTGGTGCAATCCTCTGCTGTTTATCGAAATCTGTCGAGGACCCAGACTGAAGGCGAGTCCGCATTGATGGCGAGCTCTTGATCTCCAGTTGCCATGACATGCAACGTGGGTGAAGCTGCGTGGATGCCCTGCGAACCATTTTCCGACTGTGGGATCTGGGGATATGGTCCATTGAGTCTACACCATGTCACCATGGGACTGTACTTGAACTGAAACCAACAGCCTGTTCGTGATGTATCTGTACTTGTGAAACAAAATCCAAGACCTGAACAAAGAGATATAGTATAGCCATGTATAGCCTATAGCGACTCTAAGTTGAAGGTCTGAAGCTCCAGAGTCTCCTTCAAGGAGTCTGGAGCTTTGAACCCATAAAGGCAAAGGGCGCTGCATACCAAAAGCATGTCACAGATTGTCACAGATCATGACTTTTTGTTGAAGTACCAAACCCAAACACTAAGGAATCTGGGAACTAGCTTGAGTCTTATGCTGGACTCACTGCCATTCCTTGTCATCTGTATCCATAGTGGCATACCATAGTGGCTAAAATTGTCAGGGGCTGCAAGAAGCTTGTGGCTGGACGCATCAGGGCAGAACAGCATGGACGTTGTCTAAGTCTAAATCATCTGTGCACAATGGCAATTCGTAAACAGATTGTCATAAAATAATGTTTTAGAAAAAAAAACTAAAAATATATATTAAAAACTATTGAAATATTTTTGTCATAAATGGCCTGAAGAAGTGAAAAGGCACGCGCAGAGATGGGAAGCTGGGACCAAAAGCTCCACCTGCATCGGCTCCCCACCAAGTTCGAACTGACGTCCACCATAAGGATTGTCCTGACACATCTGACACCAAAGCCTGAGTCAATGACTATAGTGACTATAATGACTCTATACGAATGGGTTAGATTCGGTTAGATGACCTCCCACAAGGTGCAACGCCATACAAAACTGGTAGACTCATGACCATGTGTCTCACTGCTAATTAAAGCGTCTACTTGCCATGAAACACTGCCTGCGGCATAGATAACTATAGATCAAAACTCAGGTACCCACAAACATCCACAAACTATGAGGATAGACTGCTGCATCTGGGAATGTGCAACTGCCCATTTTGGTAGTGTTTGGTTTTGACCCATACAAATGGAGCACAGCATGCCGCCTTGCAGTTGAAAAGCCCGTCCTCCACTCTGAAACCGTACCGCACCAAGAACCTCATAAAATCGTATAAAATCGGACAATTCTTTCATAGTTTTAATCAGCAGTTCTTAGCACTTGAATCAAAATGCAGAGTCGATGAGCGCATCCAAGTCGCTCCAAATTCGAAGCTTGGGCGTAGTCGATACAAAGCTCCTAAGTCGCAGCGATTCTCGGACATGGACCAGCTATGCTTATACAACTGCTGAAGTGAAGACCCAAGTCCCAGGCATCACCAGGCATTACATCCTTGGTAGCCACGAATCGTAGAGCATCCTTGCAGAATCAGATGTGCGCGGCTTTGGAAAAAAAAGACCTCTGAGCGAGGCAGTGGACCCTCAGCAAATTCAAAAAAAGCTGCTAGCTTCAACAGACTTTGCGAAAGTTGGACGTCCTCTGCAAGTGTCGCAGTTCGGACACTGGCCACCTCTGCTTCAAGAGATTTGTGGCTCACATGTTCGAGAAGTCAAGGGATTAAGTCAAAAACGAATAGTCGAATGAAAGAGGACACCAAAAACACCATGGAGGCAGAGTCAAATTTCACATAAGGCAGTGGCCATGTTGTGATTCAGGAAGTCGGCCAGAGGGATCAGCATTGTACTTTCCCTAGTGCCCTCAAAGGCAAATCCGCGAGTCTTCACAACACTCAATGCCCATCGTAGGTCCTGGCACCATCACACCATGGTTGGCTGCGTTGAGCACTGCAGGATTTGGCTCTGTCCGAAGGCCAAGAGATGAATCATAGTTTTGCAAGATCCCAAATACCAGAGGAAACTTGCTTCAGTGATAGATCATAATTATATTATATATAATATATATACAGTAATATATATATGAGCGATTGTGAAAACCCTAGGTTCACGGAAAGGACATCCACAAATTTGGGAAGGTCCCATCGCTTACCACACGTTTGTACAACAATGATATATGGTAAACTTGGGGGGTATCGCTTGCAGGAAACTGCTGCATTTATATATATATATGTGATGAACTATGAATAATATGTGATATTTGGGTATCGCTAATGTGGATATTAGAGAAATATGATGACATAACCTTGAAAAGGGGTATCGCTAATTTGGGAAGGTCCCATCACTTACCTCGTGTTTTTAACAATTTCCATCAATTTCCATAAACCAATGTCCGTCGAATACATATTTAGTATTGCCGGGGTTTTTACGGTTGCTCATATGTATACGTATATTCGTATGTTGAACGACCGAACAAAAATAGTCATGACTCAGAGACATGTGTTGGATCACAGCGCAATGGAATCAAGATCGACAGTTTGATCACGTTTCCAACAGCCACCAAATCATTTCAAAAAATGTAGCGACACGTGAAATGCAAATAACAATTTCACAAGTGGAATCAAGCTTCGAAAGCCACCACAGATATTGATTCCGAATCAGGATAATCTCAATGTTCACAGTTGTCTGGCAGCTGTGACTGTCCTCTTTGGACACACTCTTTCCACGCCATAAATTTGGATTCATCTGGCAGTCCAGGTTGACTTCAGTGGTTTCACTTGCAAAGTGCGCAAACATATTTGATTTGACTTCCCTCCAAGCCTCTCGAACAGCACGTTCCATGCAATCCAAGTCTTCAAACCTTGGTCCACATCTTTTCCACTGATCATCTTTTCCACTGATTGGACCGAGCACTGCTCTACTTCTTAAAGGCGCAGCAAGCATCACTTCGATGCAATGAAAGCTCTCAGGCCATGGCCAGTTCTGAACAATGTACGAGAAAAACGTCTTCTGCACCAGCTCTAGTTGCCTCATTCACCGATAAAATCAGAATTGCACCGATATCTCCTGAACAATCCTGGCATCTGCATGACACTGGTGTGTCGCAATTGTTCTTTCGCTTAATGGCCTGGCAGAAAACCAAAGAACCTGAGCATGTTCGAGCAACTTCGATGAAGAATTGGAAGAATTGGAAGAATTGGAAATGTGGAATAAACAGTGGGACAATTTGGACAAACAGTGCATCTCCACCTGAAACAAATTGAAACACATGGTCAGTATTTTTGTCAGTGCATCATAAATCATCATAGTGCATCAGTACACCACGTGATTGGCTTGACGGCTTGACTGACTTCTCAGAGACAAGTGACGTTTGCAAAGGTAAGAGGCAGAAGCTTGATCCAGTCTGCCAAAACTGAACTTGGGTTGACCCTGGCCGTGAATTTGCTTCAGACAACACAAACTGACATATTGGTGATCACCATCAAACTTTCTGCATCTGGATTCGCGAATGGCAGAAAATCCCCCGCCTTTCCAAAGCCAAGCCCAGGCCCAAAACTGCATGTGCATCACAGCTATTCTGCCTGTTCGAATGGATTCGAATGGGACATTCTCGGAGTACAGTGAGAGCAACTCGACGCTGCCTGGAAGCTTCTATGACCGCCGCATGCACGCTCTTCAGCGAAAAAACCTGCGATGCAAGCTACATCAAGCGACAAATGTCAAGTGGTAACACAAACAGAGGTCCAATGACATTGTCCTGCATTCATTTCCGTTCAAGGCCTGTGTCGATGGCACTCTCAGAACGGTTGATCGAGCAGAAAGCGCCCTGGACAGCCACGAGCTGACACAGAGCTACATCGGACAAATTGCTGGCCATCCGCAAATGCATTGAGCACAACAGTAACGCACCATCAAATTGCCCTCTCGCAGTCCTGGAAGCTACGGCCCCTGTGCGTCCACCAGAGACATGTCGGATGTCAAAGTGCACAGTGGCCCCCCTGGCCGCTCTGATCTCGATTCATGGAATTGGCAAGTATGTTTCTTCACTTCCTATCACATCTTCACCTTCGAATATCTCGAATATCTCTCCCAACATTCGACACAATGAACCTCCTCCACCCAAATCTGCAACAACGCGCACCTCCTAACCATGTCGGCCACAAAGTTTCGACGGCGAAGATCAAACTGGCACATCGAGACACGTTGTCAGAGTGCGGCAAAAGCCACTCAACAAAGCAAAGAGCAGCACGATTTTGAAAATTTTCTGCTATTTGGAGGTTTCCTAAAATGGGGGTACCCCTAAATCATCCACTTTAATAGGATTTTCCATTGCAAACCATCCATTGTGGGGATCCTCCAATGGAAACCAACATTTTCCAACACATCATGTGCAGCATCTGTCAAAGGCGCTCGACACCCAATGGCCTGGATGCCCTCCTCCGTTTCTGTGCAGCATCTGTCAAAGGTAAAGACCTAACGAAAGCACAGCGTGTTCATCGACTCGACAAACCACATTGGAAACCGCCCTCGGAGGATAGTGGCAGCGTGGACCTAAAAGTACATATATGTTACATATAAATGTTATACATGGGGTTGCATTGCACATTTTGGAAGCGGACGCTCAGAGAAAAACGGCAATGGAGACACCATGATAGTCCACTTCTCTACCACTTCTCTACATCTGGAGCCAATCAGCGTAGAATTTACATATCACAGGCAAACATCCAAAAGGAAAACCAATGAGACCCCGGGAAAGTCTCCCTAGAAGTGGATCAAGCTACAGAGGGTGGAATGGAACGCTGTTGAGACTGAAGTGGTAGCTATAGAGCCCCGTTTACGCAGTGGGAGATCACACAAAGTGTATCAATGAATGATTCTTGGAGATCTTTGAGATCTCTAAGAATGTCTCTTTATGTCTCTTTGTTCTCCATGCTCCTTTGACAAATCGCTAGCCAGCCCCACTGCTTTCAGCAATAGGTCCAAGGTCGCGACTGAATCCCAACAAAGCGGATTGCCTTTGGCACCAGGTGCGCTGCAGCAGATTTCAGGAGTCCAACCTCCAACCTCAGTGGAACAAGAGTGAAGAGTAGTGAAGAGTAGTGAAGTGAGTCAAATCACAGGTCGTGTGCAAAGGTGCCCAGCACAGTCTGACCAGGATGCAAACCCAGCAATCCGCAGAGCTGATGGCGTCAACTCCCGGGGCCACTAAGAAGAGCAACCTGCGAGTCGACGGTATCCTCTTGGCTCGTCCTGAAATAAATTCAGTGCACCTTCTGGCCAGCCGGCCCCTGGAAGGGTGGGAATCCATACCGAGGGTAAAATGAAAGCTTGCGTCGGTCTGTGTTTCCTTGTCTCGCCTTCTTTTCAAGAAGCTAAAAAACTCTTTGATGCCATGTGGATTAATTACACTTCTTTCTCTTGTCGAAATGACTAGCAGGATCATGACTGCTTGACATTAATTTTGACAACTCTGAAATAAAAAATACGAGAAAAAGGCAAAGAACCAAATGATCCTGCAGTTTTGTCTGGTGGTGGTGACCGTACATTGTTTGGTTCGATGCGACCAGTCCAATGGTTCGGAAAGACAAAAAAAATAGACTTGCAGATCTCATGGTAATCCATGTGCAGTATCCTGCGAACCGGAAAAAAGAAAGCTGGCAGATTGCCGAAGCACATTGCAAGTGGTGTTTTTTTGATAGGACTAGAAGGTAGTTGACGAACCACATCTGACATGGCGCAAACAGACCATATGTTTGGGTACACACAAAGTTGGTGTACCACACAGCGTGACAAAAAGCAATCGAAGTGCTACTTGCCACAAAAAGTTAGAAAGTCAGGTGCAAATCCACAGCCTTGTAGCTGCAGATCGGCTTCAACACTACCGTTGTCATAATATGTTGCCAGTGGCCTTGTAATGTTTGGTTTCTTCCCTGCACGCATTTTTTGAGTCTTCTGAAAAGCGCGCAGCCCAGCCCCTCACTTGTTGCCTGCCAGTCAAAAAGCACTTACATGCAAGGTGGTGACCAGACAGTTATAGAGGAAATGACTAAAGCCCAAATCCTGAAAACCATTCCTTCGTAGTTCACGGGAAAATTTGTCCACTCCTGATCTGTCGTTTGACTTTTGCCTCCCCTCCCAAAGAAGCCTAATCCTGGAGCAAGAGATCTGGAACCGGAACATCAACCTGCAGCTTCATCGGCTCTGCAAGTGCGATGAGCTCAAAGAATTGGTAGATATGAAGAGAAAAAAATGTCTTTGATGTCAATGCAAGGCGGATAAGTTGATTGAATCCAGTAGTGGGGAGTTAAAGCAGCGCCATGCGGCAAAGAGGCGGCCATTTGTGACAATACTTATGCTCGTCTGTTTAGCAACGAGTTCTAGTTCAACTAACAAAAGCATGAAAAAGGTATATCATGTGTTCATATTCCTGAGCGGTTCACCAGAAACTGACGCCAACGCAACATTCCAGAGATCACATTGGGACGTAAATACAACACAACGAAGTGCAAAACTCTAACAGAGCTTGTATCGTTTGCTCATCAATGTCCTATTTGCTTGTGAAGCTCAGCCGATCGTAGGCCTTGCTAACTTTGGCCATTTTTGCTTTGGGCATCTCCAAGTCTGGCCTCAGCTGACAGCTGAAGCAGTCGCAAAAGCGGCGTAAATGGCTTAGCATCGGAACAAGTTCCAACCCAGGATGGAGATGGATGGAGCTGATAGCAGTTGCCACAATGGTTTTATAAGTTTCATCTTGTGTTAACTGTGTTAATTTGTTTCGCATTTTACATGTCGCATCATGTCGCATCATGTCGCATCATGTCGCATAGCGTCTCTTCAGCTTTCCTCCAAAACCTGTGTCTCCGGTGAGGTCTCTGCTTCGATCGCCACGGTGCGGTATCCCACGCTCTCGTGCGTGCACGGCCTTTCACAAAATTCACAAAGCAGTCGCGAGGATCAAAGGCGTGAGTCATCTTGGTTGCAAGTAGCTAGAGTCAGCTAGAGCACAAAAGATGGATCAGGAGAAAAGAAGGGAAATCAAAGAAACCTAATTAATAAGTATGAATGTATGAATTCCAATTGCACAAAACATCACTGGCATAGCACAAATCTTCGGGCTAACTGTTCAAAGAACCTTCGTGGTAACACGCTATCATACAGAGCTGGAGGGTTCAGAGCCCTGACTGCTTGGATTTGTTGATTTATAATTAATATAATTTATATAATTTATATATATATGTGTGTATATATATATGTATGTATATATTTATATATATACATAGTACCCTCTGCCATTGTGCTGTTTTGGTGTTTGTCTGACCCTCCAAGTGGCCTGCAGCAATTTGCTGCAACATTTGTTGCTTGTCCGCCTCTTCCCTTGCGGACAGCCCCTCAGAAACGTCATGGATCTCACTGATCTCACTTATCTCACTGCACTGTTTACACCGCTGTGGAAACACAGATCTGAGAAGCGCACAGGCTGTGCAACGTCTGGAGCTTTTGGTGGCACTCCACAATTTGGATGCCCTAGAGTTCCGCAACGCATACACCGCACCTGGCAACACCGTAAGCAACTCGAAGCAGGACAACGTAACACGTGCCAGGCAGGGGTGTGTTGCCACAACGGTGTCATTGTTTCTTCTGCACTTTCTTTCCCTTGTGCCACAACTTTGAAACACCCAAATCAACCCAAATGCATATCAAATGCTTTAAATTTGAAAAAAAAAATGCACAATGTTAAAGAACTGTTTCAGATGCTTTTTCTGTTTGATTTGGCTCCCATCAGGCCGTGGGCACATGAGAGAAATCAGCCAGGCGAATGGCCGCCAGCGTGGGGCAGGACACTGGCGCATGGCCACGAAGGTTACCTGACGCTATCTTCAAGGTCAAGGGGACAAGGGGACAAGATAGGACAAGATAGGACAAGGATGTTGCTCAGATTCTCTTTAACAGATCCTACATAAGGCCCTCGGCATTGTCAAGTGCCCGATCTGAGGTACTCACAGTGGCTGCATCTCAAAGATCTTTGAGGACCTGGGCTGATGGAGGCAGTCAGAGGAATGCAACGACCACGAATGAATGAACGTGGAATTCGTGTCAGACATTGGAAGGTATTAGTTAGATGGGGTTCCACATCTTGCATTTCTAAGAAACTTTGTGACAGACCAGTGTTCTGTGGTTGCAGCTTGGAAGTCAAGCAAACGCCACAAACAAAGTAGTGCTCCAGTGGCAGTGGATGAACATTTTGACATTGAACTTGGGAATGGATGCTGCAGAGAATACCATTTCAGCTTCCCAGAATGGCAAAGTAGCCAGGCTCAGCTTAGCTATCGGGCACTCTCGGCTCTCATGGCCTTTCTTTGAGCAGAAAAAGCCTTGCCAAACAAATGTCGAAACGCAAGACAAGTGTTTGACAGACAGGAAAAGCTCTGAGCTCCGATGAATAGGACCTTCGTTTAAGACAAGAAATATATGCATATTTTGTACTATACACGCATTATATCTGCCTATAACAGGGGTTGGTAACTGTCCCATTTTGGGTATATTGGACATCACCTTATAGTAGCCATTATAGACCATATACCTAATGGTTGGGTGATGTTCAATGGGGACATTTAATGACCCGTGTATAATTGCATATATATATATATATATTATATATATATACATACGTCTCTACTTTCAAAGTTAACTTACAATCACTCAATCATACCGGATTGGTAAGTAGATGTCAGACAGGTATAAATCATACGGAGACTTTTGAACACACTACAGCCACTACAGGGACACTGTCTGCTGTGTTCTTCGCAAACCCAGCAGCGACACCCTGGATCGAAGCCTACCTGCCTAAGAGCCATTAAACCAAAGCATGATCTCTGGGTTTCAAATTGCTCACAATGTTGGACAACATCAGAACCGAACTGTGTGGAACTAAATTCACTTTACATTCTCTGTGACCTACATCTGCAAAGACCCTCTCCACTGTCCAAGATTTGAGCTCCCCAACAGCCCTTGTCTGGACAGTCATTGGCATCATGGCCAACCTCTGCGCAGGCCCAGCACGCCTCGAGGGTGTCTAGACCCGGGAGTGGAGTCAGTTTCCGAAAAGCACATGAAAAGAATTTGTTAATCAGTTGATAAGTTGATGTATTGCAGAAAAAAAATATAATGTCGATTCAAGTTAAGAAATGTTTCTTCCAGCAGCTTTTTGAAACTTCTCTGCACGTGTCTGCCAGTCACCACCAGGTGTGCACCTGGTGCTTCTCCTGGCCAAAGTAGCGCCCTCCACCAGTAAGGCCCTTCCGATCCTGAGACAGCGACAGAAAAGAACTGAGTCACGGCAGAAAAATTCGCATGGAAGATCCGATCTGCAGTTCTCAATGTTTGGTACAGGATATGTGGAGTCCCATCTGCAGACTAGGCGTTGCAGAACCAAACAGAGGCAGTTTGAAGGCACGTCAACAACAACCTGCTCTTTCCTAATGGACTGTCCCACCATTTCCCGCTTCTGTCGCCTTGGGTGTCAAAGCACCAATGTGCTGCTGCACATAACGACTGAAGAGCGGATAAAGCTCTGCAAGCTCATCATCAGAGTCCGACTCCTCAATGTCAGAGCTCCACTCACGGGCGACCAAAAACAAGTCTGCACATTCTGCACATCATATCTATTGAGGAAAATTCGTGGAATTTGGGATTGAAAAGTAGGTGCACTAGGATTGGGTAAGAAACCATTCTTGCGCAAATCTGCCCAAAAATGATACGTTTGCTCGCCCATTTTGTGGTTCAGCATAACTGCACCGAGGTTTCGGTCTAGACGGCAATTCCGGCCCTCCCGCCCCTCCTCTAAATCTCCAAGGTCGATGTCCTGATTTGAGGACGGTCCAGGATGGTCCAGGATGGTCCAGGGAGTTTCACAAAGGCGTTTCAGCTGGAGTTCTCCCCATCTGAATCGGTGGCGCCACGCCGCCACACGGTGCCGCCCCTCCGGTCCTCCGGGTGAGCAAAAGGACATGCCGAAGCATCGTGGCCAAAGAGGCCACAGGTTGCACAAGTGGCCTGAACGAATGCTGTGTCTTTGATCCTGGGGTTTGTGTATGGTATGGTAGTTACATGTAGTTACATTTGTGGCCAGTCTTGCCACAGGAACTTTCGTAAAATTCTATGCATATATTATAATATACTATATATAATATGATATGCATGTATAGAAAGCATCAACCTTATTCAAACTTGAGCCTTTTCTAATACACTTTTCCTATTTCACAAAAGATGCGACTGCAATGGATTGGATGCGACTGCAATGGATTGCCTGCGTCTTTTCGGCATCGGCTTCATCGGCTTCCTGCTCACCTTCCTGGCCACCATGATGCGGAGACGGCACAGATGTTTCCGCTATCGAATTCTATCGATATTTGCGATCTGCATCGATCTACCATGTTCAAACATGCAAACAGAAGTCGCAAGGTAGAGACAAGGTATCCAAAGTATTGAACAGTTTTCCATCTCTTGGCCAGTTTGCAGTAGCAGTGAATTTGCCTCTTTGTCAGTTTCCTTCTGTGTCGGCACATCTTCCTTGGCGACACTTCTAGGCTGTTCTCGCTTGCGGATAAAACGGTGCTGGTAGCAACGATCTAAAATTCAAAACATACACAGTCGTCATATACATTTTAGCAACACTTGTTGCATCCAGCTGACCGGTGTTTCATTAGGATTCCAATGAACTTTGGAACTAAACAGCTTTTCCACACTTCGAAACACGGAGATTATCGCCTCGGGTGGAGCATCGAGGAGCGCAGCCTGCCCATTTGGGGATGATTCCCCTTACTAACTATGATTTCCAGTGAGGTCGCAGTGAGGTCGTTATAATTTACCCAGATAGCATGGAGTGAAGTAAAACAAGAATATGTTAAAATCTTGTGTCAAGCCCTTTGAAATAATATTTTTGGCGCATGGCAGTATGACATTATGACCTCCGGACCAACAAAGAATGAGCTTCCAGGCCACTTGTCACATGCGTTTCCTGTTTTGATACTTAGTCCGTACCTCTCCGGCAGGATCGATTGTGAAGAGCATCTCCTCCTCATCCTTGACAGTGGAAAAAATGACTTCGAAAGCCCGAAGGAGCCCTCATGTAGATGATGTAGATGGAGGTTGCACTGCAAAGGAGCAGCATCAAGCGTGCACACAGCATGAGAATTTCTAGAAATTTATAATTTTATAGAATTATTCTATGGCTTCAACTATCAGCCAAGGAAAATTGGCATGACGAAACGAAATGCATGCTGCTCGTACAGAGAGCCAACAATTCGCCAAAACAGCAAATGATTGTATCTGTTTTACAGAGAGAGAGAGAGAGAGGGAGAGAGAGCTTCTACTGGCCTGCCTCTGTAAACGCATTGGGAGCTGTTCCAGCAGGGTCTTCAGAGATAGAGACCTCCATTGCTTCTTCAGCTTCTTCCCCTGCCTCAACATCTCTAACTAGCAACGCAACACAACATGCAGGGCTATTTGTTGCAAGAGCCAAACAACATCAAAATTACAACAGTGTCGCATCCGAACTACTGGATCATTCCTTTGCATCTCAACCGCTCGTGTTCACCTCTGGCATAGGGACCTTCACCGTTGCCTGCCTGAACATTTGAACCCTCACCGGCAGCATCTTCTCCCACTGAAGTTGTGCCACCCTCATTTGAGGGAACCTGCAACTGTTGGGAGCACTGTTTTGACTCTTTGCATCCCAAGATCCTGTGTTCACGGTCACTGACAGTCCCCCTTGCGTTGTGAAGCACTGGTCATTGGTCTGAGATGGTTGCATCACTTCTTCCGTCGTGCAAAGTTCAACACATAGCAGTGCCAGTGGGGGACCTCTAAAAGGAAATGCTTTCGAACTGCTGCTAAGCTTACACCGACCGCCTGTGCAGTCTCTTGGGCTTCTGCTCCAGCAGGGTCTTCAGAGATAGAGACCTCCATTGCTTCTTCAGCTTCTTCCCCCGCCTCAACATCTCTAACTAGCAACGCAACACAACATGCAGGGCTATTTGTTGCAAGAGCCAACATCAAAATTACAACAGTGTCGCATCCGAACTACTGGATCATTCCTTTGCATCTCAACCGCTCGTGTTCACCTCTGGCATAGGGACCTTCACCGTTGCCTGCCTGAACATTTGAACCCTCACCGGCAGCATCTTCTTCCACTGAAGTTGTGCCACCCTCATTTGAGGGAACCTGCAACTGTTGGGAGCTCTGTTTTGAGTCTTTGCATCCCAAGATCCTGTGTTCACGGTCACTGACAATCCCCCTTGCGTTGTGAAGCACTGGTCATTGGTCTGAGATGGTTGCATCACTTCTTCCGTCGTGCAAAGTTCAACACATAGCAGTGCCAGGGGGGACCTCTAAAAGGAAGTGCTTTCGAACTGCTGCTAAGCTTACACCGACCGCCTGTGCAGTCTCTTGGGCTTCTGCTTCAGCAGGGTCTTCAGAGATAGAGACCTCCATTGCTTCTTCAGCTTCTTCCCCCGCCTCAACATCTCTAACTAGCAACGCAACACAACATGCAGGGCTATTTGTTGCAAGAGCCAAACAACATCAAAATTACAACAGTGTCGCATCCGAACTACTGGATCATTCCTTTGCATCTCAACCGCTCGTGTTCACCTCTGGCATAGGGACCTTCACCGTTGCCTGCCTGAACATTTGAACCCTCACCGGCAGCATCTTCTCCCACTGAAGTTGTGCCACCCTCATTTGAGGGAACCTGCAACTGTTGGGAGCACTGTTTTGACTCTTTGCATCCCAAGATCCTGTGTTCACGGTCACTGACAGTCCCCCTTGCGTTGTGAAGCACTGGTCATTGGTCTGAGATGGTTGCATCACTTCTTCCGTCGTGCAAAGTTCAACACATAGCAGTGCCAGGGGGGGACCTCTAAAAGGAAGTGCTTTCGAACTGCTGCTAAGCTTACACCGACCGCCTGTGCAGTCTCTTGGGCTTCTGCTCCAGCAGGGTCTTCAGAGATAGAGACCTCCATTGCTTCTTCAGCTTCTTCCCCCGCCTCAACATCTCTAACTAGCAACGCAACACAACATGCAGGGCTATTTGTTGCAAGAGCCAACATCAAAATTACAACAGTGTCGCATCCGAACTACTGGATCATTCCTTTGCATCTCAACCGCTCGTGTTCACCTCTGGCATAGGGACCTTCACCGTTGCCTGCCTGAACATTTGAACCCTCACCGGCAGCATCTTCTTCCACTGAAGTTGTGCCACCCTCATTTGAGGGAACCTGCAACTGTTGGGAGCTCTGTTTTGAGTCTTTGCATCCCAAGATCCTGTGTTCACGGTCACTGACAATCCCCCTTGCGTTGTGAAGCACTGGTCATTGGTCTGAGATGGTTGCATCACTTCTTCCGTCGTGCAAAGTTCAACACATAGCAGTGCCAGTGGGGGACCTCTAAAAGGAAATGCTTTCGAACTGCTGCTAAGCTTACACCGACCGCCTGTGCAGTCTCTTGGGCTTCTGCTTCAGCAGGGTCTTCAGAGATAGAGACCTCCATTGCTTCTTCAGCTTCTTCCCCCGCCTCAACATCTCTAACTAGCAACGCAACACAACATGCAGGGCTATTTGTTGCAAGAGCCAAACAACATCAAAATTACAACAGTGTCGCATCCGAACTACTGGATCATTCCTTTGCATCTCAACCGCTCGTGTTCACCTCTGGCATAGGGACCTTCACCGTTGCCTGCCTGAACATTTGAACCCTCACCGGCAGCATCTTCTCCCACTGAAGTTGTGCCACCCTCATTTGAGGGAACCTGCAACTGTTGGGAGCACTGTTTTGACTCTTTGCATCCCAAGATCCTGTGTTCACGGTCACTGACAGTCCCCCTTGCGTTGTGAAGCACTGGTCATTGGTCTGAGATGGTTGCATCACTTCTTCCGTCGTGCAAAGTTCAACACATAGCAGTGCCAGGGGGGGACCTCTAACAGGAAGTGCTTTCGAACTGCTGCTAAGCTTACACCGACCGCCTGTGCAGTCTCTTGGGCTTCTGCTCCAGCAGGGTCTTCAGAGATAGAGACCTCCATTGCTTCTTCAGCTTCTTCCCCTGCCTCAACATCTCCAACTAGCAACGCAACATGTATGTTTGATCTACAACTGAAGTAAGATTTTTGATTGTGGCACATTGAAATTGGAACTGTGTGAGTGTGTCTGTCTTGATAGAGTCTTTTTGCGTGACGAACCTCAGGATGCAGCCTTAGTATTATTACAACATCTAGTGACATCCTCCCCAATGTTTGCCAACCGCCTCTGCAGTGCATTTTGCAGCTAGCTCTGTGCTCATTGGAACCTTCCGAAAACAACAAAGGGAACTGCGTGAGACGAACCTTTCAAAGAAACCTGTCGTCTCAACTCCTTTCCCCCTCTTTAGCATGACGTTGACGCCAAATCATAGATGTTATTTTGGTTGAAAAGCTTGCACACATTTTAAAATCTCAAACATTTTCCTTCATGCTGCGCCCGTAGATGCAGTTCGTCTGCAGGCCCTACCTCAGGCTCTTTGGCCTCCGTTCCAGGAAGATGAGATCGGGAAGAACTTGAGGCATGTGTTGTATCCTCGCAAGCCGTCGACATCCGTCGAAATCCGCCGGCCGTCTCTGCCAAGCTCAACACGATTGAGAGAAAAACGCGAAAATGTCAGGTGTCATGTGGTGCCACGTCGGACATGTTGCTGTGCTTTGCTAAATCCGTGTCCAAGGCCTCAGATTCCTCGGGAGCAACATCCGTGCCCTCATTTAAGGCCTTGGGTGATGGTGACAAGATTCCATCTCCGCATCTCCCCATCTCCCAGCTTTGGCACATTTTTCTGTCACAGTTCCTGCACTTTTCTGGCCAAGCCAAGTGGCGGCAGAGGCAGCTTCAAGAGTTGCTTGACCTTCAGGATGTTCCTGGCGTCCAGGTCCCCTGAAGTAACCTCAAGTATCACAACGTATCACCTGATGACTCAGTTATCGACTAGCTGCTGTGACATGAGAGGTGGCATACATATCTAGGGATTGCTTCTTCACATCCTGTTTGTCCCGGCCATTCCCAAAGCAGAGCTTTGCCATTGGATCTTTCTTGACGATGCAACCGATACAAATCTCACCATTATGAATGATGAAGGGTGTTTCTTCTTGTCAACTCCACCAGCATGCTAGAAACAGTGTCAACGTGGTCCTCAGCCGCAGCTTCTGGCATCTCTGCTTCCTGCAAGAAAAATAAACACAAAATCTTGTTGTTGCCCACAAAGCACAAGTCAAGTCAAGTCTTCGGATTCGTCTTCTTACGAGAGTCATTGTATCATGGCTAATCCAGTTGAGCCCACCATGTGCATCATGATGCCTCAACAGATTCACCTCAGAGGATAGCACGACAGAATACGACAGATCAAAGAGATAGTTTCACAATGTCCTGATCCAGGACACATGCACACACTCTGTCCTGTGCTACAGGTTGTCCCCGGCACATTTCCTGCAGGATCCTGCAGGCAATTTGTGCCGTCAGGCATGCCATGCTTCAGCCAACCTCATTCTACACCGGTCTCTCGGGATTTCAATTGACAACTCATACGAAATCATGGAAAAGTACATGGTTTGCACGGTTTGTACGCATTTGGTACACACACACACACTAGACAAGAATGGATCATTATATGATCCGGTAGGAACTGAATCCTGAAACATGCAGATTAGATACGAAACAATGAAATTAACGATGCATCCCACGAAATAATAGAAGTACTTCAGCATGGTCATCGGGTTCAGAAGCGACATCAAAAAGAATAAATAAACCAGCAATAATATCATCAGCGATGTCTCGGCGAAGATTTCGATTTTGTCGGCGATCATGTAAACAGATTATTCCAAGTAGGCTTTCTACGTCCTTGCTCAGAGGAAGGTTCTGATGCAGCGAAACAAATCGTAAATGACCAAAATTGATTCCAGATTGCGACAACCGTGAAGTGAAAATACAGCCGTGCGGTTCTAGGCTTGGCCGCGTGCCATGTCAGTCAAAATTGAAATAGCAGGTACGTGACTCCAGCGTCCCAGAGTCATATCAGTCATGAATGCAGCCCTCTTCGTTGGGCAATCAGCTGCAAACATGAGATTGCCCCCCTGCATTGAATTTAGAATTAAAAAGGAAGAGGACAAAGGAAGAAAAGGAGAGAGAAGTTTTACATCTATTTAGATGTTACACACACACAAAGGGGGTGTATGAGACATTGTTTGAAGACAATGCCGCAAGCTACTGACTGGATCATTTAGTAAACCCTCAATGCCCCAGCGATGCCTCAGACTTTGCATCAAAGGCATCCATCAAGGTACCATTCTATCACTATTCAGCATTAGTTCGATCCGTTGGCAAGTGGACTTTGTCAACTCTATTTAGAAAAAAAAAACTGCATGTTGATCAGAACAACTTTCGGTGCGGTGGTTCCACCACAAGTTCAAACTTTCGAGAGTAGGTGGAGAGGACTCGTATGAATCGTCCGACTCAAAGCTAGCATGAAATGTGATGCACACTGCTCTATGACAACTTTCGTGCATCTTTTGTCTCTCAAGCAACTGCCATGCTGAGTACAGCTGTGAGTTTGCCTTTTTCTGGGTTTCAAGCTTGCTTGGTTGAACCAGCCGGCTTTTCATAGTTTTTATGTACGTACTTGACTTGTTCAGAATGATTTCCAAGAGGTTGTACTTGCCCTGGCCGTGACATATTTCCATAATCATCCTGGCTTCTCTCCAAGCAGCTTGAGCAAAAGCATCTGGCAGACATAATGGTCACCGGACACCAAAGATTTGAAAATATCTGAAAAAAAAAACTGACAGGTGCCAGTCAATTTTCTGCAACAAGTTCACCCTACACACCTTGCACTGATGATATCTATCAAACCTGCAAACTCCACTTTTTGCAAGCTATCGGTAATGTGGAAACGATGGCGGGAAGCTCCTGCCCAGAGTTGTGGATGAGGATTTTGCAGGAGAAATGGACATCAACATATCAAAATAAAATCTCGTCCTGTACAATATTAATTGTTTGGTCAACGGTCAGATTCAAGAGCTGTGCAAGTAGGATTGCACTCTAACTTTCAGAAGATTGACACCTACATACCTGGACAGGCCCACACTCTTAGTTCTCAATGTGCATGGTAGGCTTCTTTCTACTGAAACGCGTTGAAACTCATATGACCAAGACGTTTTGCTGTTCTTGATGCTCTTGCTGGCTGTTGTCAACTGCAGCTATGACACTACCCAAAATGGTGTATTCCACACTTCCCCAGCTTTCTCTGCAGTCGCACCTGTGCATCTGGGGCACTTGAGCCTCAGACGAACATTGGTTCAGTACTTAATTAAGGTTGTTGCGAAGCTCTTCAATGCCTTTCCTGCTAGGCTGTCTGACGGGGATTTCCAAACCGGAGAGTCTTGCTCCAGAACCCAACTTGCTACAAAAAAATCACCGTCTAACACTGAGTCCCTGACCCGCAAAGGCAGTGGAGAAGCTGCATGGACCTTGGCCCGCAGGTGAAATGGAAATGGAACTTACATCCCTGCACATGGATTTGTACTTGCTGACAAGCCACTGAGTAAGCAACAGGCCGTGGGTGAACATGAGGTGGATGGGCAGCCTTTTCGCATTCCACGGGAGTCACACACTTGCTTGCAAGCATTCCAAAACAACTGTGGGAAGTGAGAGCTGGCAGGAACATTTGGTGCATTCTGACAGTTTCCCGTAGAAGTAGAAGTAGATGAGTTATGTGCCAAAGCAAAGCAATGTTCAAATTTCAAACGGTAGTTGCATACTTCAGTAACTTCAGTACTCTGTTCCAACTCCATCCTGTACAAACAACAAAAAGAGGCCTGCAGTGGAAAGGGTTGCCGTCCAACCAGTGGCGGTCTCTGATGCGCATCAGGTTGGATCCATGGTCCACGTGCAACAGGTGCAACAGGTGCATCTAAATGGCGCTGTGGCAAATAGACCTGAGTGGGTTTTGGTATCTCCAGACGGCCCATGTTTGTGCAGTTACATCAATGCGACGACGGTTTTTATTGCAAGAACGATGTCCTTTTGACACGAAATTGGGCAACACAGGGCGCGTGGCATCTGGATGAAAACTCATATACATATTCATATGATATATACAGCATATATATATATGATATATTTTTATATACAGGGGAAGGCGAATGGTGCGCCTAATGGGATAAAAACCTAGTTTTCTGCGTGTAACTCCGTAGGCACACCTAAGGTGCGCCTGGGTGCGCCTAATGCGCGGAGGATTGTTTTGTTAGTTTGCAGTGGAACTCCGGTTCCGCAACTCATATTTCGGCACAAGGATTGCATATCAAATACCAGTTCCACTTGTGCAAATCACCATGGGACTCCGTATCCAAAATAATCCTAGATCACAGCTAGGGAGAGCTGTGAAAAGTTCAAAGTTTGGCTCATCCCTCTGGAGCCCCGCTTCTCAAGATCACTCTTGCCAGAGTCTCATGTGCAGAGGTTTTTGTCAATTCATAGTGGAACTCCGGATTCGCAAGTCATGTTTGTCTAGAAGGATTGCCGATTGCATATCCAAGAGCAAATCCCACCTTGCAGATTCCCATGCAACTCTATGTCCAGTTGTGGAGGCGGAGAGCCGTCGGAAATCCAACGTTTTGAACTTTGGACCCTTTCCCATGGAATTCCAATATCCACGAAAAAGTGAAGCCCGACCAAGGCCCTTTAAAACAAACCATGAACAAAAAACAACAGGTACCATCTCCTTTGGCGGCGTCTCACAGTGCTCCACACGAAGTCTTTTGGCTGGAGTTTTCATCGCAATCTGCTCTTGGACGGAGAAGCTGCAAGAAAATGTTGATCTCTTCCAATGAGACGGGGGAAAGCGTCTAACACCACCAGTATGAAAATCAATTTCCAACCAAAGAACTTGCAAAACGTGCGATGAACTGTAGCCAAATGCAGGCGCCAGGTGAGCCATTAGCAGCTAGCAAGCAAGCCATTTTGCACTTTGCTCGTCGACAGTGAAAAGGGAAAAATCATCAAATTGCAAACTCCTGTTGTGGGCGTGTTGGAGCTCATGCACCCGCGCCGGCCCTGCTTCATCAACATGCCAGAATGTGCGATCGTCAATGTAAATCACAGCATCAATGTCATTGATACAGACAAATCGCGACCACATCGTCATCACCAAAGCAGCTAGCGCAAGACTTACAGGACAGCCCTGCAAAACACTTCTTGTAGCATGAAGCCAGGTCTTGGGGCAAACGCCCCGACATGTGAAAAGCCGCTTGTTGTTCTCGTAAAAAGACTTCAGAAGTGGCCCCAGCTGAGGCGGTGCGCCAAGGCGCACAGCAAGAAGGATCACCTGTTCCAACTGAATGGTATCAAAGAATTTGGCAAGATCTTGCGCCACCATTATGCACTGAGCATGCTTGTTAGCAGCGTCTAAAATGCGCAAATTGATACCCCAGAAAATTGACCTGGTCGGGTTGGGGCTTCAGATTTTGTAGGCACATTTCTGGAAAACACCACAACGGCCTCTACAAAACCAAAAACATAGCATGTGAACAGGAAACTTTCAGGCCTACAAAATCCAAACACCCAACCCCAATTTGCTGGGACCTAGGGCGCCAAGGGATGCTACAAAATCCAAATCATGGGAAGCCATCTGCTATATATACGCACTAAAAACTTGCTTCAAATACACCCTCAAAAGTCATCCCAGAAACAGTTGGATTCTGTAGGGAAACTTTTGTTTTGGGTTTAGAGGCCCGGTTTCTGATTCTTTGTCGTGGCTTCAACTTTTCTGCCGCTTCGTCGTCGCACTTTGTTTCTGGTCTTGTCTTTGAAATTTTCACCATGCCCATGCATATTGGTGGATCTATATAGGCCAAATCTCTTTCAAGACCTATCTATCTATCTATCTATCTATCTATCTATATACAATAATGTATACTTGCTATGAAAGACTATCAAAAGCGATGCAAACATCAAGAACATGATGAAAGACTATGAAACAAAACGCAAACATCAAAAACATGATGATTACACCACCGTAGGCCCCAAACAGCAGGTGGATTGATGAAGTGCATTGAGGAACATGGGCAAACACATGAAATAGCAGCGAGAGGAATCGTGAACATGTCGCCATAAGTGCCGGAGACCGTGCACGTTTGTTTTTTCGGCTTCAGTGCGCGGTCACGGCTCATCACAGGCAAGGCCTGGCGTGGTGTGCACAAAAGCTTTGCCGGAAATGCAAAAGGAAGCGAAACAAGGAAAGCAACACTTCCAAGAATCACTGTGCACAGAAGCATGACAAATTGATTCTGCAGCCAACAGCAACGAACATGTTGGCCCCAAAGGTTTTTAGAGTGCCAGCGTTGAAGGTTCTCAGTAGCGCGGCATGAACATTTTTGAATGGATTTCGCCAGCTTTGGTCAACTAAACAAATATCAGTTACGCGGTCACTGGGTATCAAGACTCGGTGTTTCCAGGATATATGTCAACAGTGGTTATATCAGCTAATGGTGTCGCTAGGGTTCAATCTCATTGCAGTCATGTCATATGGGCGTAACCATGTCAAGGTCTTTTTCCATCATCAATGCGTTCTGCTGATTCATGGCATGTATACCTTCTGCCACGTCGACGGCAATGTCGTTAAGAGCAGCACCATCCCAAAATATCGGCCGCAGCGCCTGCAAGTTGCACTGACAAAGTCTGACAAAGCATGGTCCCATGAAAACTTTTGCAACTCTTCACTCAGCCAAACCGTTCATGTTGGGCCAAAGCTCTCCAGGGTACAAGAACTGTCACCACTTTAAACGGAAGCTACACTGAACCACAACTTGACCAATTGTCATCAATTGTCACTAACACATCTAACACTGAAGACATTGTGAAGTGAATTCCTAGGTTGTAAGTTGGAAAATCTTGAGTGACCTCCTGCCTCAAGACCCTGAATGTGGGCAGCTGCGCTCTCTTGGTTGCAGCTGCTTTTTCACCAAACAAGGCAGAAAATGTTTCGAGCAGTTCTCCCGGTGGCCCAGCTTCAATGATCGCACGCACGCTGTCACTGTCATCCAAACCTAGGGAATAAAGATTTTTTAATGACCTGGGTCGTGATAATATGATATAAATTAAAGGACCGGATAACCCCACAAGTCAACTTCTTCCAAAAATAAGCATCAAAGGTTGTAGCAGGGACGGGGAAAGAAGGTAAGGGAAAGGAGGCGGTGAAGGATCGAGAAGTTAAAACAGTTGTGGGTGACAAAGTGGAATGTGAAAGATGGTGTGTGACGAAGAAAGATGGTGTGTGTGTGTGACAAAGCAGTGTGTGAAAGATGGTGTGTGTGAAAGTTGTGTGTGAAAGAGAGCGTGTGACAAAGTTGTGTGTGAAAGATGGTGTGTGACAAAGTGGTGTGTGAAAGATGGTGTGGCGAAAGATGGTGTGTGACAAAGTTGTGTGTGAAGGATGGTGTGGTGAAAGATGGTGTGTGACAAAGTGGTGTGTGAAGGATGGTGTGGTGAAAGATGGTGTGGGTGAAAGTTCTGTGTGAAAGAGAGCGTGTGACAAAGCTGTGTGTGAAAGACGGGGTGTGACAAAGTGGTGTGTGAAAGATGGTGTGTCAAAGATGGTGTGTGACAAAGTTGTGTGTGAAAAATGGGGTGCTCAAAGATGGTGTGTGGAAGATGGTGTGGTGAAAGATGGTGTGTGACAAAGTGGTGTGTGACAAAGTGGTGTGTGAAATATGGTGTGTCAAAGATGGTGTTTGACAAAGCTGGGTGTGAAAGATGCTGTGTGAAAGATGGTGTGTTACAAAGATGGTGTGTAAAAGAGGGTGTGTCAAAGATGGTGTGTGACAAAGTGGTGTGTGAAAGATGGTGTGTGTGGCAAAGTTGTGTGTGAAAGATGGTGTGTCAAAGATGGTGGGTGACAAAGTGGTGTGTGAAAGATGGTGCGTGAAAGGTGGTGCGTGAAAGATGGTGGGTGACAAAGTTGATGTGAAAGATGGTGTGTGAAAGATGGTGTGTGACAAAGTGGTGTGTGAAAGAGGGTGTGTCAAAGATGGTGCCACGCTTGCCACGCAAAACGAAGGTGGATGTGAGATTGTGCCACGCCTGCCACGTGAAACCTACGTAGATGTGACCTAGTGCCACACCTGCCACGTGAAATGAATGTGGATGTCACCAAATGCCACGCCTGCCACGCAAAGGGCCGCGGCGTCACGGGCGACAAATCCGGACCAAGCGCGCCACCCAATGCCATAAGTGCCACGCCTGCCACGCAAAACGACGGTGGATGTGAGTTTGTGCCACGCCTGCCACGTGAAACCTACGTAGATGTGACCTAGTGCCACACCTGCCACGTGAAATGAAGGTGGATGTCACCAAGTACCACGCCTGCCACGCAAACAGCCGCGGCGTCACGGGCGACAAATCCGGACCAAGCGCGCCACCCAATGCCATAAGTGCCACGCTTGCCACGCAAAACGAAGGTGGATGTGAGTTTGTGCCACACCTGCCACGTGAAACGAAGGTGGATGTCACCAAGTGCCACGCCTGCCACGCAAAGTGCCGCGGCGTCACAGGCGACAAATCCGGACCAAGCGCGCCACCCAATGCCATAAGTGCCACGCCTGCCACGCAAAACGACGGTGGATGTGAGTTTGTGCCACGCCTGCCACGTGAAATGAAGGTGCACGGGCGACAAATCCGGACCAAGCGCGCCACCCAGTACCATGAGTACCACGCCTGCCACGCAAAGTGCCGCGGCGTCACAGGCGACAAATCCGGACCAAGCGCGCCACCCAGTACCATGAGTGCCACGCCTGCCACGCAAAACGACGGTGGATGTGAGTTTGTGCCACGCCTGCCACGTCAAACGAAGGTGGATGTCACCAAGTGCCATGCCTGCCACGCAAAGTGCCGCGGCGTCACAGGCGACAAATCCGGACCAAGCGTGCCACCCAGTACCATGAGTGCCACGCCTGCCACGCAAAACGACGGTGGATGTGAGTTTGTGCCACGCCTGCCACGTCAAACGAAGGTGGATGTCACCAAGTGCCACGCCTGCCACGCAAAGTGCCGCGGCGTCACAGGCGACAAATCCGGACCAAGCGCGCCACCCAGTACCAGTGCCACGCCTGCCACGCAAAACGACGGTGGATGTGAGTTTGTGCCGCGCCTGCCGCGTCAAACGAAGGTGGATGTCACCAAGTGCCACGCCTGCCACGCAAAGTGCCGCGGCGTCACGGGCGACAAATCCGGACCAAGCGCGCCACCCGGTACCATGAGTGCCACGCCTGCGACGCAAAACGACCGTGGATGTCAGATTGTGCCACGCCCGAGAAATGACGGTGGATGTCACCAAGTGCCACGCAGTTGTGTGTGTGTGTGAAATTATTGTATGTTAAGTTTGTGTGTGAGAGAAGTTATTGTATGTGAGAGATGGTATGTGACAAAGTTGTGTGTGTGAGTGTGTGTGAAGTTATTGTATGTTAATTTGTGCGTGAAAGTATTGTATGTGAAATTATTGTATGTTAAGTTTGTGTGTGTGTGAAGATATTGTATGTGAGAGATGGTATGTGACGCAGTTGTGTGTGCGTGTGTGAGTGTGTGTGTGTGTGAAAGTATTGTATGTTAAGTTTGCGTGTGTGTGTGTGAAGTCATTGTATGTTAAGTTTGTGTGTGTAAAAGTATAGTATGTGAAATTATTGTATGTTAAGTTTGTGTGTGTGAAGTCATTGTATGTGAGAGATGGTATGTGACAAAATTGTGTGTGTGTGTTAAATTTATGGTGTGTGACAGTGTGAAAGGGAGGCGGCGGGAGGAGGAGAAGGAGAAGGAGCCCGGGATACAGAATCAAAAACAAGAACCCCACACAAAGTTGTGGGGAATGAAAAGAATTTTATTACGACGAGTACTACTACTACTTCTACTAATTATAGTTTTATCAATATTACGACCATTAGGATCATTTAAACTACTACTGCTGCTACTACTACTACTACTACTACGACGACGACGACTACTACTACTACTGCTACTACTGCTACTGCTGCTACTGCTACTACTGCTACTACTGCTACTACTGCTACTACTGCTACTACCACTACCACTACCACTACCACTACCACTACCACTACCACTACCACTACCACTACCACTACCACTACCACTACCACTAACACTACCACTACCACTAACACTACCACTACCACTACCACTACCACTACCACTACCACTACCACTACCACTACCACTACCACTACTACTACTACTACTACTACTACTACTACTACTACTACTACTACTA